TGAGCCTGCTGTCATGTACAGAAACAACCACCCGTGCGTAATCATGAGTCCCATGCGACTGCACATGATACATTCCGCACACGGATGCAAAATGGCACCGGCCCTTTCTGTTTGTGCGCATGCGCGCACTGCTGGCGTACACATCGCCGATTATAAGTCAATCGTAGAGCGCCATGCACTAGTTTGCAAGCTAGATCTTCGTTTTGCTTCGACCTGCGGGTCATATAGGTACACGGGACCGTTACGGTGCAAACTTCCTTGCCGCAGAATCGCGCCAGTCAACAAATTGCGGCGGGCGCGCCGTAGCATACTCCAACTTTCAGACCTAAATATTGCCCCGAAAGCGCTGCAGCTTGGTCGTGGTTTGTGAGTCACCCGTACGAAGCTCGTGCGAGAAATTGGGGCTTGCTACGATAAATTGGCACGATTGTAGGGAAACGCCTCTGAAAGTAGCCCTTGCGGGAATGTGTGTCAACGGCTGCCATGGCAAGATACATGATGGTCCTTCCTGCAACAGCACCATGGATGGCTAAGGAAGGCATGCACTATCTTTGAAAACTTTCTGTGGATCAATACACTGGCGCTGAGCGCCACCATGGAAGATGGTCCTTCAAGTGCTTCCACCATTTTTTGTCCGATCAATCTCCCACGAGTCAAGTTGGAGTTGCATTGACACTAGGTCGTACCTAGTACCTGTCGGCGTGGTACTACTGGCTACAGTCTGCCTGTAAGCTCGCCTGCGGCTACCTACGGTAGTTCTTCAACACTCAAGCCTCAAGGACTCCGCCGGCGCCACAGCTTGGAAGACACTGTCCAGTGTCCAGGAGAAGAAGGGCTAGTGATCGCCAAAGCAACGCCAGAAGCCTGCTGAGGAATGGCCCAGGGAAGCTTGGCAAGGGGGCATCTGCAGCAGGCATCTTATCAGGGGCGCAGTTCATCATAAAGCTTTGCCCAATGAAAGATATTGCTTCTCTGGCGGAGAGCCAAAGCAAGCAAGAAAATGTGACAGGGTAGGCCACCCATAGGCGCGGTGCTATGTTTGTATGTTGGAATTGGGTTCCACTGCAATGGCCCAGGATCGGAGAGATAGCGACCCGGTGGTAGGGACGGGATTCGTTCATCACAAAGCAGGGTTGTGATGAACGAAACCTGCACATAAAGGTCCTCTTGTGGCATCATCACATACCTAGCCCGCCAGACAGTCAGCGGTGAGTGAAGGACGCAGGGATTTCAGAAACTCTGTAGTGTATCGAAATAAAGTAAATGTTGGAAATGATGAAAAGTTGCAGCTAGGACAAAGCCCTAAAGCGATGCTTGACTTTGTCTGGCTGCAATGCAATCTTTGTAAGGACTTGAACAACTGAAATGGCATAGTCTTGTCCGGACGCCTTGAGCCTGTTTGAAAATAGCATTTGACCACGCCGCCAATGCCAGCTGCAGACCTCTCTTTAGAGGCCTCTTCTCTTTCTACTCAGCATTAATGCCTGGCATAATTTGGTTCTTGGGATTGCTGTCAATTTGCTTCGCAAGAGACTTGAAATGCATGAAAAGGAGATAGTCTGGGACTGATTCCGTTTACTTTAGAATGTGAAGGCTGGAAAGTGCGATCAGTTTGTGATAGGCTGATCTTGAATAACAATGCTTCAGATTTCAGTGCTTGGGAGTTGCTCTATCATCTTGTGATGGCCTGACCTTAAAGAACAGTAGTTCAATTTGACCGGGTGGGCTTTCAAAGAGTCTGGAAATGCATTCAAGATTCAGAACTTGCAGAATTGTGCGCTGACAAGCCACATGCCCTGCTTTGACCCAGCGTCCTCAGTTGCGCTTCATCAATGTACACTTGTTTGACTTTTGCAGGTGTTCAGTTGGTGGAGACTAGCAGCATTGTGAAGCAGTTCGAGAAGAGGCGGCTTGCGTGACAGTGATTCTGCATGGTCAAGAAGCAGGTGCGATCTGCATTACGCAGGTTCATTAAGGAAGTTCGGCAGCCTCTTTCTCAGTCTGCTTTGTCTTTTGCGAGTCATTGTCCAGTACTCTTCTCAAATTCACCTCAACACTGATCCCTTTGGAATAGGAGGCTCTGATGTCTGATCTGCGGCGAACCTTGATGGGGGAGCAGCAAAAGCGTCGAATAGCTTCAAAGAACGGTTATACAATATCATGACGACAGAGCATCACAAATGTGCTCTTAGGAGAAAAGATCACTCTCTGCCCCATGCTGCATGCGGTTGCGCTGATGAGGGACGCGACATCGCAATGATGCCCCAAATTGGATCTGAATCAGAAGGCTGTTTGAACACGGAGGTTCTGATCTTCTGAAGACTTGCAGTCTTCTAGTGAGTCATCCTGTATCTTTCTTGCGATCGAGCTGCCGCTGTGGGTGTTACTGCCATTGCATATGGTTTGAGGCAGGACTTCGAGGCATTCTTTGTTGAGTTGGCAGAACGCGAGGGGAACCGTATAAGGCTGGTTTCCTGAAAGTCAGAGTCGTTGCAATGGTCGGCTATCAATGTGCTCCAGAGCTTATGCAACCCGTCTCCTCACGTTGCAGGTGGCGGATGGGCAGCAAGGTGCTGCAAGTGCCAGACTATGCTTGCCCTGGACAACCTGCAGCTTACGGGGCAGGAAGCATTGAAGTAGCTAGACAAACGGTGAGACCTGCTGAGCTGTAGAAGAGCCGCTTAGGAAGAGCGTCAGGAAAGCAATAATTTTGAGCAGTGAAGTAGGTCGGTCGATGGTTACTGAACAACAGGAGGATAGATGCAATAGAGATGGTTGCTGCATTTGAATGCCAATCAGGTCTTCTATTAGATTTTGTTAGATCCGATTTTGATCGAGGCATATTTGAGAATCTAAATGGTGTAGGGAGCTCCTTACATGAATCAAACTCTGCTCTAGTTGTATAAAAGCTAGCAAAGATTTCGGGGACACTTGTATGATGTTGTAGTTCATGCGCGCAATCATTGCACCATGTGCAATAGATTGAGTGATTCCAAATGTGAATCTGCATTGCACCATGCTGCCCATGCATGCCCAAAAAGCAGAGAATCAATGAGAAGACAATGCCTGCGTGCTTGGCATGCTAATCATGCAATATCACATACTTCGTGTATCGATAGTACGGTAGCACGATTCCTTACAATCGGTGCATGGATCTATATCCCTCATGTCTCTTGCATTGCCAAGCGCTAGGACATCTGTGACATGGATTTCAAAGTTTTGCATGATGTGTCAATACATTTACAATGCTCACGTTGGCTGGAGTCCTCCAGTCCTTAGTACAGTAGTAGTGCCTCGGCCCACAGAGCCTACCTGCATGGTATATAGACCGTGGCGCTGGACCGGGACTGCTCAAGCCGAGATTAAGGAAAGTCCCCGGTGATCTATCGTACAATGTTCATAGAGTCACCGGCTGGTGTCGGTGCCTATGCAATGCTGCTAACTGGATGCCCGGTGACTCTATCACCGGGGCGTCACTTCACCGCGAACTCTGAACCGGCCACTGCCTGTACTCAGCTGCCGCGGTCCGGTACGCAATCCGATAATTACTACACGAGTGTTAAAATGATGCACGGTTTGTAGGGGCGTACAGGTGCTCGAAAACTCCGCGAATATCTACCAAATTTGGGGCGAAACTGCACCGCGCACGATTTTATTTGGCAGGGACTTGGCCGGCACTTGGCGCAGTATTAATTACAATCTCGTACGCGGAAGGCGCCAATTTTCCGCGTAGACTGCCGGAATATTGCCCCGCGACAAATTGCACCGTAGCTGTCCCGTGTACGCGCTTTACAGGGTGACTCACGCAATGGCCGTCGAAAGTCCGACTCGACCGGATTGATTCCCATCACGATGAACTCAATGAGATGCATCATAAGAATCATGGAATTTCAAATTGGATATGATAGGTCCTCAGCGATGAGCGGCATGCATGAGTCGATCGAACAAATTAGATGTCGACGATCGGGTATGCGTTGAACAAGGTGTATGCGTGCCGATTTCCTTTGGTAATCAACCTTGACCGAAGTGTCGCGTTCTCTTTGCAGTGTTCCATGACGTATTCGCAACTTCCACGGATGGTACTAAGAGTGCTGCGCAACTTCTGGCCACCGTCAAGCGTCGAACTGCTTCTCTCCCAAACCCGGGCAGATATTAGGACTGTCTGCTATGCCGGACACTTATATGCTATCGTTGCTCGTAGCAGCTTCCTGGCCCGTCCGGATTCTTCCGCGCCAGGTGGTTCGCCGCCGGTGCCGCCCGCACCCCTCGCTGGTTCAGCAGGCACCGGAAGTAGTGGTACCGCGGCAGGAAGCGCTCCACGTTTTGGTAGCCTTCTGTGTGGTTCACCGGGCTCCAATAACGCTCTGCCACGTGGCAACAAAACGAGGATGTTACGGTGCGCACTTGTTCGTGCATTGCGTCATAGGAGCGAGGAGGACAAAAAGACGTGTCCAGGTCGGCAAAGTCTACGCCACGCTGATCTGTATCCCGCTGCAAGAAAGACTGAGCTCTGGTCGTGCTCTACCGAACACAAGTCACACCGCTTCTTCCGAAACCTCCACTTTGTCTTTGCAGAGCCTTCGCTCATGCCCTGGCCTTTCAGTAGGGCGTCAGATGGACCGCTGTGAGAAGCATCTCTGGATCGAGCTACAATTCCTTCGCAAAGGAAGAGTTGGGCAGCGCTGCCTAAGCCCAACTCAGAGCTTCTAGGAAAAAGGCTAGACCATGTTTTCTCAGATTTCAATCCGCTTTCCACGACCGTAACAGCAACGATAGGTACCTCTCACTATACTCCAACTCTGAAGGGTCTTTTCGTTCGGAACAATCACATACAGGTCGACTGGAAGACGCCGTTCGAAACCAGTGCAAGGATCTGCGCATTTACACGCAAAGAGTTTGCGAGAGAGTGTGCACGGCGCTCACCCGCGAACGCGGCGGCCCTGGGCCAGATGGTCTGTTCCAGGTCGGACGCGTCAATGTCCTCGCCCCACATGCAGTTCTCCCCCCCGATCACCAGGCGCCGCTGCGCCTCGCGCTTGATCCCCCTGCAGAAGGTGAGATGCGAACCAGCTCATGAATATTCATTGAGCATAACCAACAGGTTCTCATTCAGGACTTGCTGACTTCGACCGATCCGAGAAGAACCATAAAAAGCTCAGCCGCGTTGGGCCCGATTGAACGGCGAGAGATGCTATCAGCACACGGAACGTGTACAAGACCCAGGCGAGCAGGTCAGGTCGGGGGTGGAGACAAGCTCGGGGACAGTCTGGCAAGCTAATCGAAAGCAGTATCTAAACAGTGCTGGAGAGAGGAGCTCGACATCAATCTGACGGTACAGCGTTGCAGCCGGCTCTGACAAGAAATGTGAACGGCCTATGGATACCGTTGTTTCTCTAGTTGCTCCCAATCGGCTCTGTTCGTGTGCTACAGTAGCATGTATATCACCACGAGAAGAACAACCTTGCCAAGGAAAAGCCAAATCCGTAAGGAGCCTTGACTTTGAAAAACGTCAGTATCCGACCCGGTTGAGGAGAAGAGGAAAAGAAGAGCAGGGGCAAAAAGCTCACTTGTAGGGATCGTTCATGTAAATGGACCGCCATACGATGTCGAGATGATCCAGATACGAGCCGGCCGTGTTGGCGACAATCACGGGGAAGCCGTGTTGGGTCGCCTGACTAATCGTCTGCGGATTATCGAGCCTGCAGAGGACGAAAACTAGGATAGAGGTTGCAAGGAGACGATGGCAACCAAAAATATATCGGTTCGACTGGACGTTTACATGGGAATGGAGTAGCTTGACGGCCTCTCTGCATTCGAACTCGACAGCAAGAAAAACGTAGATGAACGGAGCCGGCTTTTGAAAACCAGGATGAGAATGACGAGGAAAAAGAGATGTTGGCAGCCGTTCCGCCAAGACTGAAGAGCGGCAAGCGATGATTGACTGGCGGCTGGGCACATCCGGAAGATCAAACAGCTTGTAGTGCGTTTAGGGTGCTCGTCTAAAGCCCAGGACGACTACGAAATCACAGTAGCAGCTTTGCCCAGGTTAGTCACCAGATATTTGACTTTTTGATTACTGGAGTCTTAGACAGAGCCACGTGGCGCGCTGGTCTACCCTGGAAGCACAGGCTTTTTCCGGTCCAACCTCACTTTCGGCGGTTGAGAAGCACCTTGGGTTGCACCATACACCTACACGCGGCTTACCATACGTGGACGACCCCGTTCTTATTAAGCCGCTCGGGGAACGAGTCAAACGGCTCTTCCCTGCAAGGGTGGAAACGAAGAAGTCAATTACGGAGCATATCTGTGAAGTCTTCTGTGCTTTGTACCGCGTTCGAGCACGCTGCCTTCTTTCGCAGACACACGACGTACTATTAGCTGGACCCGGTTCATCAATGACTCTCGACACGTCAGACTTCACGCAATCGTGGAGAGAAAGGAACTAAGAGACTGCCCGTATGAGCCAGATGAGAAGAGCTGATAACGAGATCTGTCGTCAGTAGTTGACAGATGAAGATGATGTAGAAAACCTCTCCATCTTGTAACATGGGCGCATTGCTTACTCTTTTTCGAAAGCAGTGCGCAACTGAAGCCAAATGTCTTTCATCCATCCTCCTGATAGGAACAGTCTTACAAGTAACGACGGTAGCTGAAGGCCTCAACGGTGGCACACATCACGCGTAAGAACTGTTGCCAGCATCAGCTTTGCCTCTAAGTGGAACAAACGACGCAGTTCTTGGAACAGACTCACCAGTTGACGGGGTCCCTCCCTCGTTCCAGCAGCATCTCCTGTGTCCGGACCACGAAGTCCGCATACGCCTGCATCCCCGTCCGATTGTGGGCGTCCAACCTGCGGCAGGGAAAAGCCTTTTCATTATGAGACCCTGAAGACCTCGAAACCTAGTCTTCTCGTAGTTTCTAGCGTGCGAGACTCTCTAATCTCCCTGAAGGACGAACTGACTAGGCCCCGATCTTGAAGTTGAGTTGGAGTCAAAGTACGAACTCGTGTAAAGAGGGCCCTGCGCCTGATTTGCGGCAGTTATCTGGACGCTTCCTGATTGCAACCATTTTAACCTGTCTCGTCTGCTTACAGTGGACAAGATCCTTTGTTCTGGTTCCAGTATAGTTCGATGAACATTAAAGGAAACCGGGTTCCAACGTTGCTCTGATTTTGGTAGAGAACAAGCAGCTAATCATTGACCATTCCGACGGACTCAGCCAGGGGTGCCATCTTTCAAATCCTGGCAAGCCAAGATTGCGCCAGGACAGAAAGATGAGCTTACCAACGCTTCGTCCGCGGCACTTGCGACCAGCAGTCTGCAGAACAAAACCAGGAACTGGTTAGAATCTTGTTAGGGTCCAAACAATACCCTGCAAGACTGGGTCATCAGAACAGCTGTGATCGAGCTACAAAGAGCCTGTAAGCCCATCCAAATCCGCTTTCCGCTAAAACGCTGAAGGTCCACACAAATTTCTGCGCAGGAATCTCGTTTTCACCATCTGCGAAAGGCAGACCAAGCCGCGCCGTGCGAAGCTTACCTACGTTTACTTCGTCCCCTCCCGCATGAAAGTACTTGTACGGAAAGATCTTGAGGAGGTCTGCAGGGCAAGCAAGACGTCAGCGACACTGTTCCCACCGATACGAGCGTCGAACCAACCAAGCATGTTTGCAAATCGCAAGATTAGATTGCGAGGAGGATTCGTTACCTGTACAAAACGTAGACTGGTGTCTCGAGGAAAAATAGACCCGGGAAAGGGGGGAAGAAATTTACGCCGGCGTAACATGTGCGAGTAGACTGGGTTTTGCCGACTAGCTATTCAGAGGTTCGAGGACGAACGTGAGGGTAGAAGCGACATGGGCGAGCATGAATCGCGGAGTAGCTGCATGTTGAAACGGGTTCGGAGCGGCCAGCACTTTGAAGGCTTTCAGCGCTCAGCAAGGCTTTTCTCCGTTTCTTTGTCCTCGTCGTTCCGCAGTTTTGTTCATGTCTTCTTAATGCACCCCGGAATCAAATCTGTCTTTCAACCTTCGCCGTGCCTCACCATCGATGATCCCCCTGATGACCTCCCAGGTGAAATCAGTGCTCATGTCCAGCGGTTGCCGGCAGTCCGGGTGGGGCCACAGCTGGGGGTAACCCACCCCCCTGGAACGAAACACATAGGTCTTTCTCACTTCACCTTCTTTCAGTCCAGTCAGCACACGGTTGCAGACCCTCTGCTGCAACAATTCTTGTTATATGGACTGTCTGGAAATGTAGTCCCCTTAAGTCTGGGAATAACAGATACATCCGGTCGATTTCGTTAAAGGTGCCATGAAGGGTGTGAGACGGGTGGGGTTAGCTAGGGGGTTAGCGTGGTACGGGTGCGGACGTTGAGTTTCGGTTTTTAGCTTAGTGTTGTTGCTATCATTCACGGCCTTTACCCTTCTCAAGATCGAGAGTGATAACAGATGCTTGAGAAGTCGCACAGAGCCCAAAAGGTAATGCGCAAGGCAAATGACGGTGGATCCGGGGGTGGAGATCGGCAAGGCTGCCTTACCAGCTCTCGGCATGACCCGGGACGTCGATCTCGGGCATGATGTTTATTCCGCGGAGCCGCGAATACCTGCGAGCGACCGACGCGGTTCAGCATCCGAGATCTGCTAATCCCTTCATCACTCGATGCAATTCTGCGAGCGCGGTCAAAGAAAGACTTGTGCCATGCACTCAAGCTCTGAGATGCTTGTTACTTTCGTTCCGTTGGAATTCAATTCCGATATAAATGTGCAGCATCCACTGGGAAGCGAGTATTGCTGCTCATGCTAAAGAACGCACAACAATCGATTGCGAAGTCAAACTGAGGACATGACGATGAATCTGGCCCACAAGACAACACTGCAACGCAATACTGATTCTAAAGAGCCTCGGCAACATCGTCGCTACTCACTCTACAATGTCCTGCATGTCGCGTGTGGTGTACCGCTCGAATTCGCTCCACGCTCCGTCCCACAGCCTTGGGAAAGACGGGATCTCTGCACGAGATGTGCGGAACGATCTTTCAATCCCTCTTGCTCTGTTGCGCTTTAGTCCTCTAGGAATCCTCAGACTCGGTCCCTCTCTTACTTTTCCTATCAACGTGCTTTCAGTAGTTTGCTTATCCGTAGCCAAGCCGTGCCTCCGGATTTCAATCACCCAAATCGACTTCTTCATCAGAGGCAGAGGGAATCTTGAAGTTGACAATATCTTCGAGTCCAATGTGAATCCAGTCTTCACCCACCGAGGACGAATTCTCATATTCCTGAGCTTCGGATGAAAGTAGAAGGGAGGAGAGAGAGTCCGTTGTTGCTTACCAATCGGAAAGGATTGCATGTCCACTAGATGCCAATGGATGACGTTCTGCAAAGCAGGGAACAGCGCAAACTCGTTTATATCCGCTTGGGGTGGATATCTGGAAACTTGTCTTTGTCGAGACAGTTAACAGTAGAGCACGATGGCATAAAGAGCGATTCAAAGCTCGCATAGGCCCTTAGCTTAGACGAAGCAATAGTATGCTGTCAGATAGGGGAAAGGAGGCTTGTGGCTGAAGATATGATGTTCGAATGCAACAACCTTGGAAAGCGTTTCTTGCCCCGGAGAGTGCTCTCGGACATCGACCTTTCACAATCGGAAGCAACAAGTCCTGCGCTTTGCCAAGCATTCCACAAATATATGAATCTCAAATTGCATTTGCCTCAACACAGACACGTGTCTAAGACCAGAGAGCTGATCGAATATTCATAACGGAGTAGCTCACTTACAATCTTCGCGTAGGAGAAGGAATCTATCAGGGCCTTCAGCACCTTGACTGGCTGCCAGTGCCGGGCAGTATCTGCAAAGGCATTTTTTCAGAGTTAGTCCTCTTGAAAGGAGACTGGTATTCCGCCACATCTGCAACAAGACATCAACACCGAACACACAACTTGAGAGAAGTCAATGTCCCGTCACAACAACAAATTCCGCCAGGATCCTCATGCAGAACAGATATGTCGCACCAAAGAATGGAAGTAGCCGTACCTATCAAAATGCCCCGGTGTGGGAAGCGTGGTTCGTCGAAGATCCGCCACGGAGCGTTTTCGATTTTGACTGCCCGGAGGCCGTAATCGTACACGCACAACTGGCTGAAAGTCTGCACAAGGACGAAGCTGGGGTTATTTTCGATCGAACTTCAAAAGTGAAGTTTCCAAAGCAATCACTTTATCGGCCTTAACAGGAGATTTGCAAGAGTATGAATGCTTGAAGGTCAACATCGAAAGCAAACCGGTCACCAACGTCATGTTTCAGGCCGCGTGTCATTTACACCTGAAAATGTGAAACCTTTGCCTTTGTAGAGTGTCCCCACCAAGAAAAGGAGATCTGGTAAAGCAGTGTTTGTGCACACGCTGAATAGAAGGCCGTCACTCGTGTGCCATGAGAGTAACCCGTGCTCTGGAATGCACCCAAGAGGAGCTTATCGAACTAAGACATTTTTGATCTGGACAAGCAAGACGAGATGAGGCACAGAAACATTGAGAAAGTGATGCAACCTTGGTCTGTGAACGATCGCGTACCTCAATACCATGGCGAGCCCCAAAGACTGTTTTGCCCTGTATGAAGGGGAGACTTCAATTGAAGGCAGTGTTTTGAGATGAAGAAAAGTGTTGGCTTGTAGCAGTCCTTGCTGAAGTTGGGGAAGAAGATTGGATATGGGGCCAAAACCTTTTTATTCTTTTATCTTTGAAGAGTGTATGCATGCAAGATCTAGCACGCAACTTTTTTCCGTCTGCAGCAGATCAGTAGAAGATTGGATTTCCCAGCCTCCAAATTGGATTTACGAAGCTGCAACTCTGTGCAAAGATGTGGAATGTACATCATCAGGATATAATACAGATGAAGAGACCCTTACTCTGATGATAGCTTTTGACCCGTCAGCCGGCACTTCTATCTCATATGACTCATCAACGCCAAATTGGAGCTGCACAAGGAGGCGATGCAATGTGCTAAGACCAGATAGCATTCCAGGCAGTCAAATCTCCATTCTACTACAATCGTAGAGAGTGGTATGAACTTGAAGCAGCAGGGGGGAAGGAAGAGCTCTGATGATCAAAAGCATCAGACACAGAGCTCATGAAGTATAACAAGATGGGTTCGTCGGGGGACATATCTGTGATTGGTTTTCTGACATGAGAATCTCTCACTAAATACAACCAAAAAGCCCTGGGAGTATGCGAGTAAAACCAACACGCACAACACTTGCTGAGATCCTTGAGAGACGCACAACTTCTTTGTACTCTCAGAGATTATCTCATTAATCACCACCCCTCTAAACTCTCCCTGGTCATCAAATACATTGTGCTCCTAAAGCTGCTCGCACTCCTCTAAAGGTGGCAAAAGTACTCGATAAAAATGGGGGAAGATCCTTACAGCATAGTAAGAAACTTCATCAATTCTGGCACCAAAACAGAGTGCAATTGCCAACCATGATCAGAGCTGATCGATACAAACACACTGGACTTTCCAAAGAAACAGCAACTGCTATGTGATCACAGCGTTGAGAGCAACCACTCTTGGAAGCCTCACCTCCTCGTTCCTGCTCAGCACCGAGACCTCCACCTCGAGGAGCACTTGCAGCGTGGGGTCGGTTGCTGGCCTTATTGGATGCACAAAGATCAGCGGATGGAAAGCATCAAACGCTGTCCGCAGCACTCGGGACTCTGGAAAGTTGCTGGAGAACTGGAGCAAGGGGCTCACAACGATGATCTCTGTGCCACGAGTGTACTCCTTGGGCAGGGGCACTAAGAACGGCTGAGTGCTAGTGACATTCCTCTTCAGCCGCGACTGCGCGGCAGCGAATTCACGAGCTGCCCCGGCTTCGAAAGGACAGTAACACAGAAGAAGAGCAAGGCAACTAAAAAGTGCCACACACTTCCTCCTTGCTTTGGTGCTTGTGGATGTCTTCCATGCGGTCTGCCCCCGCTGCTTGACTTTCTTAGGAGCCATCTGTCTCACCATACTTCCATCAAAGCCCCCGACCGGAGCGGGGTTTCCTTCCGCTGATTTCGCCGTATGTCCCTTTCAGGACGTCATCATCTTAATGCAATGCTGTTTACAAGGTGTGTGCTTCTGCTGCAATGCGGCCATGCTGAACCTGCCCTCCACCACCATAATATTTCCAGGGGCCGCAGCCATAATTGGTGGAATGTGACAGGTGGCATGCATGATAGCCTGTAAGAATTATTGCTACTATGCTAGCAACATGAGGGTCATCTTTTCACACTGCTCGTGCTTAGCTGTCTGGAAGAGGTCAGCAAGATCATCTTAGACCATGATGTGAATACGCCCGCACGCTTGGTGAAACCCTAAACTCAAGATTGGATACTTGTTCTCAAGTGACGAGCGAAGTCCTACCAAGCGCACAAACCAGGCCAGCGTGGGAGATTGTGTACACTGCTCATTGAGAAGAAGGTCGGCGGATTCTTATTTGCGGTGCGAGTTCCCCCTGCTGATGTGTCGAAACAGATGGCTGACATTCTGGGCGTTCTGACTGGGCAACCCCCTCAAAGCTCCCCTTCGGACGCCTCATCTTCAGCAAGGAACGGGAAGAGGAGGGCGCTCAACAGAAGAAGTGGCGGGGTCATACAAGACGAAGCTTCGTCCCCGTCCCTACATGCTTGAGCAATTCTGTGCAATAACTTGCAAATAACAAGGTATGAACCTGCAGATCCCGGCGTTTTGAAGGCTGGCGGTTTCGTGAATATCAAACGGTGAGGAGGTTGCCTTTCTTGAGGCGCGACCCGCTTGATGGAAGTGTTAAGGAAGTGTGGCCGAGCTTTCTGCCTGATGCTTTGCACCCAGTCCAATATCGGGCTTGTCTTGTCGAGTTGACTCGTCCAAGGGTTTGCTTCTTGACATGCTATTACTGCAAGGACGCCATTCTCACGCGGTTGCCTGCGGCAAGTTTCTCTGCTATGCTGACTGACATGCTCATGTACTTCACTTCTGCTTCCGGTTTGATGACCACTTTGTCAGCATTGCTCATTTTGTGTAATCTGCAGACTGCAAACGGGGTTTGGTCGTAGTTGTAGGAACTCTTGAGCTTCTGAGTCTCAACATGCTGCTGGTTCTGGCTTCCTGAGTTGCTGCTTGCGAGCTTCTGACGTCTTTCGGACATGATTTAGCCGAGTTTGCGCCCTCTTGATGTTTTGTGCAAGGCAGAGGTGAGTTTTTGCCAGGCAGCAAGAGATTCAAGTTGATATTCCTGCTGTTGTAATGAAACTAATAGTGGTCATTTCCTCCTTTGGTTGACAGAATTGGCAGGATTGGTACTCCTGATACCGCAAGAAACTACAACCCTAGCATAATGAATCCTGTGCATGGAGTTTTTGGAAGAAGCTGAGCTTCGACCGCTGATCTTGAATTGAGAGAATGTTATTAATTGGAGTTGAGATGATCGAGGTCATGATTCCATTGTGCTTTCTGCCTATCTTCCTCTTCTTTGGTTTCGACTGCAATCCTTCAAACTGTTTATCACATGTGCAGTCCCTTGCATTCCTCCCATTTGCATGTCTGGTTGTGAGCTGATGGGGCGGCGCTTCCAGCTTCACCTTCCGCTGTCGAAGAATGGCTTGCTTGCCGTCATCTTTGTGATCGTCCTGGCCTCACAGTCACGATCATAGATTGCTGCGTCAGAGCTTCATGATCCATCTTTGATCATCATGACCTTCGCTCTTGCAGGATGGGCATTTTGGTCCGTCGATGTGAGATTCTACTAGCAGAGTTGAGTTGCTAAGTAGGGGAGTTTGGTCCAACAAAAAATTTGGCTGGCGGATCGCCAGTGCAATGGAGCCCCTAAGCGCCTCTCTGGGCCAGAGCGAGAGCAGCAGCATCTCTCCAGAGGGAGCAGAACAGTCAGCGGTCCAGGATTCCAGGAGCCTTCCTGGATCCAAAGATGGCGCTTTGGCAGGGGCCCACAGCCAGGGCCCCAAGGACCCCCCTGAAAGATGGGGGGAGTTTTTCACGAGGACAGGAGCTGGCCCTGGGGGCCGAGGCGTCGGTGGCAAGGGTGTGAAGCGGCACCCCAGCAACGGAGAGGACGTCGTCATCCGCAGCGGAGCGCGCTTCAGCCCCCCCGCTCGAGGGTTTGGAAGCAGCAGGGGGTTCCCCAGGGCCCGCTCGCCAGATGACGCGTACCCCCCCGCTGAGAACATGAGCCGCAAGGGGCGTTCGATGGTTCTGGAGAGGGGGTTTAACGACCTACGCAGCAGGCGGGGCTCAGCGCCACTTGGCAATCCTGGCGGTCATGGTGCGAATAAGGGGGAAAAGCATGGCGGGGGAGAGAACCGAGGGTTGTGGCCGCTTGTCGTGGGGTTGCAAGGAGAAGGCCAGGAGAGTTGGCGGCGACAGGTAGGGTTCACACGGGAGTGGATTATGTGGCAAATGGTGTGGCAGCGTTTTGTGCTCGTCGAGCATGTTGTTGGCTGCGCAAGAACTTTCCATATCTCCTGGTTTTGGATGCCGTCATCCTCGGATCAAGGCCCATCTGCTGCTTGAGAAGTTATGCTGAAATATTTGCTAAGAGCTTCTTTGAATTTTCAAAGCACTGTTTGTGTGCCTGGAGGTAGTTTGCAAGCACAAGATGTGTTCCTTAACCTGTCATCAGGTTTGGCAGTACATGAACCAGTGTAGGCCATCGATCTTAGCACTTTTCCGGGTTCTCATTAATGCAACTTGAATTGCAATGCAACTGCGAACCCTTGAAAAGGGCAGCCACCGTAAAGCAGGAAATAGGATCTGTATCGTGAGGGCTTCATGGTTCTGCTCACCAGGTTTTGGCAACGCACCCTAGCTTTCTGCTCACAGCTGCAATATGCTGGTGCAATTCATCCGCACTAAAGTTGAGGATGTGACAACAAGTATTAACCTGGGCATGTGCATGCAGCTTTGACCAGTCAACCGACTTTCTAAGTTCGAATGATTCTTTGAGATCCGTGTGTTCAGCACAACCTGCAGAATGATCTAGGTTCTCTTCTCAGCTTTGCGGTTACTTTTCCCTTCTCTAGTTCCATTGCTACGAGTCCAGAGTCACGGCGTCCGAAGGTTCGGTCACGTTGCCCTGGCAATCAAAGGATTGTCTAACACATGTTAAAAGAGCTTGATCTGGCAGAAAAATCTTGCAGGAGGCCATGGGCGCACCAAAAGGGAATGATGCAATGACATTAATTTTCCTCTTTCGTTGCCCTTGCAGGAAGATGCAGCTCAAAAGCCCGGAGAGCACCAGAACAGCACCCCCCCTCTCGCACCCCCCCGCTCCGACTGGGGCTCGTGGCTCGACCGCTCGCGCCAGCTCAGCAAAGACAACTCCGAGCTCGGCGATAACGACTCGCACTCGTCGGACGAGATCTGCTTCGGGCCGGTCCAGCGACGGCGCCTGTCAGAAGACCTCGACTTACCCGACGCCCCCAGGGTTGATGATCACCCCAGCCAAGAGATCCCCAGCCGAGAGATCCCCTTCTCATTCAGCCCTCCCCCAGGTTTCGGCCCCCCTGCAACCACCGAGCCAGCCAGGACCCCTCGGGCAGTGCCCTCTGCTATGGACTCGCCCCCTCCGCCGGTTGAGAACCCTTTCTCCGTGCCGTTCTCCTTCAACCCCTCCCCTAGGGGTTCCGCTGAAGCGAACCCTATGGCGGCGATGGATACGGACGCCCCCCCGCCGCTGCTGCCGAGCCCACCCCCCCCCAGGGCGCAAAGATCTCCCCGAGTGGGGCGGTCTTTGTTGTCGGATTCAGACGAAGCTGACGAGTTCATGCCAGGCCTTCTGGGCCCGTCGCTCGATACCCCCCCTCCCCCGCTCCCCGTCCCGCACTTTGGACTGCCCCCCCCAGGCCCCCGAAACCACTTCTCAATCAACAGGAGGGGTCCGGGGGGGAGCCTTCCCCCCCAGACCGGATCTGCGTCTTCCAGGGGGGCTGAACGAAGGCCTGGGCCGCCTGCCCGGCCCCCTCCTGCGTGGCTGCAAAACAGGGGCTCTTGGGAGGGGTGGGAGAGTGACAATGCGGTCAGGCGGCAAAGGGCCCCGGTCAGCGATGGCGGGCGCCCGTTTGTGGACGACGGAGTAGGGGCGATGTTCTCGCACGCAGAGCCTCCGGGCATGCCGTTCACGCTTCTGCCAGTGCCAAAAGAGCCAGGTGAGTGGAAGACCTTTGGAATCTAGAGCCTTCAGAAAGTCATCCTCAAAACTGCTTCATTGGGTGACGTTTAGGTGATGGGGTCTTGTCAAGCCGGAATGTCGTGCTTTGTTTCCTAAGTCAAGCTTTTCTCTCTTCTCGTCTTTTATGGAATCTTTCAAGAAGCAAGCGTTGAGTGGCCCCTTCCGGCTTGTTGGGTAGGATAACCCTGGGCTCTTAGCGTCTCACGATTATCTGGATTCCATTTGGGAAAGATCTTGTCGCTTCTCTTGGACCCTCCCTCTGTCTTTTGAATAGGCTTTGCACTTCTGTCAGCTTCCGTAAAAGCAGTCTAAAGGCAAAGGTTTGCACGAGCATACACCAATGCAACCCCGCATCCTTCTTTTCAGGCGAGCAGTCACCTCGCGAGGGCCCCCCACGCCCCCGAGTCCCTCCTCCATATTCCCCGGGGCTATTCGACGGCCTGGATCCCTTGCGGCAGCTCCGGCGCCTCTCCCCCGGGGAACGGCCCCGGGAGGCCTACCAGGACGGGTTCGAAGACGGCAGTCCCGTTTTGCACCGTGAGCGCACAGCCCTGCGCCTCGAACGGCGCGACTCGCCGCCAACCGGAAGACGCCACGTGGCGCCCGCGTGGCACGCACGTGGCCCCCGTCAGAGCGAGTTGTACGACGACTGGGACGCATGGGAGGAGCAGGTGGACATGGACTCCGGTTGGTGGGACGTCGAGGCTGGGGGGCTGGCGCCCGAGCGGCGGAACCGGTCCCCCCCTCGGCGCGCGAGCGACCCCGGTTTTGGCTGGCTGGATGACCCCCTCTGGGAAGGGGGGGGCGAAAACCCGCTGGACGAAGCAGGGGGGGGGCAGCGGCAGAACGCCGACAGGGGGGGCGCGCTGCGCCGCCGGCGGTTCTCGCTGTTCGACGAAGAGGGGGGTGCTGTTCGTGTAACTGCTCCTGCCCTCGAGGCCCAGGCAACTGAGTCCCCTGCGGGGGCTGAGCGCATTGCGGGGGAGGAAAGAGCCGCTCGACGGCGGGGGCGCAGCTGGCTGCGCGAGCTGGGCTCCCTCGAGGGCGCGTCGGCGCGCCAGCCCGGGGCGCCGGCAACGGACGCCAACAGGAGCGCACGGGAAGGGCTGTTTGGCCTGCGGAGGGGGGGTGGTCCTGCGGGCGCGCCGGCCCCCCGGAACGAAACTGAAGCCGTGCTCGGGCGGCCGCCGGTCTACCGCAACCTCCGGGAATTTTTAACGGAGGCCGGGGGAGCGCCGGGAATGGCGCGCCGGACGCCGGCAGTGGCCGAGGAGTCGGCTCCCGGCGGGGGGGGCCTGGCTGGGCTGTTTCGGGAGGCGGGAGAAGACGACGGAGAGGCGGCGGTAGGGCGCGCGCGCGCACGCCGGCACCGGGCGCGGATGTTTGAGGCGGGACGCGAGGGGGGGTTGCCGACGCCACTGCTGGCGATGCTGAACGCGCTGGAGGAGGCGGAGCAGTTCCAGGACTTGACGGGGGATCAGCTGATCAGGTTGCAGATTGCGCTGTCTGGGGGAGGGATGTCGGCCCGGCGGAGGCGGGAGCTGGACGCGATGAGGGTGGACGTGGACCGTATGACTTACGAGGTGGGCGCCGGCTTCTCTTTTCCGAATGGAGTGCTGATCAGAGAGCTGTGGTTTTGAAAGTCCGTTGTACAAAACGGAGAGCAGGTGATTTGGTCCGTCTTTACACCAAAGGAGGAGCAAGAGAGGTTTCGACGTTGAGAGCCGGACTTGGGGGAACAGACATACCGGATTGTACGAGATCTTTGCGGATTCTCTGTTGCTTGTCTTGTCTCTCTGCATCGCGGACTTCTTGTATGGATATGAGCCTGTCCCTTTGGACCTTCTGGCACTACTCTTTGTCAACCTTCTGCTTCTCCACACGCTTTGGAGACCTATGGCATGGGTGTGCCTAAAACAGTGTCGCTCGTCATCCCGGTCCTAAAACCAGTTTTTAATCGGATCGTAACCCTTGCCCCAACTCCGGAGAAGGATGTGGACATTAACCCTCGTCCCACCTCCGGATGTTAACCCAGATCTTAACCCTCGTTCATCTCCTGTTTGCAGGAGCTCTTGGAGCTGGAGGAGCGCATTGGGAACGTGTCGGTGGGGCTCTCCCCCGAGACGGTGGTCGAGAAGCTTCCCATCACCAAGTGGGCGGCGCCAATCACCGGGGACGAGAAGGAAATCAAGTGCGTGGTCTGCCAGGTGGAGTACGAGGAGAGCGAGGACGTCCGGATCCTGCCCTGTACGCATTGCTACCATGCGGACTGCATTAAGTCGTGGCTAGCTACCAAGAACGAGTGCCCCGTGTGCAAGGCTAAGGCCGTACCATGAGAACTAGAGCCGGGGCGTGAGGCTAGCTAGGGGTAACTCAAAGGTGGGGGTGGAAAAAGAGGGGGAAGCTCTCACGAGCTTTGATGGCTTGGCGGAGGGTATAGCGAGTAGAGATGTAGTCAATTCTTTGGTTGGTAGGTTGGAGCACCGGGGAAGGGAGAGGCGCTTTCGTGTTGGCGCGAACTGTGTCTGCTTCTGCACCCAGAGCCGAGGAGTGCTTTGCTTCTTGGCATTCGTGTCCGAGATTGTCAAATCCATAGCCGATCTAGTGGGACAGCTTCTGTTTGTCGCTGGGATTGGCATGTACATTGGTCCTTCGTTTCGGATGTAGGAACTTTTTCTTGTCGTGTAGCCGCTTCTTTCCTCATGTTGACCGCCGAGCCTTCTCAATGATGCTTCGGCCCAACTTAGCCCATGTGAGATTTGGGTCCAACACCAGACGCCCTTCTATCCTCAATGAGATGGTCATTGGACCCGATGGTCGCGTCTTAAGCAAGTATGTGTGTACAAGCTGCAGATCATACGTTGTCTTTGAACAAGCTAAATTTGGTTTCTGGTAGACTCAGTCACGCTCATGCATGGCGGTCTCGTTGACCTGCAGAATTTCGCCCATACATACTGTTCCTGTCTCTTAAATTTCGGATCATTTGCATGCGCACTCCAGGAATTCCATGGTCTATGAATATTTAACCCGAATCTGAGAGCGCTTCTTTAAAATGCGGCCGTGTGATCGAATTCTGCGTACTCGCATGTGCAATACCAGGCGCCGTGCCAATTAGGAAGGTTGGCCACAATTTAAGCTGGTAGATCGACTCTCTCTTTCTTGCTCTGGCATGCGCATCTGAGTATATAATAAATATTACATTTTCGAGCAACAGTAATTCCATGCAGTGATGTTATTATCACGCTCCCTAGTGTGGACACGCATGCAGTATTGTCCATCGTTATATAATTTGAGTTTTAGGTGGACATCATCGCGGCCACAGTTGGATGAGAGCAAGCCCCAGACCGACATATTCTTCTTGCGAGGTTGCCTATCTTCGTCACTTTGTAGAACATGCTGTGAAAACTTTTCAACCGCTACCCATAAAGTCTGATAGCAAGATCGTCCCGCTGCCGAGGCCGATGCTTCGACCTACAACCTTTCTGTATCAAATCAAGCTAGGACGATTGTAGATTCCTCGACTTAGAATCAGCCAGGTGCACCCCTTAAGACTCATTCATGTATGATTGCGTACCCCTACAGAGGAGTCTAAGAGCTGTACTTTGATAGTTGCTAAGGACTCTCTCACACTAGTAATGAGACCCATTATAATTCCCTTCAAATCCCATTGGCGACTCCATTCGCCACGCCATTTGCATGCCCGTTCGCCGCGACCTTCTTGGACACATCAGCCGGTGCCTGGATTCCATTCTCTTGGATTCCGTTCGCGTGGGTTCCGTTCGCCTTGCCCGGGGCAGTCGCCCCGACCGCCCAAAGCTTGCTCTGAGGCGGGGGCAAAACGTCCTCCCCCGAGGCCTCCTTCGGGTCGTCCGCGTCCCGGGTCAGCAGTTCCGCGTTCTTCCGTGCGACCTGCAACGGAACCAGCTCAGCTGTGGCGGAAGTGTGCACGACTGACGGAATGCTGGCTTCATTTGTCAAACGACCCTCTCTATCGTGTTGTTCAGTTGGGATATATCAGCCGCACGACTGCTTGATAAAGCAAGGCAGACGGCACATAGCTGGGAGTTGAGGAAACAATCCGCAATTGCAAACGCTATGCTAGTAGGACAAAGAGAACATTTGGGGCCACGATATAAGACTGGTCAGCTATCGTCCACCTCCCTGGATAGTTGCAAAGTGAGACACAGTACGAATGATAAGCATGTGCACTTCGCTGCTGAAGTCGACATTGGGCGATCCGTTTACCTGGGGCGACCTGCAGTTCCGCTTTCCAACGTCGGTCATCGAGCGAAGAGGGCGGGCTCTCGTTTTCCCCTCTAGCCAAGACCAGGATAATTGAGTTTCTTTGACGGTTGTCTTTGCTCTTGTGAAAGACATCCCAAAGGAATCAATCTCAGAAACGTTAAACACGTCAAACCAAGTACACGTCAATGAAACGTTTTTGCGTCGTACCTCAGGCGCGTTCACCCAGTTCTTGTAGAAGTCGAAGGGGCACGCGGCGTGGCCCTTCGGTTCGGAGGTGTAGCCGCGGTGCACGATGTTGTACAGGTGGTTCTCAGCCGTCCAGTGCCTGCCATCGGACGGTAAAAAAGCAATGAAAGAATGAAAGAATGAACGACTGATTGTTTGATTGACTGGCTGCCCGAATGAAGCGTTGGCTGCTGATCGAAGACCGGGCGGCCAGAACTAAAGCACCAGCGTCTTTGATGACTGTGTTCTCGATTAGCGCAGCCAAATAACTCTTGGCAAAAACCGCGCAGTTACGCTGGGGGTTGTTGCACGGAAGTTGTGAAAACTATTGTTTTGCAAAAACATCACGAGCTCAATGAGTATGGATTAGTAGCAGGATTCGGGAAATAGATCTTGGTTCCTCTTGTGCCGACGGCTCAAAGGAGCGCCAGCAAAGAACGAGCGCGAAGTCCAGAGGGGCTATAATGACCCAGAACGATTGTGAGCAAGGCAAACAAAGCGCGTTCTGGGCACAACCAGATCTCTGTGCCCACACCGCAAGAGCAATCACGAGACCTTCTTAAGACGGGCGATCGAATACAAAGCGTCTGTCAAAGGACGCCAAACCTTCCTCAGTGTCGCGCGAGAGAGCGGAGCGCGCTGTAGATCTGAAAAGGTGTGGGCGAATCTGCCTCGGAATGCCTGAAGCAGAGGCCAAACCGAGTCGCCATACTTGATCAGCAGGAGCGAAGTCGTTGCGGGACTTACTTGCGAGCGTCTCGAATCGCCGTCAGGCTCAGCGTGGCATACGTCACGGCGTCCTCGTCACTCGTTGCCTGTGAGCAGAAGAGGACATGAATCGATTCCGCGGCCGTTTCAGAGGGGGAAGCCAAGCGCCACCGTACGCTGGTTCTGAAAAGGTTATGTTAGGATCGAATGCCGTCCTTGAATCTTAGAGTTGACACATTCAAGAATCATTCAGTCACACCTGTGTTTCCAAGTGCTCCTCGCCAGAGTCAGGCCCCGTCCGCGAAGCCGGTCGCTAAGGATGAACTGCACCCGAGTTGAAAACTAGCTGCACACGCCGCTAAGGCGGCGGATTGCTGCCCTGTCCATCCCACATCTGAACCTCGCGCAAAACGGTCCGCACACTGCAAGAGTTCATGAAAGGCCTAAAGTCCCGGTCGATGGCTGCCACGAGATACCCTCGCTTCCTGACACTCAGCATCCAGCCCGGTAGACACGGTGCATCAAAACTCCGCTCGCGCCAAACAAAGCTCGAGTCGAGCAGCCAACAGCATACTGCCACGTGGAAGCAGCGCTCACCTCGGCCAGCACGTGCCCGTCAAAATCGACGATGTTGGAGTGCCCAAAGTAGCTGTACACCAGATCGCTCCCGGTCATGTTGGCGACCGCCACGTAGACGTTGTTCTCCCAGGCGCGGATCTTTGACACCATGCGCTGCTGCTCCAGGCTCGGGTACATGTAGCCCTGCGCGGGCCGTGTCAAGTGAGATTGGAGAGGCTTCCGCTTGTCACAATATCCGATCGGGAAGGCGTGGGGATCCCTCAAACCTTATCTCGCCAGTCGTCCGGATTGGTCGCAACCATGGGATCGAAAGGGTACGTGCTAGATTGGGAGCTCAAGTATGTACAATCGAGCTTGAAGAAAATCAGATTGGAGCTCTCGTCGCAGCTTCAGGCAAGTAGCTCAGTCCCTTTAAGATGGGCAAGCGCCTTGCTTCAGATGCAATCCCCTGCTCCAGGTCTTGGCCTATGTTCCACCACCCAGCTTTTACTCCGCCGGAACAAAGGCTCCGATCATCGCTAGAGAATCCCTTTCGACCCACCGATTATGCTCAAACCTCGACAGAGCCTCTTTGAGAGTAAAGTGATTTTCGGTGCACTTTTAAATGGCAGATGGTTGGCTGCATGGGCGAGCAACCCCCGCGTTTTCATGAAGGTCTCCGGGGCGCTTTTTCTTTTCACGACCAGACAAAATGCGCCCACCAAGACCAATCATTTAAACCAGAGGTTCCCCGAGACCATTTTCGAACGTTGAAGAAAAGCCCACGTGGATTTAAACGATCAAACGAGCGGGCAGTACAACTAAGGGATGTTGCAGTCATGTCAGATGGGGGCGCAAGTAATCACCCCTCTCCACTCTATGAAGAGGTCCGGACGTCCGAACAACGAGGCTAACCTGGATCCTGACAAGCAGCTCCGCCCCCTACATAACGGTGTCCAGCAAATCCCGGGGATGTTGCAGTGATACAGATGGTTACGGTGGCGCTAAAAGGCACACTTTTAGCCCCAAACTCAATCGGATGATGCGTTCTTCATGAGGAATCCGGTTGTCAAATGACAGTCAACCCTAACCTGGATCCTGACGAGCAGCTCCGCGCCCTTCATAACGGTATCCCGGCAGATCTCCGGAATGTTGCAGTCATAGCAGATGGTGGCGCCAATAACCAGGCCCTTCGGTCCCTCTGCGACGGCGGTCTCGTGGCCGGCAGTCCAGGGCTCCTTGGGCACCCACGGGAATATTTTGCGGTATCTGAAAACGGCCAAAGAGCGGGTTAAGAAGCTGGTTAGGGGTCTGATTGGGGAAGGGTTACGGAGGCTTGTCTCAGAAGGTCCTGGCACCGAAGCAAAGACCTGCAAGGCCCGAAGCAGGTAGCACCTGTGACACTTGAGGGCTTCATCGGATCTCAAATCAAGGGATGCAAGTGATCTTAAGAGGTTCAACGAGGACAAGTCAGGGCTCCTTATAGCACCGAAGGCTTCTTGCCATATAATATGGTCAAGACCGTGTCCTGGGCGTGGTTAAAGGCCCTGCTCAAGGTGGATGACGACGAGCCTGGTACGGTAAGGGCGTTGGGATCGGGAAATTGGTCGACTGAAATGGTTGCGAACAGGGAAATCTGCCTGTTTGCCTCATGTCTGAGTCATTCACAGCATTCACTAGGATTGCCACACCCAAAGAGGGCGCCTTTGCTAAGAACGACCACAGAATGCAAGTGCGAATCAACAGTGCCGCTTCTTTGTTTGAAGCCATTGGTCCCGTTTTAAGAGAGCTTCCCTCCACATCAATTGACCGCAAACCTCCCTGTGAGACCAGGTATCCCTCGAAGCTTTGCATACATAAGAATGACCTCGTGCAATCCGCCAGATAGCACTTTGGCTTTGTGCGGGTTATAATGAAACCGGCCGTCCGAAAGCGTAAGACTGACTCCCAAGATTGGCAACCTGTTGACTTCGTTCGACGGGCTTCAAAAGCACTATCGAGCCTTCTTTCTGAACATCACTCTTGTGAAGGGAAGTGTTATGAGTGGCTCCTTACTTGAGCGCAAGCTCCCCTTGGTCATTGATGAGCACGAGCGTGTTGTAGGGATTCACACCCTCTGTCTCATGCTTCTCGCCGGTCAGTGAGAATATGCCCCAAACCTCATACTCCCTGGACAAAGAGGAGAAGTAAGACATCGATTCCAAGTGCCATATTGTTTGGAATACCTTGCAGCGTTCTCCCGTAAAAGCTGGTCCTGTAACAGCTCAAATCCATATTCATTAGGGCAAATGCAACTTCCGATTCACTCTCAGGGCCCATCTCCCCGGAAGCAGTTTCTTCCAGACACATGCACTTTCTCCTTTCTGCTCTCTTGCATTTTGAGAACAAGTCCTATCCGATTGCATGTTGTCAGTCAGGACGTCGGAAGAAGGTTCCTTCTAACAGCTTTTGAGCTTTTCAGTCATCTGCTCAGTAAAGACCAGTGTGAGCGAGAGTTGGGTTTCTACTCACTTGCAGGCCTGCTTGAAGATCTGCATCTCAGGGCCATCGAGCGTGGTGGTAAATTCGTTCCACTTGGTGGGGTGGAACCCTTGAGTGCTGCACAAACAAGCTTCTTCAAAATCAGTACCCTACTGTCAGTGCCCGTTTAACAACACACATGAGCCCACTAGACAAAACAAGCACGACCTGTGTACTGCTTTCATTGGAGTCGTTGTAACAAAGGACAAATAGGCATGCAATCATCTGTGCGCTCACAAAATATTGCTTGTTGTAAAAAGGCGCTGTCCCCTGATATTAGAGGTGGGAGGGGCGTCAAAAGGGCTCCATCCAACAACTAACCCCAGTCCAGTGGCAACATCTATACAACCCCAGTCCTTAAAAATGTCATTGAAACACGCTGAGGGTTGTCCGCAAGTGCAGGTCGAAAATGTGCTCATTACCTGTACTCCGGAAAAATGATCAGGTCTAGGCCCGGGTATCCGGCTTTTGCGCCCTTGATCTTAGCCACAATCTTCTCACAGTTCTTCAGCACGTCCTCATGACTCTCGCAGATCGGTACCTGTCACCATAAAAACAAGCTTCAATCACTCTCTGTTTGCAAGTGGCTGACTGCCGTCGACTCACGAACAGTCCTGGTCTGAGCCTGGTTAACTACAAGAGGGTCAAGTGATAGAAACCTGCTGAATGTCAAATGCTGTGCAACAGAGTCGTTACGCCTTAAGGGTGAGGTTTGACCTTGTGACTGAATGGTCAACGAATGCTGACACAGAAACCGGATCAAACTCCAAGGGCGGTGCATGTCTCTTTGAGACGGCATTTATCAGGGGCAGTTACTCAGAACCAATGCTGCTTTGCATTTCTAGAGAGATCACACTCCCTCACTGATAGCGGGGAGGAATTGCACGGCTTCAGCTGACATCCTTGTGGACAGACTCTCCGTTGAGCTAGCCTGCCAGGAGCGGGTGTGAATGGGTTTTCCTTCTTTTCGTTTTGTTCCAAGTAAGCCCCATGAGGTCTAGACAATCAGGCAATGATAGCACACCAGCCATGTTTCAGAAACTTCGTATCTACAAGTGCTCTGGAAATATAAAAAGAGCCAAATTCTTCATATAATATGCGCAAAGCCAGCAGAAAGCAGATTGGTGATCCAACTACGGTCCACAGCTGCATTATACAGGCTTCTCCTGACTAGTCTGCTTGTTCTCAAGGACATAATCTATGTCAACTGGTGCAACTCTTATTGCCTGCACGAGTTTGCTCTGTAGAGACACGTTCAAGCAGGTTGTTCAAACCAGGTTGGAGACCGAATAGATGCGCCAGCTTCCTCAACTCAGCTCAGACCAGAACAATGCGCCCTTGTCACCTTCGTACCATTTGGTCAGATTAGTATGAGCAGCTAAGAAGTAGAAACTTACCTTGTAGTTCACAACGGCAACCCCAACAGCATCCTTAGAGGAGGAGATTGAACCCTGCGGCATTTTGCCAACGTAAGTGTTGGGGCCCAGTTACAATGCCACGCCTTATCCTACACTTCAACAATCACTGAAAATGCTTGCTGGCCGCTCGCAACAGACTTAATTTCCTCAGTAGAGGTGGACACAAATTGCAGGCTGCGCAGTTGCTGCCGCTGGCTTCCTCTCCCTGTCACGCTGCGATACCTGAGCTACTTAGTACCGGTACTCATGTGCTAAGCATCACCCCCAAAATATTCTCCCTCAATGCTGCCACAGCAAGAGAGGCCGCCGGCGCCGGCTAGCGTCATCCAGGATGATCATAGAGCGCTGAACAGCCTTCATCTCATCTCGCTAGCTAGCATTCTGTCAATTTGCACTGCACTGACGCCGACGGACTCGTCATGCATGGCAGCCTGCTCCAGCCTGCTCAGGAATCACTGATCTGACAGGATTTAGGACTGCTCCGTACGGTACTTCAACTTCAACTTCAAGTTCTGGCAGTCGGGCTGCCTCCACACTGCCGGATACTTGGGTCGTCGGCTACTCCGAGTACCCCCCTCTGGAGTATCCCGGGCAAGTAGCCCGTCCAGACTGCGGGATACTCAGCCCGGCTACTTTGTGTTCCGCGATGATCGGAAGCTACTTCGCCTTCTCACGTGTAAACGAGTAGCCCGGCAAGTATCCTTCAAAAAGTAGGCTACTCGGCCGGCTACTCGGCGGTTGGCCAATCAGATTTCAGCATAACGGTCCAGTTGTTGAACCGGACGCGTGCGAACACCGACAGTCTGCTTTCTTGAATGATTGCGCGAATCTTTGTGTCAAAGTGGCACGCTGACAGCGACCGGCGGAAGTAGCCGATGTCCGAAGTAGCCCCCGGTGTGGAAGCGGCTACTTCAGCTCCCGCATTCTGCGGAAGAGCTCCCGGTTCCTCGGAGAAACTTGAGAAGTAGCCGGGTACTCCAGTATCCCCAAGTATCCCCCAGTGTGGAGGCAGCCTCGGAGACTGGAAATTGACTTCGAGTTGGTCACGTGGTGCACGTGGAAGCCTGCCAGAAGCACTGTGTCGAACCTGAGACCTCTCTTGGAGCCCTAGCGTCCTTCGACGTTCGAAATGCATCAATTTGTCGCCGCTTCCCAGACTTAAAAGGTATATATATTACAAATAGCTGGGAGCCGACATCCAAAAGTTGCTTTGCCCGAGTGGTTAAGGGGTGTGCCTGCTAAGTACATGGGGTTTCCCCGCGAGAGTTCGAATCTCTCAGGCAACGGTTCGACCGTTCACGAAGACAAACAAAGCAAAACAAATCCTTTTTGCCCGAACGTCCATGCGGAACTCGGCGCTATGCTCGTCAACTAAGCATCTAAGCTAATGTGCTTCTAAACTTTACCTCTTTATGCTCGTTAGTACATGCGCAAGCTCATCATACCCATTGGCTCTCACCCGCATGAAGACCACTATAGCTATGAGCTTCTCCTACGAACTAGGTACTGCTAACAATCAATCATGACCGGCACCGGACACGCATATCTATATTATCATCATCCTCATGCGATCAGGCTTGAGAATTAGGTTTATCATGGCATGTGCCTCTTCTGCACAGCCAGCTTTGCTGGTGCCGGCTATACAGAGCCATCCTAGGTGCAATGACCACTGCCCCAATCTGCATGGACTTCACCTTCAATACATGTATAAGCCTGACGATATGAACCATCAAGGTATGGCCCGACGTTTGATAGTCGAAAGGTCTAGCTATTGAGTTGTTTTGCTTTGTCAAGACACTTGGTGCGGCAAGCCGCCGTTGCACCATTTTTGAAAAACAGGACTTCACTTAGCTTTGCGGCTGTACATTTCTTTCCAACGGACAAAACTGCAAATCATGTCAAATGTCTCTACGACAGGCTTGAAAAGCATCATGATGCATATGAAGATGGCGCGCGATTGATCAAAAGACTGGCTTGACATTCATTGAAGAATCTGTATGGCATTTCGATGTGCCCCCAAGAAGGGTCCCGTTCGCAAGTAGCCTTAGCACTCCGCTAGTGGGTCATGCACGGATCAAGAAACGATGTCAACCAATGGACGCGCAAATCCATTGACAGGCCCGGGCCAAGGAAGTCATGGTACAAGCTCGAGAGAAAAAGCTCTTTTATTCTGGAGGGGGTTGTTCATGTTGCAAGAAAGGATTTTGGATTTCTTCTGTCCCATCAGTGGGTGAAACTAACATCACGGCTGTTCCACGGCAAACCTGCGGAAAGTAGACCAGAAGCGTGAGTGCACCGTGAGTGCGGATGGTCTAAAGCAATCTACGAACGGTGATAGCCAGAAGGAATATCTCCAACAAGAGTCGGAAATTGTATTCTTAAACCAGACTTGAACAGATAGTGATTACGACCTCACTGCTTCTTAAATTAGACACAAGCTTGTGATCTTTAAGAAGAAGCAGCACTTACAATCAGTCCAAGTGATCTTGTTTCGTTCGATATCCTCATTGGATCTTCTGGATCTGCAGGCAAGTCGCACAACCATGGATCAATGAGGCAACTAGAGCAAGCAGCTCCAATAGAGTATCCAGAGAGTCGTTAGCATCCTCAAAACCAAAACCAGCAAATAGCCAATGAAGCCCAGTTTGAGATACTTGACCACTGCAATGAGGAGCAATCGTTAAGGTCAAGCAGGCTCTCTAATGCAGTTCTACTGTGATGATGCTTCGCCCCTCACCTCTAAGCTTCTCGGTAGCCTCATCTAACACGAGATTCAACAACTGATCGTATCCTTTCAGAGTTCCGGTTACTGCACAAGTAGCAACAAGACAATCAACTCGGATCGACACCTGCAACAACGCGTCAGAAATACCATGGCGTACCTGTGCAAATGCGATTCTGATATACTCTGGTTTGAGTAACGAATTGCAAATTGTCGCTGAAAGGTGCCTGAACTTCGAAACATCACAAACATACATCTCATGTTGCAGGCAAGAGAACAATCTCGGATCCTCTCTATTGACCCCAAAATCGATGGGTAAGAGTCGAGTTCTGGGCGCAAGCACGACTTGCACCTTAAGACGTGAGTGCCCAGCCACGTAGACTACCGTAAAGCTTGCCAGTGGCGCAGCAGGCACAATTGGCAGAGAGTAATCAAGAAGATATTGTTCAGCCCTGAATCATATAACCGAGGGAATGCGCCATATTCTTGAGGGCTGAAGTTACAAACAACAGAAGCCTTGATGATCAAATGAGCAGCGTGGCACGAGTTCAACGCCACCGACCTTCTCGTCCACCACTTAGTTTGACCGCCACTCCTTTGTCTACATACTTTGCAAGGTCGAGCACCGTCTCCTTCCTTCCAGACTGCACAAAACTTCGTCTCGTCATCCGGCTGATCAATCAACAGAAGCTTGTGCTTCCTGTTTCAAAGAGCAGTTTTGGAGTTTTGATACGAGGACAGTACGATAGAATTGCGCTTGATTGGACGCGCCACTTAGTGGCAACTAGAATTTGAACGCTATTCCAAAGACAGATACCCTCACCATCTCAAGACAACCTTCGCTTGCCTTCCTGCTTCTAATATCTCCTGTTGCGTGGTTGGCGCGCCTAGAACCCCCTGCAAAGGCTGAGATAAGAACACACGTCTGACAACGAACACGTGTTACCACTTTGGCAACTTTCCGGCCCTTGTCAAAGCACAAAAATAGCAATCACACAGCTATGACGAGCACACAAGCACCGCCAATTGGCAGGGCGCCCTCTAAGCTGAGCTGTACTTTCTGACAAAGCGAATGCTGACCGCTGACCAATTCAGTAAGTGACCTGCCGCTGAGCCATTATTCTCCATGACACTCGTCTTATCGACGTCAATCAGACACTACCCTTGAACAGCAACAAATTGAATCGGGTTAGGTATAATACAGAATCAACATTAGATATCTGAAATCCCCCTTTCTTGACACCACTTCCTGGGACCCAAACTTACACCACCTACGGCACACTAAGCGCCAGAACGACGGCCATACTTGATAACTTTACGGGGTGCTAGCAAAATGCTGGCCTATGAAATGATTTAATCACAGACCACCACCTTTTCTTCAATAAAAAGAGTTGCACTGATTTCAAACATCTGGTTAGAGTGATACACATTCTCCGCTCATGTATCTGATTGGCATCGCTCTTGGAAGATATCACCACCTTAAAACTTCATTAGAATCTGCAATTGCATGGGATTCAGGAACGTAACGGCCAACTGAGTTGAATTTCGCAATGTACAGAAGAATGTATCACCGTGACACATACCAGCTTCAAAAAGGAACTCGTATCCACTTCAAGGGCGCCACGTGCACGTTTCCAAGGCCACCGTCAAAGCTTCTATTGCCAATGCTCTCAGGCGCAGGGGAAGATCTTTCAAACAGCCAAGTCCTCAGAAGACGCTCTGCAACCAGTCTACCAGTGCAAGGAGAAGAGACTCGAAATCTAGCAATGTGCTGGAAAGCTGCCCCGTGAAACCCGGAAAGAATGCTGATCAGCGACGGAACCATGGATCAAACAGGAAAGCTGCAGCCTGTGCGCGCAGGTGCGCGCACAGGGAGACAGTGAAAAGCGCGCGGCCAACATGGTGGAGCGCGGAATAGGGAGGAGCTTCCGAGTAATGCAAATCACAATGTTGGTGGCGCTGAAATTAATTTGGATGTTTGTCAGGAGTTCAGGCCGAGAGAAAAGGGCCATTTCTAGCTGCTGTGTTTCTGTGGCAGGGCGAGCTTTCCAGTAGCAGATAGGCACTCGGGAGTCATCTTCGCAATCTCAAAGAAACTTTCTCTAGCTGCGCCGTTATTGGTAGATCCTAGTTTTAAGTGTCGGAAGGGAGCATCAGCCAATTCACCAAAAGCCTTGGCAGGTGAGCGATGGAAGCATCCTTGCAATGATCTCAATTTGCAGAGCATTGCGGGTATTGTTAGATTAGATTGCACCGATTGTCTTGCTCAAAGTTCTGTGCTTGTCTTTTTCCGTGACCTGAGTGTTTCGTGTCATTTCTATGGTAGCACATGTGATTGATTGATAGATAGCAAGGAGTCTTTTGCAAGTTTCCATTATGGCTCCCCAGCTAAAATTCTCAGTTTGATCCTTCACATCCTTCTTGACTTGGGTTTGCCAGCCTTCTGAATCGGGGAATGTGAACTTGCAAAGTTCATTCGTGTCTGTACTCAATGAGGCTGGAAGTAGTAACATATCCCGAGGATCTCTAATACTTCTGGATTGCCACCAACTCTTCATCTGAACGCTCTATGCTGTTTGTGAACTTTGGAAAGCCTTGACCTCTTGCGTGTGACACAGCTCGCGTAGTTCCGAGATGCTGTCTAGAAGATCTTCCTAAGGAGTTTGAAGTTTGACAACGCGTAACCGTTTGGATGTGTTGGGTCCAGCTGCCTAAAGAGTTGCCCATCCACATCAACCAAGTAGTCCTCAGCAGATGCGGCGATCTTGTACTGAAGGAAATATGATACTCTTCTGGTGTATCAGTTGGTAACCCCCATACACTGAGCTGACAGGGGGCTTCAGAACACAATCATTATGGGCCTCAAAATTACTATGAGCATTGAGCAACTCAACTGGGGCTGAGCTACAGTGTCAACATCTGAAGCTAGGCTGCTGAGCAAGTTGACGCATCATCAACGACATTTTCTGCCAATCGGTTGTTGTCTTCATTGGCAATAAAGTCTCCAGAGCATCTAAGCTGGCAATCTGCTGATGGTGCTGAGTCACTGTCTCTCCCTGACCACAAGATCTGTCTGTGCAGGGCTTTTGTGGAAGTAGGAGCTCCTAGCATGGCCGCCTCTCTGGCTCTGCGACCTAGCTGCGCCCTCGCACCTCCCTCCTCCCTAGCCTCCACCCCCCTGGCTGGCGCACAATCTGCAGCCCCCTCTCTCCTTTCCAAGCACGCCCGGTGGACGTTCCCCAGTCTCTCCCGCTGTTCACCCCCCTCCTCCAAGCCTCGATTTACCCCCCCCCAGTGCACAGCAACCGCGCCAGTCTCCGCTGACCGGCTGTCGAGAGTCGACGTCCTCTCGGAGGCGCTCCCGTTCATCCAGCGGTTCCAGAACAAGACGGTGGTGATCAAGTATGGGGGGGCGGCGATGAAGGACGAGAGCCTGAAGGAGGGCGTGATTAAGGACGTCGTTCTGCTCGCCTGCGTGGGGCTGCGGCCGGTGCTTGTGCATGGGGGGGGTCCCGAGATCAACGGGTGGCTGCAGAAGCTGGGGATCGAGCCCGTCTTCAAGCAGGGGCTGAGGGTCACCGACGGTCCGACGATGGAAGTGGTGGAGATGGTACTGACGGGCAAGGTGAACAAGTCGCTCGTGTCGTTAATGAACCAGGCGGGGGGGAGTGCCGTGGGCTTGTGTGGAAAGGACGCAAAGTTGATCACGGCGCGGCCGGAGGGGGGCGGCGAGTGGGGCTTCGTAGGGGAGGTGAAACGGGTGGACGTGAGTATCTTAAACACTCTGGTTAGGGACGGGCACATCCCAGTGATTGCGTCCGTTGCTGCGGACGAGACCGGACAGTCGTACAACATCAATGCGGACACGGCGGCGGGCGAGATTGCAGCAAGCCTGGGGGCGGAGAAGCTCATTCTGATGACGGATGTCCCTGGGTTGATGATGGATTTCAAGGACCCGAGCACGATCGTTCACCAAGTGAGCATCAAGGGCGTGAAGCAGCTGATTGCCGACGGCGTTGTGTCAGGGGGAATGATTCCAAAGGTGGATTGCTGTGTTCGGTCGCTCGCGCAGGGGGTCAAGGCGACACATATCATCGACGGGAGGCTGCCGCACTCTTTGTTGCTTGAAGTCTTGACGGACGAGGGGCGAGGTACGATGATCACTGGATAGGTCTTGGTATGATGCCCTGCTTGCTTGCACTACTTCAATTACAATTCTTGTAGCGAAGGCGGCCCAATGCGAACTAGGTAAAGTCAGCGCCTTCCTTGCTAGGACAACTGCCCTGTACCAATTGCTTTCTTACACGAGCTCAATCCTAGGTTCAATCGCTGACACCACGTGCATATATACTGTGCCAAGCTTAGCCTATCACTGGCCTCTGAATTGCGCATCTCAGCACGTTTCCGGATGATTAAGTGTACGTTGCTTCACACAACTGAATAATCATGCGTCCACGAAGATCCACTCAACCAAAACCAATCGATGCGGGTATACAGAACTGATGCTCAGATTGGCAGTTTTGTGCGCCCCACGTGCGGGTGACCGCGCGTTGCTCACATGTCGCAAGTAAGGCCTTCAGCATGTGCATGCTCAAAGAAAGTAGTTCTATAAATTCGGGTTTGCGCGACACTGGCTCTAGTTGACATCATGATATTTTACAGCCAATACATGTTGCACACGGAGCCAAGCCGATTACTTACGTACAATCTCATGATTGCCTGGAGGCTCAGATTGCGGCGGCCTTGGGGCCCGCATAGTATATGTTCAATAGTACGTACATAGGTATGCAGTGTGAATGGATTGCGAGCCGGCGCGCAGGCTCTGACTGCATATCGGCCAAGCGATCCAGCTGCAGTTTGGGTGCATGCACAGATTGAACGACATGGTCCGCGTCCGTAGGACGTGGTGTGCACTTGTTGTCAAGTTGACAGCTGGGGCTTGTCACTAAGCCTACTGAAACAAGCAGCTGCACTGATCTGTATGCCATGGAAGCCCATGGCCCATGTGGCTACGGCGTTTGAAAAGAGAACTTACACCAGCAGCAGCCACTGATTATACACATACACATACCGTAATCAGAACATGAGCAGATATAGGTCGGACAAGCTTTTAACAACAGGGAAACTTCCATGCCATAAGCCCCGGCTTTACTACCCACGGCTTTATATTGGCCGCCGGCATGGAGGAGGCATGCACGTACGACTGTAAGACCTCGCATGTATGGGCAAATCTTCTATGTGCATGATTTTGTACGGTGTGCCGGCCTTCCAACATACACTGGGAAAGCGTGCATATGTTGGCTGAGCAAGCCGGGTCCTGTAGTCGAGCTTCCATGCGTGCCAGGTCGCTTGTTGAACAAAATGTGGCGCGCAGTTGCAGGTCAGTACAAGGGGTGCCGCTGCCATACTGCCAATGCTATACCTCCGTGACACAAGTAATTACTCATGCTTAAACAGCCTTAATGGCGTTTGCTGCCTTATCGACCAAAAACTTTAGTCTAGCCTGCTCAAAAGACCAAACGTCTTGATTCCTGTCTAACCTACGCCGCTTCACTTGGAGTACATTTTGTCTAAAGCCTCTTTGAACTGTTTCCTGATGGGGTCTCGCTTCAGCTTCATGGCCTGCGTAACAAGGCCGTTCTCCGGCGTCCATGGCTCCTCCAGCACTTTCACTTTGGTCGGGATCTCGAACCGCTCCAGCTTGGCTTCCTTCGCGACCTGCGGCTCGGAAAGAGAAGGCTGCCTTGAGCAACAAGACTTGCCAAGGAACCAAGCCGTGACTGAAAAGCTCGGACTGCGCAATCAGACAGTGAAGAGCCCCTTGAATTGCGTGCTGGCCTCAAGGAGGGGAAACCGCGGCGGACAGAAAGAGGGCTCCCAAGGAGGTCGTTCCCACATCTCGCATCTCAAATACTCCCCACAACGCAACAGCTGCTGGCGACACTGTCAGCTTCCATGTGAGTATAACACTCCAAGAAAAGGCCCTTCTCTGAACCCGCTACTACTAGAACTCGCCAAGGAGACACAACGGCGACCGGTCACGAGCTGCTTGTGTTAGCGAGTCGCCCTCACCTTCTGCAGCGACTTCTTGACCTCTTCCTCAACTTCGCTCCCGCTGAGGTCCTTGCCTCCGGCCCAGTCCTTGAGCGCCTTGCTGGCGACAACTAGAGCGACGCAGAACGAGTGGTTCGAGTCGGCGTACACCATAAGGTTGTCCACGTATGGGGAGGATGACAGGGCAGCCTCCACCTGGAGAGCACACAGAATTAGCGATTGACCCAATCGACAGTTGACCCAGCGAACAATACCGGGATGGTTGGGATGACTTAGGGGGGTCGGGCAAGTATAGGTGCGGAACAACAAGCTTTCAATGTAGGGTCTTACTTCAATCCAGAAGCTCACTCCTCACGAAGAGACGTAAGCAGATAGGGGCGGTCGGCAAGCTGGTAGAGCATTGATTGAGTCCATCAAAAGAAGTTCAGCGCTTAGGTGATTTCGCCGCCTGAATCATCGGCGATCGTCACCGCTGGCATTGCTTGAGATAGGTAATAGAATACATTTCAAGGAGATGGAAAGGGACCAGAGACAAATATACTCAAGGTGGTGGGCAGGGACCGGAGACAGAGGCGGTTGAACGAGCATAGAAACGTTCAAAAAGACACATCAGAGAACGGGACGATAAACAAGAAAGGACTCCTTGCTCAGCAAGACATGCTCGCCCGACCGGAGCCTCCGTTCTGTTTGGACACAAGCCGAACGGCACAAGGAAAGCGATGAGGGGAAGAGAAGGCGAGAAAACAGCAGGAAAAGAAAAAGCGAGTAAAAAAGATTTGAAACAGACGCAGGAATAAACAGATAGCATAGGACTTTTGCGGCTGCCCTTGCCGAGCAAGACTTACTCCCCATTTGTAGCGTTCCAGAAAGAAAAGCCCGTGACTACGCAAAAAGCCAAGATCCAAAGGCAATTAGCAGATAAACCACGACGTAGTTACGGCAGCATATTCAAGAAGGCAGACGAAGCGGAGACAGCAGACTTCACGATTTACCTTGCCGAGCGAGACGTACTCGCCCATTTGCAGCTTGACGATGTCCTTCTTGCGGTCGATAATCTCGAGCACGCCGTCCGGGTGCCACTGCCCCACGTCGCCCGTGTGGAACCACCGGACGCCGTCCTCGTCCTCCTGCGGACGCCCAAATTGCCACGTGTCAACTTCTATAAAAGTGCAGACAATTCTCATGATACATAGACCATTTTTTGAATTCATCTCTTGATTTCAGTTGCAAAAGAAGCGTCGCTCTTTACCTCCATCGACACAGCCTAGACAAAGCCCCCCGCCTCCGTCTACTGGCTAAGACACTCTTTAGCTGCTCTACAACCATTCACAAGAAACAAGGATTGGGCGACCAGAGGACTGCCACTCTCCGTAACTCTCACAGTCGCCTGACCAATCCCGGTCGCCCCACATTAAACCCACCAAGCAGTCCTTCTTGTTCTTCTTTTCGTTCTTTAAGCAGGCGACCAGATGCCAGCCATTCTCCTCTAAGATCCACAGTCGCCTGGCAATTCCAGGTCGCCTTTATAAAAACCACCAATAAATCCTCCTTGTTTTTCTTATTGTTCTTTATGCAAGGACTAACGGACTACCACTCTACTCTAGGTCCACAGTCGCCTGGCAATCCAGGTTGCCCCTACCGCACTCACCGAGAAGTCCTCCTTGGTCTTCTTTTCGTTCTTGTAGTACCCGCGCGTGACCACCGGCCCCCCGATGCAGATCTCGCCCCGCGGGAAGGGCCGGTCTGTCGTGCGGTAGTTGCCTTCCGGCCAATCGACGAGCTTCACGTGGCACGACGCCACGGGGGGCCCCACGCGCCCCACGCTCCGGTCGTCGGCCTCCGCGATAGTGCCTGGCAGAAAGTGAGAGAAATCGAAGGATTTTGATTAGGGAAGAGGACTTCCAGCGCACTGTTCCGCCTGGTTTACTGAGATGCGAGCAGTATAAGCGAGTTCGCAGTGTCACGGACGAGAGCCGGATGTTAGATTCACAACCTGCAGTATATCGTGGGTCGACCCGCGCCGAGGTGCGCACTTTCTCCAACTCTTTGCGCACTCTAGTACTGCATGTCTTGGCACAAGCACGTGTACCCTAGCTTCAAAAATTCTAACAATCAGAGAAACAGAGAGGAAGTCGGAAAGCAGAAAGAATAGGAAAACAAGGGTTGAAGAGAGAAAATGAGATATGCAACCGTCAGGCACCGCGCGATCGGAGCGCGCAAGTGATCTTCATCAATGGCGTACGTCTCAATTAGCCCGTAACGTTGTGGACTAGAAAACCTCACCGATGGCACACATTTCGGTTAGCCCATAACCCTTTGCAATTGAAGATATTACCGATGGCACACATTTCGTTTAGCCCATAGCCCTGTGCAATAGAAGATCTTCACAAATGGCACACGTCTCGGTTAGCCCATAACCCTGTGCAATAAAAGGTCTTACCGATTGCGCACGTCTCGGTTAGCCCATAACCCTGTGCGATGGGGCAGCCCATCGCGATGTTGATGAACCGCTGCGTGTCGCTGGACAGCGGCGCCCCCCCGGACACGATCAGCTGCAGCCGCCCCCCCAGGATGTCCTTCACCCGCCGGAACACCAGCAGGTCCCACAGCGCCTGTAACAAGCGGGAGGGACGGCCGCTGACGTCAGCAATCGGTTAATTCTTACGTCAGCCACGACTGAGCGGACCGCCGCCTGACAGCAGCAGCGAGGGAAGGATGTACGGGCGCGACGTTCGTACGAAGACGCCTAAAAGTTGCCACGTAACATTTACGACTCATACGAGCTGCTGGCGGCTTAGGAAACGCGGGGGCTTTGCGAAGGAGTCAAGCATGGTTAGTACTCAGATCAATTCAGAGGGCGCTCAAATTTCAGAATGCACTGGACGCTTTTGGAAACAACTTTGCGACCTGTCTCTCAATACCTACACCTTGGATTCCAAGCGGCACACAGGAGAACAGTCAAATGAGACATAGGATACCTCCCTCCATCCATAACCAAATAAAAGCGGCGCACCTTTGTGAAGTTAAGAAACCAGACTCGTCAGTCTAAGCAACTTTCATTACCCACCTTAAGAATGCCGAAGCCCTCCGCCCCGCTCTCGAGCTGCGCCAGGCGGCTCTTGTAGGCGATCTGGTAAAGCATCGAGACCAGGAAGCCCGCTTGCTTGATCTTTGCGTTGACAGTGTCACGGATCCGGTCCATAATGGCGGGAACAGCTGCGATGATGGTCGGTCGCAGGGTCGGGGCGTCGCCCCGGGTGCCCTTCTGCAGCTTAGGCGACTGGTCGGAGAGAGTGAGCGGGGAACCATACCTGGTTAAGCGAGGTTAGAAGATGGTTAGGGAACGGCTATCAGTTGGGCGACCTTTGACCCATTTTTAGCGTGTGATCGAGGCGTCGCCCAAGTGCCCTTTCGCATCTTGGGCGAATGGTGGGAGAAGGTGAGCAGAGAACCCGACCTAGCTAAGCAGGGTTGAGGATGGTTAGAAGAAAGACGGAATTCAGAACTAGAAGGAGCGACTTCGAACAGCTTTGGCCAACTGATCCATAGGGCGGGGAGCCGTACCTCATTAAGCAGGGTTAGGGATGGGTAAGAGGGAAACGGAGGTCAGACTTAGGAACGGCGGCCTTGGGACGCGGTTGAACGGGGTCAGGATATGAAAGGCGCCGCTGTGTTGGTCTAAGAAGATCAGGGGCGTAAAGCAAATCGACGCTTGACTGTTCGTCACATACTAATATCACTCATTCCTAGTAGCCCACATTCACCAGGTGACAAGCTAGCGTGATGAAAACAGCAACTTCCTTAAGTACTAAGGTAAGGCTTACCCAATGGAAGCCCCCAGTGTGAGGATGGCGTGTTCGGCTGCCAGCTCCAGGACGTGGGCGAGTGGCAGGTAAGCCAGATAGGACGCACTCGCATCCGCTTGCGGAACAGACGCCAGGACACCGGCGGAGGCGGAAACGATGGCGGCGTGCGGGATCATGACGCCCTGTAGTTACGAGAGTATCTTTTGAGTCTTGTAAGGCTCGACTGAAAACGGTCGAGCATGCTTTGTACTCGTCTAACAACGAGTCCAAGAAAAGGATACTGCAAAAAAGCAAAGCATGTGCCCTGTTTTGATTTTCCATATCAGCTTTCATTCAAAATCTGAAAGCTTGTTTCCACGTTTTTCATGGGCTCGTCGATTGCTCGTTCCTTCTTCGAGCTTTGATTGTTATGTTGGAGGAACTTCAACTCCGACTCGAGCTCCCCACCTCCCTACGATTTCTTACGACCTATCCAGCTTGGTTCCCCCATCATTAAAGCAACGAAACATCGCTGAACGATGGTCGTGCTGCAACGCTTTCATATCCAAGCACTACCAAGCAGTGCCTCCAAACCCTCTAAATATGTGGGTTTTACATCGACACCCGAAACATGCTCTTCATTTTCGGCTGTGTTCACTTCGACGACACAGGTCCCTGGGGCGGTTGAGGTGGGAATGTTTAGAATGGTATGAGTATGGAGCGCGCATGTTGGTGTGTGGAGAATGTTGAATCGGTTCATAGCACTAGCAGATATCATAGCATTACCGATTAAGTTGGACAGAACTCAAGCACAAACATCACGTTTATTCTGGCACAGATATCACGATCAGATTGGCACCGAAATCAGGGTTAAGTTGGCCACGAAGCTAAGAGTAATCACCTTGGGCATTCCTGTGCTCCCGCTCGTATACATGATGACGGCGAGATCGGACGGCTTGGGCAGCGTGGGCTTGGCAGGCTGCTTCTCCCCGAGTGCCTCCAACTCCTTCATGCTCACAATGTGCCACGATGACGGCATCTTCGGTAGCTCCACTGCAAAGATTTTGGTCAGATTGTCAGGCACCAGAGACATGGAAAGTTGACACGCTTGGTTGGTCCTAATTTGCACATTGTAAGATCCTTCGGGTTGACAGTGTGGCAATTCTTATCAATCATCACTGTGAACGAAGGAAAAAGCCACTACGAAAATGGCAAATTGAGACGTGACGTTTTCATGGAAAAAGCTGTCCAGCCCTGCAAGTAACCGAATCAACCAGGTCCTGAACAAACGTTCACAGGTGCTGAGCTCAAGAGATTGGAACACACGAGTCGAAATCAGCCACGACAATCTCACGTTCAAACACAAGGCCCCATCAAACATTCTTGAGAAGCAACGAAGAATTTATGTGGACAAAAGAAAGTGCCCAAGGCCTAGGTGGGCACTTACTGTCGGGGTTGATGTCATCGAAGTAGATGACCCGCTTGACGGTCGTCAGCTTGTCGGCGACCTTGACCAGCTTGCCCATGAGCTTCAGATCCGCCACCACCGTCTTCACCTCCGTCTCGCCGAGCGCGTGCACCAGGGCCTCGTCGCCCAAGGATGCATACACTGTCAAAAGATTCACCAGCACAGCAGTTCAAGAGGGCGTCCGATTTTGGGATTTCAAAGATGCACACTGGTTGAGTCCTATTTTGGAAGCTTCGAGTTGAAAGAACTGAGCTCCCGACACCGTACATTGCTTGGAGTGGACATGCATGTCCTACGCCCTCTCAAGCGATGAGCAGAGACGAGGCTGAACAATCGGTCCCAGGCTTGTTGATCCATTAAAGCTTGTTGAAAAGTGACAACCGCAGGTGGACATTGTTACACCCTATGGCGTTTTCTACGAGTGCCAAGTGGGGCTGGTTCTTTATGTGGCCCAAACAAACGACACTTCGGAGAGCAAACCACGGCAACAGAAGACGGCTGATCTTCCAAAATGAGTTTTGATTGAAGATCGTCGCCCCATGACAATTGGCCTCACGCCGCAACTGCTAAGCGTCTGTCTCCTTGTTTCAAGATTTGGACACCACTTTTTGTGTAGGTATTTGGAACGTTCCTCACCAGTAACAACCGGAATGCTCTGTCGAGTGGCTGCTTGCAGGGTGACAATCCATCCCGCCTGCGTCTCGGCAAATATGCCGAGGTTCTCACGGGGCTTGTGGCCCAGTGCAATGAGACCCGAGGAGACACGCTCAACGCGTTCAAACACCTGGCAAGATAAGTAAAACGAATGGCGCTTTGTTTGGCAGCCCAGCAAGCGCGGACAAAATTGTTTCGTGGCCTCGACAAATGTGTGTGACGGAACAGATTGAGGAAGCGCTAAAGAAATACGCCAACAATGAATTAATGGCTTCAACAAACAAATGATTGCATAATTTCTCCCCACTCACTTTGGTGAACAAAGCGTCCAGCTTGCAACACCTCGAAAGCAAGTACGAGATGGGGACTAGAGCAGTGGGAATTGTCGCAGTCATCCGAAGGGCTCCGCTAAAGAGCACTTGCAAGTCTGCGATGTCATCCAACGGCCAGGGTGTGGTACAGGACTGCTTGGAACACACCAGACACCTGCAGTGACCCCTTGACGCGGCCACCAAATTCCATCATCTTTGTACATTTTGTTACTCTTTTGAAAGAGAGTGTTTTTACCTGCTGGTAAGTTTGGAACTGGTACTCCCCAAGCGTCAGCTTCTCAAAGTTGCGCTTGGACTTCTCGTCAAAGAACTCCTCGCGCTTAATCACCCGTCGGTGGCCCAGGCACTTGTTGCCGGCGTTCTTCTTGGCCGACTGCTCAAAGAGGCTGGCCAGGGTTTCAGCGCCATCCCATGGAGTTTCCAGGAATGCCAGATACCTGAAAGGATTTGAAAGTACAAGTGAGAGAACTAATTGCTGCCAGGAATGCAGCTTGCTAGACAAGTGCTCTGACCAGCCCCAGCAGAGTGTTTGCTGCAATGTAGAAAAGAGCTTGAAGATTGTTGAAAGGTGATTGCTTTAGCGAGCAGTGCGGTGGTGGAAGGTGAGAGTCATGTCAATATTCTCAGCTATTTTGTACTGGATCAATAGCAACTGTACCTAGGTCAATTTCCAGAGATGGAGATTCTCTGTGCTTGTTTCGTAACATGAACAGCAAAGCTCTATTCGCACTAGCTGCGTCTGAAAAAAAAAATTCTGAAAAGCAACAGTGGTTGGTATAGCAGCGCTGACAGCAGTGGAACCTAAAAAGAACGTTGATTGTGTTTCTTCAACTCGAAGGGTGCTGAGTAATGATCAACAGTGACTGACTCGTAGAACTACTGAAAATGTTAGCAGTGACTCTAGATACCACCAATATTTCTCAAGACCACGAATGTCTTTCTACACTGCATTAAAAGTTGGAGCACACTGGGCAAGCTCGCTTCTTGTGGTCGTTCATTTTAATTGGCATAGTACAGATTGGTTCTGAACAGAAAATAAGAACTCTGCAGAAGGAGAAAGACACAACCAAAATACCGCTTTGTCTTGTCGCAATGGACGAACAAAAGCCCACTGCAGCGATGAGACACGAGCAAGACTTGAAAGCCAGCTTCTTGCAGAGTATCATGCCAAATCTTTCTATACACTCCTAGATTAACCCTCTGCATGCAGCCACTCTTTGCTTGCAGGGAAGCATTGCAGACCCCCACCTCTTGTTCCGCCTTGCTTCCCCAGGATTTGGTCCTGCAGCCTTCACTGGCGCTCCGCGGACTTTGAGCCTCTTGGGCAACAAAGACCACAGAGCCAAGGTGAATGTCAAAGCCAAGACCGTCAAAGCCGACGGGATGAGATACGTCTGTAGATAGCGGTCAGTGAGGGGCCACGACGCATGGCGGTGCAATCCGTCCAACCACTTGTGAAGCGTCGCAAAAACGTCCCCGTGCTGCTCCATTCTTTGAAGTCACACGAGCAAGTCGCCTGATGGGGATCCAAGCAACCCCAAACAACCCAAGAATTGCTTCCGCCCTCCCTGCAGCCTGCAGTATTCTTCCTGGCCCACCTGAACACAAGCTGCTGCTAGCACTGCAACTTACAAATTGCAAAGTTGCATGAGCAGATTAACGCAAATAACGGACTCGTTGGTGACTTTTTCTCGATCATCATCATGCCAATGGGCAAGATCCTACGTGGCAGGCTAAAAAAGCCATGCACCGAATGACAGCCCGCCAAGTGGCGAAGCGTCCTGACGTCAGCCTCTCCGCGAAGCTCGCAAAATAGACGTCAGACAAAAAGGACCAACGCCAATGGCTGAAAAGCGTACCTATCATGACCTATGCTTCTGTTCTCCCTCTTTTTGGACAAGTCGAACGTTGCATTCCTGAAGCTGCTCCCTTCTCATTGCATACGGCCGACTTGGAATGAGCTTGAAATGAGCTGAAACGGAGGCCTTCTTTATGCCCTTTTTGTATCGGTTATCCCTCCTCTCTCCGCATTGCCCTCTTCAAGCTGGGATTAAGCTTTTCGAAAAGGTACGAAGACCAATCATGGCGGCCACCGCAGGAAGACTGCAGGGGCTGGTCAGCGTCATCACAGGCGCAGCCAGCGGCATTGGGCGGAGCACCGCCAAAAAGTTCGTCGAGAATGGGGCCAAGGTGAGGAAAACCTCGCCATCTGCCTTGCGCTTTTATGGTGACCTTCGGTGCAATCATGGTGACCTTTGGCGCAATCAAATTTTGAATGCCTTTCAACGGAGCTCAGGGTGGTGCAGACGCCAAGTTCCAATGGACGCAGATGTCACTGAACATTTGATCCCCCCCAAATCTTACTATCCCCTTGTGCCCATATGATATGTTTGCCCCTTCCATTGTCTGAAGCTCGAGCACAACTCCCATGATCTTAGATGCTGCAGAAGGCTGTACTTGGGAGTGACCATTCAACAATGAGTTCAGTTGCAACTGGAAGGCACCCGTCAGTGCAATGAAAAGTTTCAATGCATAGGCTTAATTATTAATTCTTTGGGCAAATCTCCTCTGGCTGAAGAGCTTGTTCCAGAAATATACTGCTAGGGCCTGTGCAGAAGTGCCTCTTTCTTCTGAGCTTCAAATTCCTCTTGATGACGGTGTCAGGATGTTTTGCAACACATGCTTTGCTCAAGTGTCTTAGGCTGCCTTCGCTATGTGAAGAGCTTTCTCCATTTAAAATATCAATTTCGTATTTCAAATTACAATTCTATCTGTCGCTGTCACTGCTTTTCAATAATCTCCTCATACACACTTGTCTCTCTTACAGAAATAGACCTGAACATACTCTTTTCAGCTTTTCGAAAGCTGAAAAGATTTGGGTCATCTTCACATGGATTTGAGAAACCTCATGAATCTATTTCTGCAAATATCTCCCACACAAGTCTCTCCATGGCAAAAATAGATTCTCAACTGGTCCATGTCTGCCAGGTCATCGTTGCTGATCGACAAGTAGAGCTTGGGGAGGCTGTTGTGAAGGAGCTCGGATCCGCAGCGTCGTTCGTCAAGTAAGTGTCCGTTGTCTCCAGGCCACTCCGCTAGCTGAAGCCTGAAGATATCAATCTTGTTTGTGGGATACTTCTATCGGTGGCTGCTTTGGAGTGGCGACGCTTATAAGCACGGGCAAACCTGGTTCGCAACACCTCAAGTGGATTTGAACCTCCTTAGCTCGGATTTCGTCCATGTAGGTTGCTTAAGCTGTGTTTTCCTTTCGCATAAACTCCCTCCTTTTTCGGCACACACTCTTCAGGCTTGAGATGGTGCCAAGGTGCTAGAGCAGATCTGGTAGGTCCACGTCTCTGTATGTGGAATTGTGTCCACAGCTTCGGCGGGGTTTTGAAAACTTCAGTCCACTGCTTCTACACAACTTCTCCTTGAACGTTTTCAAAGAGACGGTGCCCAGTCCTGCCCTTAAAAAGCTCGAACGTCCAGGGCATCAAGCACCTCAATTGCCTTACAACGCCCTCGAAAACCCCTCTGGCGTATGTCCCAAAAGGCTGACGTTATCGCTGTGTCCTCAAAATGAGTCCTTGACTTTTTGGAGCCTCCAGTAGGTGTGGCGCTGCAGGGGAGACCAAACATCGCTGTCCCTTCCAATCCGGTCAATTGTTGTGGCCTGAACCAATCAATTCGCCGGAACGGTTTATGCTAAAGGTTCCAATTCATTAGGTTCTTGCGATTTGAAGCCAAATTCTTCGCGGTCTCACAACATTCTGAACACTCTCAGATATAATCCAGAACGCAGAAGCACCGTCCTATCGTCGTCTGACTGTAGTCTGTAGCTCTTCCCTTTTCTCGTCAGTCCCGACCAATCTGACTCCAATCTGACTCCACGATCGAGCCCGGCGAACGTTCTAACCGCTCAAAAGCAATCTCTAAAACCCCCAGGTGTGACGTCACAAAGGAGGATGACATCGCCGCCGCCGTCGATGCGGCCGTCAAGCAACACGGGAAGCTAGACATCATGTACAACAATGCAGGAATTGTTGGCGAGCGGGGTCCGATCGATCAGGCGAAAGTGGAGGACTTCGACTTCACGCTGAACGTCAACCTGCGGTCCGTGTTTTTGGGGATGAAGCATGCGGCAAGAGTGATGAAGGAGCGGAAAACGGGCTGCATTCTGAGTACGGCGAGCGTTGCGGCGATTGCCGGGGGCATTGGCCCGCATGGGTGAGGAACGTGAAAGGACATGAGTTTGAACCTTCAGATGCGCGGAGAAAGATCAGATTCCCACGGGACAAAATTGGGAGTGATCGAAATTCTTTGCTTCCCCAGCTTGAGGCACGAAGCTTCGAGGCACGAGGCACGAAGCACGCGGCACGAAGCTTCAGGCACGAAGCTTCCGATTACGCCCGACACCTAGGTTCGAGTTCTAGAAGACGGAGATGGACATGAGGAATGTACTGGCAGGTTGCCGAACACACCCGAAAATAGAAGACGTTTACTTCAGGGCTCTGGTTTTGTTTTCTCCAAGCTGAAGATGCCTGCCAAGCGCAGCTCATGAGTTCTTTTTGATTCCGCCGAGTTTGTCGGCATCGGACGAACAATGACACCAAGCATGAGAGAAGCCGTTTTACTCTTATCTCGGTTCGTAGAACAGGGGCCTAGAGCGACGTCTTGGTATTAGACCTCTCGAATAGCAATTTTCGGGGGCCGGAGCCCGCTGGATTCACGCGGGAGGATTTACTTCAAAAACCTGTCACTACGTTGTGAGCTTCCAGATGATAATTTCTTCGCAGCCCATCTTGAAAGCTGTTCTCCACTCTCTTCGCACTTCTCCAACGCAACAGATCTGCCCTGGCGAAACCCAATTATCTGACCCCTTTTCTCGAACCCCCCTCAGGTACGCTGCCTCCAAGGCGGCCATCGTTGGGCTCACTCGCAACGCCGCGGCGGAGCTCCAGGCGCACAGCATCCGCGTGAACTGCATCCTCCCCGGGGGGGTGGTCACCCCGCTGATCCACTCCCTGAACCCGGACGTCAAGCTCACGGACGAGCAGCTCGGGTGAGCGGACCGTTTGATGGGCAGATTGGACGACGTAATCTGGGATTCTATCACCGTTTCTTGCTTCCCTTTGTTTGCGCCAGGATGTGGCCTTGATATGTTGGAAGGAAGACGGTGCTATCGAAAGTGGGACGTCGTTTGAATGTGAAGGAGCAGCTTACGTGTCTGTACGAAATGAAGAAACAGTTATCTTCTGTGGGACGGTCACACAGACGGTCAGGTGCTAAGATGTTGCGTTCGCACGAGAGCTTTCCCCATTCGCTGGAAGTGCGTGAGTAGCTTGTGCTGGAAAGGTGGGAGCTCCTGCATAAACCGGAGCGGCTAAGGAGTTACTTTCGCAGGCTTCCAGGTTTGAACCACACGAAGCGCTTGTCGACATTGTGTCTTCGATCCCTTACTCATAACATGCGATGGCGATACTCCAGCCGTTCTCTCTACGAACTCCGCCTTATCGTCCTGATTGCAGCCAGGGAATGGTAGGCACAATGGGCTTTGGGGGCCGTTACATTACTCCTGACGACATCGGCAATCTGGCCGTCTTCCTGGCCAGCCCCGACTCGTTTTTCATCACCGGGCAGGGAATCACGGTGGACGGGGGATTCATCGACCTTTACAAGGATTCGCTGGACTTGTGGTTTGGCTCGAAGCAGGAGGTTTTGAGGGAGGCGGGAAAGACGGGCCACCCGACAGGGGACGAGAAGTAGTCTTTGGGCAGCAACGCAATAAGTCACTGTTTTCGTTGCGGCGTAGAAGTACTGTGATTTTTGATGGGGCGATAGGAGCTTGCAGATACTGGCCGACCAAAAAGGTCGGGTGTAAATTGAGAGTTGAGAAAGACCGCTCGGGAGCCGTGAAGTGTAGACAACGCTTGCATACGATGTTAAAATTGAAGAGAGACCCGTCCACAGCTCACCGGTTGGATCAAAGCTGACCACGTGTTACTGTTGAAGACCTACTCGTTCTGTCCAGAGACGGTAGATCGCTTTGCCGGGAAAGGAACCCTTACGGGCACGAGTTGGAGCTACAGTAGGAGAAGCGTACAGCTAGCTAGCACAGTCAATCTGGATACATACGCACTGCTTAAACAATTGCCACGGAAGATTCTGACGACCCGCGAGGGCTTGGAGTTGAGGAGCGAAGTTCTTGACATTTAGGCTTTGATCACCATGGCAGCTATACAATGTAAGCCCTTGAACCGTGCCAATTGTCACCGAAGATGCAATGGCAACTTTCAACATGCGGCACATATGGCCCTAACTAGGTCTCGCGTAATACTTAATGCCGAACGATGTATGTTTGAATCTCAAGCCATGTGCATGAAGGCGGCCAGCTAGCCTGACTCGATGCAGATTGAAGGGTCCGCTGGGCACATGTGATGTCTTTGCAATCCCTGCAAGAACAATTAAGTTGCCAAAGCTGCTCGATGCGGAGAAATCTTGCTTTTGCAACTCGTCTCATGCAAATGTCGCTTATCTAAGCGTCGCCAATCATTGGTTAGAGTCACTGCATGACATTGCTCAAGGTGAATTGATTTGACGCGTGCATGCATTTCCCGGCAACTTATCTGTTTGCAACTGTTTATGGACGATTGGGACACCGCTTCTGACCGCTTCCACTTCAACGTCAGAATCATGCATGACGAATTCTGAACACAGATCAGAGTGCTGACAATCGACCTACGAGGTACTGTTATCAGAGGGTTTAGCTCTCGTTCGTTCGAAGCTAGGATTACTGTAGTACGTGCAGCTGTCACTTCGGTTTGGTAAACCAGGGGACACTGAGCCTTGGCCTTGCGCCAGGGACGAAGGTTTTTCCCAAAGGGGCGAAAGGCAAAAGAGCAAACCGGTCGCTTAGAACCGGCCAAAAAGCACAAGAAGGCATCTTCTGATTACAAGCAGGAAAAGTCCATAGGGTCCAAGCATTGCGGACAGGCGAAGGCATGACGACACCGCAAAGGCTTAAGGGCCTTGCCTGCGTCATCACAGGCGGCGCCAGCGGTATCGAACGGAGTACCGCCAAAAACTTTGTGGAGCATGGAGCCGAGGTGGGCTTCGATCTAGATCTGGGCTTGTGAGCTTGCAACCAAGTCAAAACTTGCAACAGGATGAAGCCGCCGGCCATGGAAACAACGGGCCGAATCAAAAGCGCAGGACTGAGTCCACAAACGTGCGGGTCATGTCTCAGAAAGGCAGGCAATGAGGAAGTAATCTGCAATTTACATCAAGCTTCCGTCGAAGTATGTATAGACGGTGCACCTCAGAGACGACCTGCCTGCTTAAAGAAGTTTCCAAGGCAGGGCGTCAGCTGTGGTCTCTAATTTATCCATAGAATCCGTCTTAATTTCTTGGTTCATTACGGGTGTTTTTCCTTTTGGATGGTAGTTTTCTATGGATAGACCAATCTGAAGGCGATAGCATTCGTCAAAACAGTCATTTTTGAAAATCAAGATCCATTGTTCGGTACCTGCAAAGATTATATGATTCGATGTGCTGACGCGGCAAGGCCCCCTCTTTGTTGCGCGTGCCAGGTTATCATCGCGGATCGGCAGGTGGAGCTGGGGGAAGCGGTTGCGAAGGAGCTGGGACCGGCGGTTACTTTCGTTAGGTGCGGCTATCGCCCAGCTCTATCAGGGACTGTGAACTGTGCTGATGAACATATTCCGGGTCTGATTGGCTGCTGGTCTCCGTGTCGATCCAAATCGTCACTCCTTGTGAAGACGACCGATCTGGTAGGCTTGCGTCTGCTCGCGTTGTATTTGCGCATTTCTGAAACCTTTCGCGTATGGTATGTTTTGGAACAGGGCAGTCGTCACGGTCTTTGTTTTCAAACCAGAGGAGCATGCGAAGCGCCTAAGAAGAGGAGCGCTATGGGACTCAAAGCAAGTCTGGCATCCCTCGCCGTTTGTTACCACTCAATCCTTGAACCTCAATAAAGTTTAACAACAACTCGTCCAACATAAACTTCATCAATCTGTTTTCAGCGCTTGCAATCAGGTGCCGTGCTCTGCCCCGCAGGTGTGACGTCACCAAGGAGGCCGACGTCGCGGCCGCGGTCGACGCTGCGATCGCGCGCCACGGACGGCTCGACGTCATGTTCAACAATGCTGGCGTCATCGGGGAGCGGGGCCCGATTGACCAGGCACGTGCCGAGGACTTTGACGCCAGTCTAGGCGTCAACCTGCGCTCTGTGTTCCTGGGTATCAAGCACGCAGCCCGGGTGATGAAAGAGCGCGGAACCGGGTGCATTCTGAACACGGCAAGCGTGGTCGCGGTGACAGGGGGACGGGGACCGCACGGGTGAGAAGCCCCGGGCGATTGGGCTTGTTGCTTGAACGGACGTTGTGAAAATGCACGTCACTTCAGAGAGGGCATCGCGGCAGGGCTGTATTGTCGTCTGTTGCGACTACCTTCGGTCCCTGTCCATCGATCTGTTCTAATCTCTCTTTAACTCGCAGGCAGCTATCGTGTGTCTATTCTGAAGGGAAGTGCGCACCCAAAGGCCAGAGAGGTTTTTATAATCCGGATGTCTATATAAGCGTACTCCCTCAAGATACTTGCACAGAAGCTTTAGGCAGAGAACTTTTTTAAATTTGTTATATCACTCAAAACAGCGATCGGATGACGGTTCACTGGTCAATCCAAATACTTGAGAGGAACGGTTGATCGGCTCAGAGACTGATCGCAGGAACGTGCTGCGTCTGAAGAATTTTGACCTGAAAGATAGCGCATGTTACTGCTTACATGCTCTTACTCACATCCTTACTGCTCGCGCTTTAGAATCTGTGATCAAGACTTTCGTCGGCAGTTACGCGGCCGCCAAGGCGGGCGTGGTGGGGCTCACACAGAGCACCGCGCGCGAGCTGCGCGCGCACAACGTCCGGGTCAACTGCATCCTGCCCGGGGCGGTGGTCACCCCGCTCACGCGCTCCCTCCGGCCGGAGACGCACGCCAATAAAACGGATGAGCAGGTCGGGTGAGTGAACCGGTTGAAGCCGTGCTGTTTGCGACCGAATACCAATCCACGCTCTGTCTTTCCTTTTATCTGGTCGTTTATGATGCTTAGAATTTTGCCTTGCCTCCAAGAAAGCAGACGAGCGGTTCAGCAAGTAAACCAAAATAGCTTCCTCGAATGATCGGGCTAATTTGATCTTCGCATGTTATCGAGCATCCAAAATATCTCTGTACTTTGTCTTCCAATGTATACGTCAGACCAATGGCCGCCATAAAGAGGCGTTCGTATACAAGTCTAAGGGAGAGAACCCCTTTGAGAGACTTGCTGACGAATGAGTTTCGAAGTAGCACGCTTTCGGCAGCAAGAGATCAAATTAGACTCCTACCAGCTTCTTTCAAGAATTCAATGAAAGCAAGCCTCTCGCTTTGCGTACAATGTTCACTTCTTGCAAGAGGGTCGTTGGACGAAGGCTCCCAGTATACATTAACACGAGTCACGAAGACAACTTTGTTTCTGCCGCAGACAATTCCTCGTAGACCGAGGAATGGGCTTCGGGGGCCGTCATATTACGCCTGATGACATCGCAAACTTGGCAGTCTTTCTGGCCAGCCCTGACTCGTGCTTCATCACGGGTCAAGGCATAGTGACCGACGGCGGAATGATTGACCTGTACAAGGATTCTTGGGACATGTGCTTTGGAACAAGGGAAGAGGTAGCGAGGGAAGCAGGTTGTTAGCGGGGCTCCCAGATCGTCAGCAAAGGCGTCTAGCGCATGTTCCTGATTTTGTTGGAACTGACGGGGTAGGATGTACAAAACGCGAGCGCAAGATGAAGATTTCCCGCGCACGGTTGCCGCTTGCCGCTTTGTGTTGGGCTTCTTACAGTTTGGCCTCGCGGACGATGCCCCCACGATGCCGCTGAACCGTTCGATGCATTGAGTGAAGAAAAAGGTTTTTACTAACTGGCATACAAGCGCGGGTGAAATCAGCTTTGTTACAAGGGGACGGATGCGAATAACTGAACGAAGTCGAAAGAGTTTCTTGGAATGTATGAAGTTTTGCAGTCGGCGGCACACGGCCTATATAGATAGCGCGCAGAAACAACGCACTCTTAAGCTTCTAAGCATTGAAAAAAATTTATTGGTTGGGCCCACTGGGACTGGGACGCGGTCGCATGCATGCAGATTGACATGGATGTGCAATTGGAAACCCTCCGACCTCGATCGCTAAAGTTCACGATCCTTCCAAAATTTGGGACTCTGGACGGAATGCAGCTGCGTATAGGCCGCAAGGTGGGCCTAACTTGTAAGGAACTCGCAAGCAAGTGTACAGTCGGTCTCAAAGATGCAGGACGGTCGGAAAGTGCTATGAGCGCCCCGCGCGTTCGTCGATTATATATAGCGCATACATCCAGCTTGCTTTTATAAGTGGCTCGGGAGACACATGCACTGGTGGGTTATCAGGTAGCTATCTACAGACCATGACCGCAATCCTCAAGTGAGTCTGGCGCGGCAAAGCTATTTTTGGCAAGTGACGAGCCATGTATTCGATCACATGTCTAGTGGCAAGCAATGGTACCGGCTGCTTAAGCCAGAACTTACTTCGAACCAAAGATAATGTTTGTATTGGAGAGATTTACGAAGACGCCTGATCTTTGAAGATACGAGGTATAACGGACGTATGGAGCAAGATGGCCTTGCATGGTGTTTTTCACGGAGAATTGGTCATATGTAATGTTGATGGTGCAGAACGAAACACCTTACTCATTCCACGTCACGAACCCAACATGACAAACGACCACGTATGGCCCTCGACTACTGCGGGCTCGCATTTTATTGGTAGCATTCTATCAGCTCGCAACCCACAAGTCTCCACCCTATCTCCTGCCGGAGCTGCTCCATACGCTTTCTCTGGGCGTCCAGGTCACTTATTGGGGTCGTGAAAGGGTAGACGAAGATTACTTTTTCGGCAATGGAACGATACGTGACGACGTCCCTTTTGACCAGGAACTCTATCAGGTCCCTGCCAAACCGTCCGTCTACCTCGGCCAACACGTAGTGCTCTGCAATGGAAGGACGTCGGTTCCAAAAGGAGGAGCGAGTGATGATAAGTCAAGTCACCGGGTGCCACGCTGCCCTCATTCAGACGTCAGGGCTTTGTCCGCCAAACGGCTCAGCATCCAACAAACTAACTTCGGGGCCAGGAAAGCAGAGGCCGTAAAGACGAAACGCAGCCTTTGAGGCTTCGAAGCAAAGATATCTGTTCGCATCAAGTATCTATAGTTGCTGACACGGCAAAATGGTTGCTGCACCGTGGAGCGCGTATGATGGGACTCACTGTCGTCGATCGGTTCCGACTTCAGGATGGTGGCATTCTTCTGGGTTGCTAACACCGCCGTTTCGATGGCCTACGTCATTGCACAAGGTTTCAGAGATTCAGTGGTTCCAAAACAAGGTTTCTTGTCCAAGTCAAAGGACTCGTGCCAGCCCTTTCAGTTGCTCGCCGGATAACAATGTTTCAAGTAGACGAATCAAAACTACCCAGCTTACTGCTCCCAATCAATCAGAACAGCCTTCCACCGTTCCGAATGTCTCACTTTCACAACCTCGAATCACTTGAACAACACACCAGCTGTTTGCAAATGGTAAAAAGGGCAGCGTTTGTAGTCACCTGTGCCGCTTTGCTGCTTTGGCCTTGCAACCGCTCGGGGAGCTCCCAAGGGCTCATGTATGAGGCGTTGTTTGAGGCGCTGGAAACGCAGTTTGGGTTGTAGTCGGAGGGGCAGGCGCGCAATCGCCTGGGAATAGACACGTTCCAGCTGCCTATCAAGGCTTTTGCTTAAAAAGAGCGGCTGATCATGCACATGGTAAGTGGTGTTATTAGTCTAGAGGGTTTGACGGTGAGTGGTCGTTCCTTGTTTTAGGGTGACGTTTTAATGCATTGACCAGATTTTGAGTTCCAAGAACCAAATCAAATGGCGACGGAGAAATCATCCATCTTTAACCAAGCCGCTCACCGTGTGTAGATGTCCTACTTTGAGGCAGATTACGCATGTCGAACCGATCAAAGTACTAGCTTTTCAATCCAATTGAGATTGATTCAGTCATCTTACATTTCTGGGTGGTGATGGTTCCAAGAACCAACCTGGGGCGAGATCGAGGAGATCGTCTCAACATTGTAATACTGAAATGTGGCACACAGCTATGGATTGGCACTGAATGAGATTGTTCTCTTCGCATTACAGTGAAGGAGGAAAGTGGGCACTGAAGATTGAGCTTGGGGCACAATCCATAGTAGTAATAGCCCCCATACTTCAAGAACAATTCGACTCGAAACAATGAATATGCAGCAGAACTGCTGAATGTATCTGTATCCTCAAAGAATTGCACACAGCAAGATGAGAAACACTCACCCTTTAAGCAGCCCCACAACCGTCTGCTTGCCTTGTGTTTGCGAGTAGGGCGTGTCAGCCCTGGCTTTTGAACACTTGCTGACATCAGCAAGGGCGCTCAAGAGCGTTAGTGCTGCCACCCTGGCTAGACCCTGCCGGCGCGTCACATTTTGTGTCGCTAGGCATTCCTTATCAGCGGACGACTCTGAACCAGCTTTTGCAGCTGCCATTGCAGCTATACTGCATGGTTGGTTGACCCAGTGGCTCAGCTTCTTCTTGACTCGCAATTGTTTTGCTGGATGGAGAGTTTGAGTAAAAGCATTTTCCACCTTTTGACAGGCTGCACATGTTGTTGGCACCGGACTCGTCGCTCCCTGAGGGGCAATGCGTATCCTGTCAGGTGAATGTCTTCTGGTCTTCCCCCTAGTGGGGACCCCGGAAAGCTGGCAGTAGCCGCTTTGCGAAAGCAGGAAGGCGTCCATTGCATTTTTGGACTCGCTCACGCCAGCTTGCTATCCTGCAATTGGATATCCTCTCTGCACCACTGGCAGTTTGCATGGAAAGAACCAGGGAGAATGAGCCATCACTGTCAATTGATTTTCCCCACTGAAAATCCCGCTGAATGGCCCTGATTGGCTGGGAAACCGGCACTGTCCCGACGCCGCCAAGTGCTCGAACACTCGCTCTTGATAGGCGTCTTCTACGAAAGCCTTTGCATTTTTAAAGTGTCAGTTCGAGCTGGCTGATGCTCGAAGAACGGGTGGCGGTTCAGCTGTCGCTGGCCTGCCCGTCAAAAACTTGGAGCTACCTATTCGAAAGGGATACAGAAACTAAATCTGTAAATATTCTCGAAGCTGGTTCTGTGGAGAAGGATCCTGATCAATGCTATGTACAGCAGGCCCACAATCAAAGCAGAAGACATCGTCCCTTCAACGGCTATCGTTGAAAGGGCTTCTGCGAAAGGAGCGCTCTCTGGATGCTTATGCAGAGAAGGGTTTAGGATCGATATTAAGAATCTATGACCGATGTTGATTATCTGCGCACACCAGCAGGAATGAGATAGGCAAAATGATGAGCAGCTTTTCAAGTGTATGCAAGTGAAAATGATGCTGCGGCCTCTGGAAAGCCGGTCGTGATCATACTAAGTATAACGTCTTGCACTGTACCTGGTTCACCAGAGTTCCTTCCAACATGACATCACAGCTGCCCCCTGTGAGGGCAGCTAAGCGGCTGGGAGGCATGGCCGACATCCTGGCAACAGCCTCCAGTTTGGGTCTGGAGCCTCAAGTGAGCCTCTTCAACAAAAGCCAACCTGCAGTTAGAGAATCCAGCGTAACGTGCAATCTAGTACTATTTTGTGATGAGCTTTGGCTGTGAGAATCATTGCTGATGATCCGTGCCCTGATTGAACCACATAGTAGATGCAAAGCAGCACGTGCTTTTGCTGCAGGAAGTCTCAATGAAACTAAGTTCCTATTCTGCTCTGTGTGTTTGGGAATCAGTCCCTCATTGACCCAGCAAAACATCAAGCTGAAGGCTTCTGCTATTTCAAAGGGCCAGGGCCCCTTGTAATCGAATAGATTGGCTTAGTGAATCTTTGCACATTGAACAGGTCGAGGGCAAGGAAGAGGGTCAGCCCAACGAGTGCCAATTCAGCCAGCCCTTCATACGCCTTCTGAAGGAGATATCAGACATACAGAGGACGCTTGTGAAGTTGGATGTGGAGGTCAAAACGCGCCAGGTAACTGCAAAGTTCTGGTGCTTCATTCAAAGCACTTGCTTCGTTGCTTCACTTCCTGAGTCAGATGTTTCTTGATTGTGGCGTAGCATGTTTTGTCAACAATGACAGTGTTCCGTTTGCTTCTTGTGGCCTGTGATCTTCTTTGGGCGGGTATAAATCCTCAGAGCTGCCGAAATTGTGGAAGGACATGCGATCAGTCAAATTAGAGATCAGACTCTCAGTTCGATCCGGGATAATCTGATAACAAAGTTATAACTGTATGCAGCTAGAAGCAGAGACAGCGCATCTGACCCACTTGTCAGAGCTCCAAATGAAAGCAGATGCCCTGAAAGAGGCCACAGATGCTCTGCAAAGCATTATCCAGAACAAGGTAAGTAACATAGTTCCTGCCCTTCCAATTGGAGTCAAGGTAGAGGGCAAGCGAAAAAGGGCTAATCAAGCTTCATGTAAGCACAGATGCTTTTGCAGAACAAGTGTGCCTTTTGGACGAATTTGGTGCCCCTGAACACGCAACTTTCAGGAAGTCAAAACGAAAAGGAGCTACTTGGTTCTGCTTCCCAAGACCACTTCGCTTTTCGTGCTCAAAGCCAGAGCATTAGTGGTTTGATATGCTTGTCGCCTATAAGGATCTTTCTTAACTGTGAATCATCATGTTTGTTCGGATCAGAAGTTAATGTTTGCAATTCGAAATTGACACCGTAAGCCACATACTGTGCAGGACCGCCTTGTTGCCAAGCTCCAGCAGCCCTACTCAGTGGACAGCGTCCCAGTGGAGACTGCCTTCCAGGTCAGCCTCTGTGCACGACTCAATTGTGAGCACTCTGCTGGATGGCAGTTTCAGGGATTCAGCAGAGTCCCTGACACTGCTGAATGCTTAGAACAGATTAGGGATCCACATGGAACCGCAAACTGAAATCAGTCTGAACGAAGATCCTTGCTAAGACAGTTCTTGAGCATCATCGAAGTTTTTCAAACCCGTAGCCCAATTCTAGATAGACCATGTGACTGCAGCTATTTAAGATGTTCACCACCATACGCTTCGAAGCAAAGTCAACTTCGATACCACCGTTTAAAGACCGGCTAACCTGATGGATTATGTAACCCGACTGACTTCGACTCTTGTTATGTCCGCAGGCTGACTTTCAAGCACTGCTCCAGCAAGCTGCCTCGGACTGCGCAGCCCTGCAAAGCGCAGCTGAGGACGTCCGATGGATGCAGGCCTTTAATGCGGAGCCTGACACGTGGCAGGTACCTCTCTAGGCCTTTCGCGCTTGCCTCACGAGTCTGCGGGCCTTTTCACTCCTGAACGACTCATCCGAATTCAGTTTCGAGACAGTTGTTTGTCCCTCTCAATTCACAGCCCTTGAACGGGGCCATTACTTTACTTGTGCAAAGCTTGGTGCAAATCTGGGCAAGTTTTGCCAGGATTGATATGGCTTGCTGTAAGCGATTGCAGTCTTTCGGTCAAGACCTTGCCTTTTCTACTCAGACTAATTAGAAAGGCTTTCGCCCTTTCCCTTTTCTTCACGAGCAAATAGAGGTTGTCTACTCAATTACGTTTCACTTCAGTTCAGCCCCGATCAAAGTATGGGTCAGACAAGACGAGTCAATTCGCGTCTATCGCTTTGGTGAAAAACTTCCATTCGATGCTTACTTGTCCAAATTAAATTCGTCTCCATAGAAAGTGGTTGAAACATGCCTTCTTAAAGAGGCTCAAACAAGCCTTCTGTAACCACTTCAATTAGTGTGGAAACAAATCATACACCCGCCGAAGATCATTTTGGCGAGCCTTCGTCTCCAAAGGGCTGGGTCTGCACCTCATTCAGCGCATTTGCTACTTTGCGCTAGCTCTTCTTTGCCATGGCATAGACTACAACTACGTTTCTTCAATTTCCATCTTCAGCTGTGCTCCTTGTACTTGAAGTGCCAGTGCGATGCAACCTTGGATCATGTCCTCGGGGCGTGCGTGAGAAAGCAAAATCGGACGGAGCGCTGGACGCTTTTTCATTTCGTCTTTTCCATGATCTTGATTCCACAAGGTCAACACGTTTAAAACCAACTACGTTCGGAACCTACGTCGTTTCTATGATCTTGATGTCACACGATCAGCACATTTGAACCAACTAGGTTCGGATCTTAATTTCGTCGTTCCCATGATCTTGATTTTACACGATCAGCACTTCTGAAACCAACTAGGTTCGGATCTTGTGTTCAGGAGCACCTGCGGAGCGTACCCGCTGCATTGGCCTCCTGTACGAGATACTCGGAAGCGCTGTCGTCAATGAGAGAAGCGATAAACAATGTTCATCAAGCTCACACCAGACGGGCTGAGAGAAGACCAGGATGACCAAGACGGTCATTCTGCGCAGTGCCTACGCATGTGAGGCTCTTCTTCCAACAGTGATTGTATCCATATAAACAGAACATCTACCGCGTGCCGGAGAAGCCTGTGGCCCAAGTGGCTAGCGTTTTGAAGAGAGAAGAGATCTGGATTGTTAAGTCCGCCTTGCAATTTGTCGCACCGAGCATCAATCACGTGGCATGAGCTCTTATAGCTTGAGGTTATCTGCATGACCGCATGTTGCTGAGCGGGCACACTGCATATGCATGACGCCTTCTTAAGATTGCTTGCTATGTTGAAATCAACGTACGGATCACATCATTAACGCTATATGTTGGCAATCACCTATGGGCCCTACTATACTATACTTGTCAGGCTGCCCGTAAGCTTAAGTGGCTGATCAGCATGATTGTTCAATGCACTATATGAAGGCGGCAAAGGGAAGCTGCTTAACAAACAGTTGATCGTTAAGCCCACCGTATGCGTGCAACGTGCAGCCAAATCAACATCCACAACATCCACCAGCAACCATATGAGCTTCCGTTCTATTTGTAGAACCTTTGACAGTGACTTGTTTGTCTCTGCTCCCAGATTTATTTTCTGAAGGATTTGTTGATCTCATTCAACTATACGACCTACTTAGTCCTCAAGAAGCTGCGCACATCTGTCAGGAACGCTTGCAGATTCTGCCTGAACTTCCGTTTATTACCCCTGTCCAAGGTCGTCCCTACTCCGTTAATGCTTAGTAACGTATGCAGTGCGGACGCTAACCTGTTCTGTAACTCTGCGTCCGACTGTCCGGTCAGGAGCTCATGCCCCAGCTTCTGATACAGCGCCTGTTCACACAAGATTAGCGGCAGGAGCGCATTCGCAGCGGGCTCGACTATGTCGCTGCTGTAATCCTCGAACAAGAGGAGGTGTAAAAGCGCTCGCAAAAAGTGCGCGAGCACACTTTCGGACGCTCCGGACACGTGTACGCCCAGCCCGGGCTCGCCTCTGGACGCCGCCACGTGGTGGAAGGAGGCAACCCCGGACAGGGCCTCCAGCGAGAGCGTAATGACGTCAGGCTCCTGCAGCGGTCAACAAGTTAATGTCAGCAGCTGGTATGAATAGTGGGTAAACAAGTACAAATTCCAGATTCCTGTCTGAATGCCTTCTTCAATAATCTCCTAGGTTTCCTTAGAGTGCGGCCGATCAAATCCGCCAAACACATTGCGACATTGTTAGCTATTGGCTGGTAAAGTCTCCGTTACAAAGCTGCCGTCACTGGTTTCAAGAGCTCGAAAGGTGCTTAATCTGATCTGGCACCTGATGCTGCCGGGACTCTGAGAAGGGCAAAGTTTGTTCACAACCCTGACAAGATTTCTGCAGCGTCGCACGAGCTCTCGCAGGGAAGGCGCGACAAACATGGAGAGATTGGGCGGTAAGGTAACACTTTTTTCTGAATCCACGACAAGTGGATCTCGCGACAACCGCCATGAACCCAGACCAAAACTTTGGACAACAAAGTTCGAACGCCGCACCTGGTGTCGCAACCCGAAGTCGAGCGTGGCGACTATTGACGCAAACTGGGGCGGCGGCAGGCCGGCCACCTTTTCCGGGTAGACTTCCAGCATGTGCGCGAGGAGGGAGAAGTACTGGCGGCAGAGCTTGGGGAACTTTAAAAGGTCCACCGAGATCAGCGGGATGACGATGGACAGGCCCACGAAGACGACCTGCGCCACGTCAGGGGCTTCGCCGCCGGGGGAGGCGGTAGGGGTGCCGAAATCGACCTGCGAGACAAGTGCGATGAATCAAAGGGTTTGCAGATACCGCCGACTTGCGGTAGGAAAGACACCGCTGACAATGGTCAAGAAAGAAGTAAGCAAGAAGGGAACGGACCTGTCACGAGTACGAACGTTTGTGGTGAAAGCCATGACAGTTCAGGACCTAGGTAAGGCTTCCTGAGATGACTGAACAGGCGAGGAGCTTCTGAAACCAGTGGGTATTAACATTGAAACGCGCCTTGGATGAAGCAATCACCATGTCGAGTAGATAAAGAGGCAAAGGGATAACTCCACGTCCGCATTCTCATCCTTTGGCCCACACAGTATGGGCAATGCTGACTACTTTGTCGCGCAAGGTCGGTGGTAAGTGAAAATAACATATATTCCGATCTATGTTTGACGAGGTCCATTGGTCACGAGGTCAAGCGCCAGGGACGACTGGCTTTTGTTGGGGGTCAGGGTGAACTGCGGGTGCGGAGCGCATCCTGAGGTCAGGGGTTCATCGTGTTCGTTCGCTCGGTGAATGATTCCAATGTTCATAGCTGCTTGTTACTCATAGACCGCATGAGCGTTTGATTTCGTTAGGTTCGACGCCAAGTGACTGACCTCGCAATGATCCAGGGGTTTGGCAGACCCTGTGTTACCTGCCACAATATAACTTATTGGTCCATCACTCCCTCGAATATTTTCCGAGATTTTCGGCAGGCCAGATAGTTGCCTACTTTTTGAGGGAATCAAACGTTGGTACGGTACTGCTGTTTGCGTCAAACTTGGCACCCAAGCTCGGATCAAAACGCGCGGTCCTCGATCTCGAGTGGCAAAGTCGGTCCTCGATCCTTGATAGACATCCCCCCTGAAACGCTTATTGTGGTTCGGCCGGCCGAGTTCCCTGGTAATTAGCGGTTACTACCGCATCGGAGTCCGTCCGGGGGGGTTGCAGGGGAACATCGAGAATTGACATCGCGACTCGTGATCGAGGAACGCGCGTTCTGATCCGAGCTCGGGTGCCGACTTTGACGCAAAGAGCAGTATTTGCAAAGCATACCGACCACTCACCAGGTCCTTGGACGTGAGGTGCATGAGCAGCAGCAGCAGTGCGCGCAGGTCCTTGTACTTCTCGGAGCGGTTCTCGCTGGCCAGGGCGGAGCCAGCGTCCAACGACACCTGGCGACCATAAGAAGCGACGTCGGAACCATGATAATCTCGGACCCCTCAACCTCGCACCCAAGATGTTGTTTTCTTTCGACGGAGGATCCGATAGTTCGACAAAGGCGGGGAGATGGTATACTGTCGACTTCCATGGATTTTGCACCATTGAAATGCAGACTGGCCGTGCAAACATCTTGCTCGCGACTTCAAGGTGCCCGAGCATGAGCAGACCCGTTTCAGAGATCGTCATGAAACGACGAGGGAACATAGAAGCCATGCGAGAGAGTCTGTAAGCCAGAAGATGGGTATTCTAGGAAAAACTAATCTTCTGCGGGATGTTTTCATACTGCAGACAATTTGCTTGCAATCTCTTTAATTGGACAATGCAGTATGAAAGTCGGAGCTATCGAAAGTCCTGATAACCACCGTCAGAGTCGGATTTATAATGGCATTGCGGAAATGACCTTTCTTAGACTCCAGTCAAACATTATCATCGAGAAACTCAACCAGACGCGGTCAGAAAATGTCTCAAAAAAGCCCTATGCTTGAAGTGAGGAGCAAAGCAGCAGGACCACATGTACTTCAGTGCCTTAGCGCAGAGTCGTTTCACAAGTTTTATGGCAAGCCCGATGCAAAACAAGTCCTGCCAGGGACCGATAAGTCTTCAGACTTGCAGCTGTGATTTGAGAGCAACGTCATCAACCGGCTTATGACGTCAGCGGCCCCCTACCTTGCCCATGTTGTTCCTGGAGTAGACCTGAAGGAGCGCCAGGCAGAAGCGCAGCATGGCGGCCATGCCGTCGGGGCTCAGGTGCGCGACTTGGGACTCGACCCACGTGACCACGAACTTGAGAACCAGGTACGCGATCTGCGGCTGATTGTGGTAAACCTGCGGGAAAGACAAACGCTCTGCGCTAAGAAGAAGGAGCTACAAAAAGCTGGATAAGTGTATGGAGTGAACGCGACCTCGCTCGGCATGTACCTGACAGATTCGCACACATGTTCACAAGTGCTCCACTTGACGACTGTGAAGTAGAGAAGGCAAGAAGGCACAATACACCTAATCTTGTCAAAAGACCTTTACCCCCATTTAGTTGCTTGAGGCTATCCACACAGAGCTCCACAAACACCTCGTCATGAAACATTTTCAAGAGTTCTGCATGAGGCGCAGAACTCACAGACGTGCCTCCAAAAACACAAGCCGTTAAGAAAGGAAAGCTTTTACTGCGACTCCTCACCTGCAGCAGCACTAGCATCGGCTCAAACAGCGGGTAAGAGATATTTTCTCTGCGCTTGCTTTCATAAACATTCGAATCTGCTGATCCTGAAAGAGCTTTGGGACACAGTTCCGAAACTCTCAAAAGCGGCCCGTTGACGTGCGTCCAGGAACATTTCTCATCGCCGACTCCTCACCTGCAGTAGCACAAGCATCGGCTCAAACGCGGCGACCCCCATTGCAAACAGGGGGGTCTGAGTCCGTGGCCCGCACGCTCTGGCCGCCCCCCTGAGGCGTTCCAAAAGCGCGCCGACCAGATTTTGGACGTCCGGTCGCTGCGCCACGTGTCCAAACTCCGGAGTGCCCACCAGTTCCGCCAGACGTCTCACTACGGGTCCGAGAATCGAGTCGACGTACTGGGCTGCCGTTTCTTTATCGTCGAAGCCGATTGCTCCACGAGAGAGGGACTCGCTCAGTGACCTTTGGAGGGAGGTTTCGATGGCGATAAGGGGCGGTGCGAGGGTTGCAAACGCCTGAGCTAGCTCCTGCCAGGGGCCGATTTTCACCAGGTGTCGGCAGAGGGTTTTGCGGCGGGTTAGCGCGGGGAGGAGTTTTTGGCAGACCATTGCCTGTAGGTCTTTTTCCCCCGGCCACTCGAGCAGCGAAACGAGCGCGATCCGTAACAGGGCCTCCAAAGTGTTAGCTCCGCCACTCTGCTCGCCAAAGGCCCCGTCCAGAGCGGGGTAACCCTCGGCCTCGCTGACCGGCCCGTGCCCATTCACACCGTTCTGAGCGCCCCCTGCCGAGCGGGTACGGCCCCGCTCCCGCATGAGGTACGTACCGGCCCACCGAGCCAGGAACCAAACCAGAGCCTCCATAAGCCGAGGGCTCAATAAGCTATGGCGCCCCTCGGCGCTGAGGCCCACGCATGCAAAGTCGAGGACGGCTCTTGAGAGCGCCGTCACAGGGTCCCGGTCCACGTCCGTCGCATACCTTATGCTCAGCTGCAATAAGCTATGCGGCACCTCGGGGTCCTCGCCCTCCCCCCCGTCAGCCATGACGTGTCCCACCGCTAGCAGCAACCAGTATAACTCTTCCATCGTTTCCGTCGAGTCGCCCCCGGCTTGCGCTAACGCCTGCAGTCTTGCCCGCCGCTCGGCAAAAAGCTGACTCAGCATCGGAAGAGCGAATGCCGGACTGACACGTGCCAGCCCCGCAGCTGCCGCCAAGCGTTCGTCCCGTGCGGCCGTCGCAGCTAGAACTCGCTCCGAGCTGTCGTCCTCCTCATGCGCCGACGCTTTCGCATAGGCTATCCCCGCAGCCACATACGCCCGGAACACTTCCCCTGCCGACTCTGCTGCTGATGTGGGCGTGGCGTCATGCGGGGACACGTGTTTCGTTGGAGGGTCAATCAGCTGCATCCACGTGTCCAGCAGGCTGTCGAGGGCCTCTCCGGCCCAAGTTTCGCTGCTGACGTCAGCGACACCGCCCGCTGACATCACCACGGAGGAAAGCGCGGCGATGGAGTGGATCGCGCCCGCGCGGTCAGGAGCAGCCGGGGGGGCGGCCTGGTTGAACGCGGCGGCGGAAAAGTGGCACGAGAGGGCGGCGAGCGCCCTGCAAAGACCAGAAGACTGAATTCTTTGAGAAATGAAACGGAGACGTCTCCAGAATGATACGAAAGTTCGAAAAGGTCAACTAGAGAAATAAAGGGTGACGAAGGCCCGGCAGGTAAATCAAAGGGAGGGACGCGCTCGAGATTCATGGTCGGATACAACGAGGGGTTTAAGAACGATGGCGACGATTTGCCGCAGGTGAGAAGGGCCTTCGGGCCCTCATGCAGGTTGCCTTCAGATTCTGCACAAAGCATGGACCGTGGGAAGGGACAGTACAATCAGACGCTAGAAGAGGCTTCAGAAACGAGCTTCCAGGACACAAACATTCCTGGGGGCTCATAAAGACATTGAGGAAGCGTACTTGCTTCAGACCGGTCGTGAGTCAGGGGGAGGAACTTTTGGGGAGATTTCCTTCCGACGCTTCGTAAGAGAGTCGAAGAACAGAACAAACCGAAAGATCGGGTACGGTCTCACCTGCAACCGTCCAGCAGCTCCGCCTCACTCCCATTTGCCGCCTTCTGCACCGCCACGTCAGCAGGGACCAGCCACGTCATCACCCCCGTCAGCAGCCGTTGCAAGTGCGCTCTCCTGGCACCCTCGTCCTTTCCAAATACTTCCCCCGTCAGCCCACACAAAAGTACGATGACCTGGCGTGCCGCCACTGCGAGGGGGGCATCCTCCCAGCCCTGTCCCAACCCCCCCGCCAGGCCCGGAAGGCCTCCAATCCGCCGCAAGTTCGCATAAAACCCGATAACCCAATCTACGCTCTCCGGATTGAGCAGAACCTCCCCCCACTCCGCCCCCGGAGCAGGATGCCCGTCGCCTTCCTTCCGCGAGGCCCTGCCGGACGGTTCGGACGCGCTTCGGCCACTGGAGAACGCGGCGGCGTGCCTCCGAACAGGGCCTCGGAAGTCCCAGCCGAGCACGTGCGCCATGAGCTTGAAGGCCTGGGCGCAGATCTCGACGTGGGTGGGCGTGTCGTTCTGGTGGGCGATCTGGGCGGCGGCGCTGTGGGCCGCTTGCTGAGCCCAGAGGTAGAACTGGCGCAGGTAGTCGCGTTCGAGGGATGCGCGGCACTGCTCGTGGTACTCGGCGGAAAGGCCCATTGGGCTGGCGGTAGAGGGGGCGAACTCAGACACCTGGAAGCAGGTACTGTGCTTCAGGAGTTGTGAGAAAAAGCCACTGAATCCAATCACTATGAAAAAGTACAAGGGGAGAGGCAATTTAGCTTTCATTACTGAGAAATGACATTGAAGTGACCGCAATTGCACCACCGTTGCTTTGCCGACGATGCCATAAGCACGTTCATCTTGCAAGTGCCTTCTTTGACGGGTTTGTTTTGAGGTTTGGGCAACTCGGGTTGACGAACGTGCAAACATCAACGGGTGTCGGTCTATAACGCACGCGCTTGTGCATTAAGCGCTCTAATCAAAGCAAGAAGCCCCCAAGAGAGCGTTTCTGTTCCAAGCCGTTTGTACTCTAAAAGAAACGAAAGGACCCGCTGAAGGAACATCGAGGCGCTCACAATTGCTTCGAGCAGCGACAGTGCGGTTTTCTGCACAGCGGGGCCTCCGGCGCCCGTCGCCGCATGTTGCAAATCCCGTATGAAGCTGTCCCTGTCCGATGGATTGTTCTCCGACCAGCCCCGCTTCAGTAGAATAGCGACCACTGCCAGCATCTTGCCGCGAACAAAGCCGGCGGGGTCGTCGGCATGGGCCAGGGCCCATTGCAGACAGTACCTGAAATAGGAGATGTGCAAATCATAAGTTCTGGAACAAGCGGCGAATCAGTAGAGTGCCAGGGCTAACCCAGATACTACCCGGAGCATAAGATCTTCGAGAAGTTTCTCTAGAAGCCCTGTCTTTACAAGTGTTGCATCCTTGTGAACAATGGACAGAAAAATGTGTCTACAAAGGAGGATAGGAAGCTAAAAGCTATCACTCGGGCTTGTGCATGGTCCCAACAGCTTGTCTTCCCGTTGTGAAGCGCCCTTCGAAATGTCCTCATCAGGCAAATACCGGCTCAGCCGAGTCTGATGACCTGGTCTGTACTACCACACGTGTGCATCTATAAAAGGCTGCCAAGCAGAGTGCTCGCACGTTAACAAGATTGCACGACGAACTCACGATCTCAGTCCCCATCGCTCGTCCAGCGACATGGGGCTCCATTCCCTGATGCCCGCTTCCTGCAAGACCGAGGCGGCCTGGAAGCGCGCCAGCGGGCTCTGCGAATGGTCCAGGATGAAGCGGCATGCTTGCAGCGGTTGCGGCGACTTCTTGAACGCTAGGAGTACGGCCTCTGCGTGTGCACGCGTCTCCGGAACCTGCGCACGCAGAGAAGTGAAATCAAAGTTGTAGGACATATCGCTTCGATTGAGGCCCCATTCGGTGATCAATCCACAAGCAGGATTTTAAAGTTTGATGTGGAGCGTGCACGTCGGGAAGGCACCATTCATTAAGCGTGTAGTGAAACTGAGGTAATTTGGTCAAAAATGGTGGTGAAAACGAATAATCTGCTTGCGAATTAGATAGGCTTGACAAGAGACACGAGTAAGTTTCTTCAATAAAATGATGGGTACAACAGGGTTGCTGCAACCCGACACCTCTTCCGACAATTCCCCTGTTCTGTGCGCAATGCCGAATTTGAAGAAGAAACACGAGCATGACATGAAGAAACACTGGCTGCCTTGCACGAGATTCTTGCAGGCTCCTCATAATTCGCAAGATCTACACTGAGATGCTGACAACTGGGAGAGGAAGGTCAATGTACCGGGAACCAGTCCTCCACCGACGAGTTACCTGCAGGTCCGCGCACGCTCGCTCAAAGGTATGAAGCACCTCCTCCATCGGACTCTCTCAGTACGGACCCTGTTCGCTCGATTCATTCAACAGCAGCTGAGCATTAACAACGTGCATAGATCTTCAGGTTCCACTGGCAGGTCTTCGATCCCAGAGCCGCCCTTCTGTGCTAGGAGTAGCGGCTAGGTGCCGTACTGCAAGTCTTCTTTCCCCAGGCTCCGTTGCAAAGCTTGCAGACGCTGCGAACTAGGACGACGAACATACCGAAATTACTTGACGAATCCTGGTAATGGACGCTACATTTCTGAATGGTAAAGGTGCACCCTTGCAAAATGGAGATAGCGACGTCTCCAGTACGTGTCCAGACTCCCCAGGTACTGAGGTAGCAATGTCTGGGGGAAATGGCGCTCAGAGTCATGGACGGCGAAGGGCGTGGTTATTGTTCGCTTGCTTGCCTTTTGTAAGGGAACGCGAGTTTAAAAAACGGGTGGCCATGCAGACACAAATTTAATTCTTTGCCACGCTCGCCCCATGTGGAGTATGATTGCCGTGTTACTCCATATCAGGCCTGGTTATTCTGGCCGTTTCTTGTTTGCAAACGACAATCTGCTTTTCTGCTCCTTTTGGCCGCCTCTGATGCAGCATTTGTCGACAATGAGCTGCAAGAATCCGCATAGAGGTTGGAAAGATGATGCGAAGGTTGCAACCACAACCCTTCTGAACAAATAGTTGCTTCGTTGGATGTAAGTCCACCTGTTGTCTGAGGGCCAAACAATGATGATGTTAGTTTAATCTCTAGGCTTTGAAGATCCTTTGCTTGGTGCGCTCCTGCTCAAGGTTCTGTACCGCTCAGGCCTGCTGTTCAAAGCCAATGCTGACGCCAAGGCGAGTCTGAGTTTTGCCCTTGCATCTCTGAAGAGTGAGCACTTGAACAAGACGATGCATGCTGAGCATTGATCGAATCTGAGTTCCTCATACTCGTTAAATCTTTCTGTCTATCCCGACAGCTCTGGCTGCCTGTTATGCTGTCCTTCCCGTTCTTGGTTCTGTGTCATTCAGAGACGATTGATGGAAGTTAATTGGTCAATTCTTCAGAAGCAATTGCTCAGAAAGAGTTCCTACTCAGATAGAGTTCTGTTACTCTCATTCGATCATTCTTCCGGAGGGGCTGTAGCTCAAGGCAGAGCGCCAAGTGCACTTGGGGAGCTGCAACACCCACAGGCTCAGGGTTGGCACCCGCTGCATGTCCACACCAGTCCAAGTGGCATGTCAGTCACTCAAATCGCCGCTCTAGCTCAGTCAATCGGGTCAAATCTGCAGTTAAAATCATGGGTGGGAGGGAACCCCAGTGAACTCTCATCTCGTGTCTCACAAGTGCACTGAGAGATGCCGGTTCAAGTCCGGCCAGCTCCAGAGATTGGATCAAGACATTACGAGTCTCTGGCGTTTTCCCCTTCCATTATGTTTGTCTCCCAATGTGGAGTTAGGTCTTATCTTGTCTGTTTGCTTCTCGGTGGGATGTCGACCTTGTTCCAGCGGTATCTAGTTGCTTGGACATCTTGAGGACTCTTACTTCACTCAAACGGTTGGAGTTGAGCGGTCAAGGGAAGAGTCAAGGACTTGCAGCCTGCAGAGAGGTGAGGCGCAGGAGAGAACAGAAGGATTTGCAAGATGGAGCGCCTGTCTTTAGTAACCAGATTGACAGGAGTGCGAGGAAGTTCAAAGACGGGATACGCGAAGATTCACGAATTGATTTGCACTGTCAGATGGATTATCACCTAAATCATAGAAGCCCACGCGACAAAACATAGCCAGCTTTTGGCTCACAGCAGTAAGACCATCTTACGGAAACCCTACTGCATATGTTCATGCAATCAAGCAACAAGCCTGGTCTTTGGGAGTATGGGCATGCTCACTTCAGCAACCAGTCATGTGATGTGTTTGTGCAAGCGTTAACCGAGCTACTTGTCGTTTGCATGGCATGACATGTAGTTGCCTGCTCGGGTAGTCTTGAGAATATCATGTGCTCAAAGCAGATAGTCGACTTTTATGATCTTGATATTTTCAATCACGAGGCCCATCGTAAGATCGTCTCATGCGTTGCCCTCATTGAAGCTGCACGCAGCTTGCAAGACTCTCTTCATGGAGTAGACTCGGAGTACCGGCATGTCGAATGGCAGAGGATCGGATGGAAGCACATATGACTCGATCATTTCTCATGTCGCCCATGGGCCGGGCATAATCGGCGAAATCCGTAAACAACTTAATTGATCCATCTTGAGGAAGGGCACTATATGTATTTCATATGCAAGGTACGCGGGAACGAACATATAGATAGAGTAATTGCACACTTAGAAATTGGGTACACATTTACAGCTTTGGGTAAGGCCCCGCTCAATCAGTGTAGCAAACTTTAGCAGTAGTCTTTAGACAAACATGCAATCTATAAATTCGTAATCAAGCTGAAGTTCAGTGAGGACATTCACTTGAGCTGCTGGTATCCGCAAAGGTGGCTCCGGAAAACCACTCTTCAGAAACATGCCTTGATCCATTCATAGATGCACATGATCCATCCTTTCAGATTTCGTAAGGTACCTTCCTCATTGATCCTCCTTGATCCAGAGGTAATCAAAACATGGACAGTGCGCATAGGCAAAGCCCTGGCTCAGGTATGAAGCGTTCTTGTCAATCGTTGACTCTTATCAATCTGCTTCCGGCTCAACAAGCTCTCATCAAAAAGTCGTCCTCGATGCCGGCCAAACGTGATGTTCCGAGGTATTTCGACTCCCTCACCGGTCGTGCTAAGCCTTGAAAACCCTTTGCTCAGATCTTCCACGTCCATGCTCGAGACATCCCCCGGGCCTGCTTCAGATGGGGCCTCGCACGTCGCGATACCTTCTGCCTTTTCCGAAACATCTATGTGTCCATTCGAAACCGGCTTGTCGTTCCTTTCCGTAACCACACCCCCGTTCTTTCGTCCCTTACTATTACCTCCTCCCGTCCTCGTTTCTTCTCCTCGGTTCCTATCCGTTCGCTTCCCGGGTTGCTCAACCGGCCACTGCTTCCGGTTTCCCTTGCCAAACACAAACGACGCCGCAAAGTGGTGCCGGTCCCTCAGGTGCTGCTGCCGCGCCGCCGCATTCTGAAACTTGCCCCCGCACCCCTCGACGAGACACTCGTACACCGGAAAGCCCCGCGCTGCTTTCGCCTGGAAGAAGGCGTCGTGAGATTCCGACACGTGGATGCTGAGCAATCGGACGGTCGGGAAGGCCCTGCCGCACACACGGCACGAGTTGACGTGCGCAGCGGAGTAGTGCTGGTCGTAAGCGGCGGGCCCGTCGAGGTGGACGGAACAACTAGAGAAGGGGCACGTCCAGCCGTGGCCTCCCGGGGGCTTGTCGTCGACCACAAGCTGTGTGGCTTCCTCGGGGCTCAGCTCGAGTGCAGCCTGGACAAATCCGGGATCGGAATAAGAGGCCAAATCTCTTGACGAAGAAGATCATGAAACAAGGGAGTACATGTTTAAGACTTGATGATGATAGATCGGACGTGCTTTCACACCCCAGGTCTTACATTCTTTCTTCACTCGGGAAACTGTGCACATGCTTACAAGCAGCCAGCCTTGGAACTCGCATAGTGCATCACGAGTCTGCCAGGGCATGGTACAAGATTTGAAGAGTGAATCTGACCAGCTTGTATGTACGGACACTTTAGACTCCCAGGCAACTTGGAGGCTCCGCCAACGACCAGATCTCCAGACTGTCAACAAACCGCCACATGCCAACGCTGTCACCAGCTTTCCCGCCCCTTCTCAATCACAGCAATTGAATGCAGAGCTCTTCTCTTGCGAAATCGTGCAGGACTCACCTGCTTTGCCAAGAGCTCCCGTTCCTCGTCTCCAGTCCTGAAGAAGGGGTCGTCAGGCGGCCGCCGCTGCTTCCTTCCGATCAGCATTGGGAAGACGAACTTGTCGTTGTCAGCCTCATCCATGCCCTGGTCCGTTTCCTACAAGAAATGCACAAACTTCGTTAAACGTCCTCAAGATAAGATAAGCATTTTCTGCGCTTCGGCAAGTGTGTTGCGTACGAGTTCCATGCACCAATTACGATACGAAAGCTTCAGAGAGTGACCCGGTTAATCTACCCACAAAACCTTGTTTACAGGTGAGGGACTAAAGAATGATTCTCAGTGAGTAAACCGTTTCTGGGGCCGGCTGGATTCGAACCAGCATCTCTCGGGGTGTACCACACTCTCGGTTTTGGTTCAAGGACCGTCCTGCTTCGAGACATGCTCGGCTTGCATGCCACACACCCTTGCCACACACAGCCAGACCAGGGGGCAACGCTTGAACGGCATGTGGACCAAACCATAACGGTCAATTGCCCCTAAGCTTTGCCACCTGGATTGGCTGTAGTAACTTGGGCGATAAGCAACGCCTGCCTTGCGATGCCCTTCCACATGCGGGTCCGTGGGTCCATGGTTCTGTAGGTCCATTGGTTTAGAAAGAATGACAAACCAAATTGGTTCACGTTTCAGCCAATCTGTGTCCTTGAGTTGGGTCCAAGTAGATCAAGCAAAAATGGGTTGGACAGATGTCCAGATTGGTTCTAGAAGTGGGTCCAATTGTGTCGTCCAAAATGGTTTTGTTGGGTCCTCGAAGCGCGTCCAAATAAGTCATGATCCCAAATGGTTCCAGTCAATAAATTGGTGTCGGTTGGGTTCTTGGAGTGGGTTAAGTGGGTCCTCAAATCGTGTCGATTGAGTCTTCAGATGTGATTCAATTGAGTCTTCAAATTGGTTTCTGCTTGGTTCCTTACTGTAGTCCATTGGGTCTTAAACAAAGGTTAAACTGGGTCAACAATGGGTTGGATTGGGTCCTTGGTTTGGTTTCAGGTTGGTTCTTGTCTTTGGTCCTTGATTCAGATACAAAACCAAATAAAAGTAGGTCCGATTGGGTTCCGACAGTGGGTCTCCGGTGGCCACCCCTGGCGCTTTGCCCTTTTAGGCTACGGCCCCTTGCATTCTGTTGAACCAGAGCTTGAAACTCAAAGCATTCACAGGACCTTGAAAGAATATTGAAGCAGATGCAAGTCATAGGACTGGCCAATGCATGCAACAATGAAACGGACGCGCACTGTCTAAGCTTTGCACCTTGAATCGTGCAGAGTGCCGAAGGAGCAGCGCAATTGCAAGCAACACCGACTTTGCTCACAACATTGTGATCTTGCAAAAGCATCATTAGCAGAACTGCTCGAGGAAGATTTATGAGAATCAGATACCTGCCTTCGCAAGAATCATCCTGGCAGTATGTTTGGACTTTTTCGCGGCTCCTCGCAGTGCTCAGCAACGAACCCCACAAAGGGATTCCCTCATTTGGAATCCAAGTACGGCCAAGAGAATGCTGCCACGTGAAGGGGGCCTTTATTCGTAACGTCTGAGGCCTGCGTCCCTGCGCTAGCCGCACCTAGTTGCATTAACAGGCTTTCTGCTTGTCAGTTCGACAGGCCTCACGAAATGTAGAAAAGAGCATCCGACGGCAGAGGTGATTGAAGGGGTCTGTGCGCCAGAGAACGTCTTGTAGGACCTAGATTCTTGAAAACAGAGCAGGCTGCCCTGGCCTGCAACGCTGCAGAGATTGCAATGCTCCACTTTTCGAGGTTGAACGTTCTAGTCCTAGAACTTGAACTTGAACTTCAAGAAGCAGTGCTCAGGCAACCCAGTCTCACGCCCGTTTCGAGAAAACCTCTCAGAACACCAGCCGTGTCGTTTTGGACAAAATGCTCAAAACAGCCGGTTTTTGAACAAATTGCTCAAAACAGCCGGTCGAGTTTCGATCAAATCGCTCGTATTCTAGCTGCGCCTTTCGAAGAAAAGGTTCGAATTTCTGCAACTTGCAAGCCCCGGGCACACACTAAAACAAAAAGGACTTGCTCGGTTGTCACTCGCAGTGGTGTACCCCTAAAGCGGGAAGGCCCGGTTGCCCCAGGGAAGTGCCCGTTGTCCCCGGGAAGTTGCGGCCGCCCGCCGCTCCGACCAACCACCCATAAGGGTACCGTCCTTTTAATATGTACCGCGATCCTGGCGGTCTTCGCGATCGATGTTGTGGCGCGATGGTCCACCTGCATCGACGGTGGAGATTCCGCGAAAACTACCCGCACGACGGTCGCGACGGCAGACCCGGCCGGACCCGGTCGCAAATTTGGCAATTTGTTCGTATCGTACGACGCAATTTTGAGCATTTTCTCCAAAAAGACCCGACCGGATACGAACGATTTGTCCAAAATCGATCGCCGTATTTTGAGAGTTTTACTCAAACTTTCAAATTGGTGTTTTGAGAGGTTTTCTCAAAACGGGCCGTGAGTCTGGGTTGGCTCAGGTCAATGTTGTGCGAGTGGTCCTGGACTGTGGCTTCATCGCCTTCTGTTCAAACGTCCAGACCAGGGCTCGTATTGCACACAAGTTTTCAGACGAGATGCAAGCGGACCAAGCCGGTTGACGTCGAGTTTGCACCGGTTTGTAATACGTGCAGGCTAGCGAGCCCCTAGTGTGCCCGGTACCGATTGCGCTGCGCCGGGTTATGTGCTTGAAATAAAAAAGAGCTCTAAATTCCCACTGGTACGGCAACATAAGCGCCTAGAAGCTTCCTGCGCCACCCTGCATGGTACGGTACTTTTGAGAGGCGGCAGGCGAGCTGGCTCATTGCAATGCCAATTTTGACATTGACCCAACGCGCACACGGTGGAGACGCGATCGGAAACAGCCTTTGAAGAACAGAAATGCTAAAGCATTGCTATTTGATACGAGACCAAGGCAGAGCAGGCAGAGAGGTCCTCTCCCTCTAGAAGACCTGGAGGTGAGTCAAGGCAAATGTGACACGATGCTGTGTTTTGGGCTCGATGAAGAGGTGGTGCGTTGTTTGCCGCCTCGTTTCCCTTCAACACATGTTTTATGCTTTCAATTTGAATCATTTTCAAGCATGAGGTTTAGCATCAGAAGGCCTCCCTCAGGCTTTAGTTCTTCCGCATAGTGGCATGATTGTTGGGATTTGGTGCCATTACTGAATGAAGCTTCTCAAGTCTGAAGGTGTATGCTTTACCCCGTCCTGCGCATTTTCATGTCACCATTTCTTTGAGAGTCTGCCAAGCCTTCCCTTTGTTCAATTGGTAATGGTGCAACACCTCTCACCACTCCTACCATCGGCTCACCCTTTTGAACTTTGTGTGCACCCATTTGCACATAATCTCGGATTGACGTGGGTCTTCTTTCCTACATTCTGTAAGTCGCTTCAAGCTCCGCCCTCTCCAAATTTGGTACTTGCGCAGCCTACGCTCAGGCAAATAGTTGTCTACAAAGTGTTGCTGATCCGCTGGCATAATGAGAAAGGCCACAGAAACAACTAGAATCCCGACCAACAGGACCTCCATTCTTGTCACGCAACTTTACCACCCCTTCCATCAATAAAATTTACAGATCTTTGATGAATCTATTGGCATCATTGGAAAGACCACAGAAACAAGTACAATTGGTTTTGTTAACTCGTTTATTCTTCTTAAGCAAACTTACCACCCTTCCATCGACTCTCCTCTATGGTGACTAGAAAGTTCTGCTGAATCCATTAGCACGATAAGAAACGCTACAAGGAGAACTGGGAGCCGGAGGTCCTCCACTCTCCCTATGAAAATTTGCCATCCTTCTATCGACTCTCCTTCGGAATAACTAACACTCAACTCCTGCCCAACGTTGCAGCCTGTCTCTCTTCTGAGGCCATCACCATGACGTCCGTTCTGCAAGCTAGACTTGGCTCCCTATGCCAATGCACAGCCCCAACCTTTTCACACCACACACAAGGCATCCGCTCTGCCCATTCTGTCAGCTCCCTTAACCCCATTCGCTGGCCAGAGCTTCAGACAAGCAGGCTCCAGCGGCAAATATGTTTTGGGGCGGCAGATGGTAGTCCCAGGGGGGTTGCAGTGCAAACTAGAGCGGGGAAAAACCGGCCAGGTCCTGCAGAGCGGCGAAGAAAAGAGGCCACAGGAAAAGCCCCCCCAAGAAAGCAACGAACGCGGGCGGAGGAATTGGTGAGGCGCTCTGACAGCGTTCGTAGGTTTGTGGCAATGTGAGGGTGGTCGACCGGATGTATGAGATCGGAGAATCATCAAGAGCTTGGCGAGCGCCTCTGTTGACCACTTAGGTCATGATGGGCGCCTTTAGGTTGTGATCGGCGTGGAAGAGGTGGGGATTGGGGGGCATTGGTTCTGGGCCAAAGGTGGCTCTTTTCTTTCTGTCTGGGGAAGTGGTGCTTTCTGCTTTCTCCGGAGTCTGTAAAGAAAGTGTTCTGCAGCTTGGCTTGCCACGGAAGAGGAGTTGTGTTGGTTCAGAGTAGGGAAATATATATGCTGGAGAGTTGTGTTGCCAGTAGAATTTCAGTTCGTTGCTACGGGGAAGGGTCACCAGCCTAGAAGTGCGTCCTTACAAATCAGTATGCAACTTCCGTTGTCTGCCCAGGGCATAATTGGACCTTGTCCGCAAAGCAAAAGAAGTCCCCCAAAACGCACTTTGGCCAGCATCCAAGATTGCCCTCTTAATCTGCCAGGCCGATAGAGTTTGTTCAACGAAGTTGTTCCAACATTATAGCAGACGAGTTCCATCCTTGTAACATCTCCTTTCGCGAATGCTCTCCCCAGATGGAAGAGGCTGAATCCCAGGAGCTCTCAGAGGAGGAGTTCAACGCGATGCTCGACGAGCTCGATGCAGAACTAGAGGAGGACCTAAAAGCGGGGCGGATCAAGGAGGTCGGGGGGGTGTTGATCGAAGTCGACGCAGACGAGGGGGGCTCCCCGGCGGCGGAGCTCGGGGCTTCGGTTGAGGACGAGGAAGAATGGAAGCAAAGAGTGGTAGCAGAAATCAAGCGGTGGGCGGAGGAAGAAGCCGAGGGGGGGGAGGCACTAGAGGAGGGGGAAGACTTTGAGGAAGGGGACGAGTTTGAGGAAGATTTCGACGAGTTTGACGAGTTTGAAGAGGGCGAGTTTGACGAGGAGGAATTTGAAGCCGCAGATGTTGAGGGTGAAGAGTCTGGAAATGCAGAGAGCAGCAACGAACAAAAGAACGGAGCTTCGGAATTGGAATCAGCCAAAGCAGCGCCCCCGAGCGAGTTTCTGATCAGCGGTGATCTGGGCTCACAAGAATCGCCGGCGACCGAGACTGAAGCGACGGAAGGCGAACTAGTATCGGAAGAAAAAGCGGAGACGCCCGAGGAGGCGGAGGAGCGCGCAGCCATGGCACTGGCCCTATCAGAGATCACCACGTGGCAGGAGCGCAAGCTCCGGTGGGCGCTCGAAAAGTCGGAACATCGGCGGCACAAACTGGAGGTGAGGGTAGGGCCGGTTTGCTGCTCGTTAGGGCCTGCTTTCGGTTCGTAAGGGGCATCGTTTGTTGCCGGTTAGCGGCCTGGTTTGTGGCTGTTTAGAGCCTGTTTCCTAGGTAGTTAGGAGCTGGTTAGTCGCCGGTTCGAGCCCTGGTTTCGGCTTTCGAGGGCCTGGTTTCCAACGAATTTAAGATTCTGCTTTTTGGTGGTTATGGACCCGTTGCAGGCCTGCTTAGGTGCCTGCTTCCGGGTAACCGAGAACGCGACGGTTTCTTGTGATCAAGGACCCCGAATCTGAATGGCCTGGTTTACGTCTAGTTGAGGCTGGGTCTCGAGTTGGTTGAGGGCACTCGTAGGCTGCTGGTTAGGGCGTGCTTTTGGCTCTAGCAATGTTATCATGCTGACCCCATCCTTAAAGACGTTGGTGAGGCTACTGCTTATCTGTTCAGACATGAAGGTACGACGAGATCATCAACCGGTGGGCTGACTGAGGTAATTGTATAGAGAGACGTGCTCGACAAGGGTTGCATACAAGGCCACGGTACAGATTGTTGTCTAAACAGTTCGCACTCGGAGTCCACTGTGACCCAGATCCGTCAGCAGCCATGCAAAGCAAACCTAAATCGAGCAATTCTCTTGGTCAATCCTTGGAATGAAGCCAGCGTTCTTTTTATCGAGTCGTTTTTCACTCCTATTTCCCTTCTTGCGAGTAACAAACATCGTTTCGAACACTAAACTTTTGCGACGACACCTGCTCAGTTCTTTTTGTTTTTGAAGTTTCGTATAGCTTCTCTACCGACCCACAAGCAAAACGCGTCGTTATATTGTCCACATATTGAGGGGCTATGGCGTAAAGTTCCGATTCTATCGTCCATTCTTGGGCCGCTGTTATTCTCTTAAGAGCGAAGCCCAATGGAAACCCACCCAGTCATTTCTCACCATTTGGTCGATGCTCCGCTGTCGACGCCACCGCTTCGCACCCTGCCATTTCCTGATCGATAGAAATGTCTCTTCTTTTGGACATTTGGTTGATTTCGTCGCCTGCCAAGTCAAAAAGACGTCATCAACGAGCGATTCCGGAAGGCACCATCGAGCGGTGACACCGGTAGAACGTTTTCCTGAGTAGTCTTACGACGTCGAAACCAACACTGGTTCGGAATCCCCGTTTGTTGCAGATCAAGAACATCGTCTCCGACACCAAGCTCCCCCGAAAGGTCGTCCTGGCGTGGCTCAAGATCCACATCAAGGAGCCCCCCCGGCCGCTCGAGTCCGCGGTGCCCAAGAAAAGCGCGCCTGCGGACGCCGTGGCAGAGGGGGATGGAGAGGAGGAAGAGCTGCGTGGCCCCAGCAAGAAGCGCATCAAAAAGGTCAACCTGGAGACGTTCGAGAAGGTCTATCGAATCGCGCCGCAGCCGTCGGTGAGTCCGTGGACGAGCCTTGTTTCGAATCGAGTGAAGTGTTTTCTGTTTCGTTCTTTCTTTTGTATCTTTGTGAGAGGTGTACCTAATCCCGTCGCTTTCCCGACAAGTTCGGGAAGGGACGGTCCTCAAGGGATTATCTCCGGTTCTATCCGAGCTTCTGCCGGTTTGTCACTTGGTGTCCAGTCGGTTCAGATGATTGCACAGCATTGCGGCGCAGCCCTCGGAAAGGGTGGAAGTCGAAGTCGCTTTTGACCCAGTCGCTGAGTGGCGATTGGTGATCATATCTAGCAACTTGTCTCCGCCTGTCGGTCTTGAAGGGGTGGTGTGGAGTTCTAGTGTCTTGATTGCATGACGAAGTTCGTCGGAGTGTATGGAGCAGAGTACTCTCTTGTTGGGTTGAGCCTTCCAACTTTTAAGCAGTCGGTGTCCTCAACATGTCGAGGCCCTCTGTGACGTGGGGATTGTGTGCGTGCTTCTCCACTCCCGGATCCTGCGGCGGGTCAGATTTCGGCGCTTACCCGCACAGCTTAAAATTCAGTCCCCCACATTTTTGTTCCTGGTCTTACTGTGCTCGAAACGCTCAATATCTAGATGAGTTGCTTTGCATCTTGGGGTGTGGTGGTTGAGTTGTTTGAAAGTGTCATAAGTAAAAGACAACCTCGGCGGGTTACCGTATGGCTGCTCAAAAAAGTGAATCGAAGGAATTGCTACATGCGCTCTTGAGAAGCAGGTTCGCTACTTGCTCTGTCAAAACATCAGACTTGGAGCTGAGGTCGCCGCACGGACCCTTCTTGCAGAGGGAGCAGATTCAGGACCTTGTCAAGTTGACGCATATACCGTACAAGACAGTCGTTGAATGGTTCGACAAGCGGAATGGGTTTACGGCTTCTACAAGTGGCGACGTACGGCAGCAAAGGAAAGATGAGCGGAAGAAACGTGGGGCTCGAGATGACGGGGACGAGTTGGCCCCATTGACAATGATCGAGCCTGAGAATGACGGTGTCAGCATACGGCCTTGATATACAAGGATTCCGCCTTGTTCTAGGTCTCTTCCTGCATTTATGCTTGCCAGATATGAGGCTGCTACATCTGCAAAGGCAGCTTCCGTGACTGCCACACCGCTGAAGATTCTCTGATGGGAGGGTCAGCCCTCACCTCGATACTGTAGCACCTTCGCTCTACCCATGCAATCGTGCCATATATCTTGCATGCTAGCTCTCGCAATCATGGCTGCTGCTTACTCAAGATCGAACAGTGGACACATGTGCACGCTGTCAGTGCACCCACTTCTCTCGAAGATAGCATCTTCAAATCTTTAGTGCAGGTTGGTGCTACTGCATGGTCGAACGGTTAATGTGGTTTCTACGTACGTGCATGTGTAGTGCACCAGCTCCATGACTTCCTATAAGCCTGGGTTCTTTGCTTGCACTGTAGCAGGCAACGCATGTTACCGTCATGTGCACAACTCTATCTGATTGCACACACATGCATGCATGCTCTAGATTTGCCAACAAAGGTCGAATCGAAACGTGGGACATTTCCAGCGCATACATAAATTGACATGAGCTGCCCACTGCATGGCGGCCCATGTGACAGGCACACATAAATGCATAGACTTACTCAAACAGGTTGCGTGGCGCTGCTCGTATGGGGGAAAGTCAAATTGGCAAAGTTTAGGTGGAGTTTAAAAGAGGCATTGACTGAACGGTTCGGGACTACTTACATAACTAGTGATACATATACTGACGGCTGTCAGCTGTGATGGCTGATGAGAGGTCTACGATGTGCTCCACCAAAGCCGATCAAACAGCAACCTCCCACTAAGACGAGCATACGTTCCTCCTCATCCTATATGGCTACTACTATACGTGACCCCTGATCATACCAGCAAGGGCGGAGTCGTCGTATTCTGCAAAGACTGAATTTGACCGCTATCGCAACTGCAGAAATCAAAAAGCTTTCCCAGCAGTTTCTTGTGAAGCGACTTTTATTGCCTCGTCCTTCAGATGAAACCCCTCTGCTAAACTTGAGGTCATACTATTCAAAGATGCACTGCGAGAAGGTCCCCAGCTGATGACTATACAATGACTTAATCGGGTTAGTAAATGACTTGGTCGATGCCTTGGCCGTGCGCAGTTGCTCAGATTCTAACATGACTGTCGTTAATAAATGATTGCCCGCCATGATGTCTCCTGCACACAAACAAGCTTGTTAACCAACGATATGAACCGATACTCTCAGGCTATCAACAAATAAGGCAACAGTAACTCCGGTCAGAGGAATGACCGGATAAGGAAGCGACCGAGTCATCCTGTGGAAGCTTCGACAAATGATCACAGCCTCATTCACAAGAGAAGAGGCTTCCTTTCCGACCCGAAAAGGCGCGTGAACCCACCTCAGATTTACAGCACTCGACTATCCCGCCCCAGCGGCCCCCACACCGACCCCCTGGCCCTCGGGCTGCTCTTGATGGGTCCGATGAGATCCTTGGCAGTAAGCTCACTGCCACGCGCGGCCTCAAACAATGCTCTCGCTCCCCCTCCTTTCCACAGGGTAAACGGCTCCTCCAGGTCGCTGCTGGCGAATGGAAGCAACCTGGCCCCCGCATGGGGCGCCAATAGAAGTTGCATACCTGCACACACTTTGTCGGAGAGCACCAGTCAGGTGCTAACAACTTCTTACTGCCCCCCAATGCTCGAACAGCCACGAAGTCATTCGCCCGCTCACGAAGTCAGGAATCTTGCTCCACACGCGTATACCAATCAAAAGCAACTGCCTCGTGAGTGCCATACCACAGCACGGCTCTCCAGCATTTTGCCATTAGGCCAGAAGCGCCCAAAATCCTCACCGTTGACTGGCGCCCGCACTTTTGCCACCGTAAAGCCGTTGAGCTCGTTGATAGACAGGCTCGTGTTCAAAATCCTCTCTCCCAGGTTTAGGCGCCGGCCCTTCTCGCGCCCGGGACCCGTCAGATCTAGGGTCAAGCCGTCCATAGAGTAGCCAACTCCCTGCAGAACCTCCTCTCTGGCCCTCTTGCGGCTCTTCGGGGGGCTCAATGCGTCATCCATGGAGTCGCCCCCAGTTCCGGACTGCGACCCCTGCCCGTCACTCAAGGCACGTGGCTTGTCGCGGTTGGCCAGCTTCGTGTCGCACGAGTCCTCCTTCTCGATCTCGTCCAGTTTTCCTCCCCCACCAAGAAACACGCCCTGGGGGGTCTGCAGAATCACGCTCGCAACGTTCCCCGCTAGGACGTCTCCCACGGCGCCCAGGTTCAGCCCCCCGAGAGCAATTGTGCCCTCCGCGCCAGCTCCTGGACCCTTCTTCAATTTGCTTAGAAGCTTTTGGCTCGGCTTGGGGGGCGAGGGGGCGTAATCAAACCCCACCGGCAGCGAGGCGATGCGCTGCAGCAAAAAGCCACGATCGGGCTTCTCCATCTTCAAGCTGACCGTCCTTCGGAGCCCGGCCCCACCGACATTTGCAGGCACTGGAGGGGCGCCTCGGCTTCTGTCCTGTTCCCCTGATTCCCACCGAAGTCGGTGCAGCAACCCTGGGCCGGAATCTGCGCCCAAGTCGTTTGCCGGCCGCACCTCGGGCCTGGCGTCGAGCCTTTGGAGAAAGTGGCCCCAGCTCTCCTGAGGGGCCCATCCGGGGCTGCTGCCCCCTTTCAAAGGGCTAAGAGGCGGCTTCTCATGAACTAGCGGGGCAGGGACCTTCCAAAGGGGGGCTTCCGATTGGGGGCCTGCAGTACCCCCGGTCTCCATAGCTGCCGCGTGCAGGTTCAGGTCGAGATTCAGGCCCTTTGCAGCATTCTCACGAGCCGGCTCCTCAGCGAAAGCTTCTCCGTCCCAGGGAATGACAGCGCCACGCTTTCCAGGTGCGGCGCTTCCGAGTCCTGGCCCCCCAAGGTTTGCGGGGGTCAACGTCCTCCCTTCTCCCTCCCTATTAGCCAGCTCAAAGCTCGCCCGGGGACGCCCCTTGAAGAAGACCGTATCTCCGTCCTTCCTGAGAGCCTCCAGCTTCACTGCCTCCGCAGTCCCTCCTAAGATGAGGCAGATTGGTACCGCGCAGCCCCAGGTGCTAATGAGGCCGCCCGCGTTCACACCAACCCCTACGCTGGCCAAGGTGGCTAGAGGAATGGCCACCGTGAAACTGCCGTCTCGTTCCGGGGCACATTGAGCGGAGGGCGGGAGCACCGCCTGATCTTGGCCCACTCGCAGGACGTTGGGGGTTCTTGGGAGAGTGTGCAGAGGCCTTGGGTGGCCGGTTGGGTTGTATGGCAGCTCCGCCCAAGGGGATCCCTCAAACTGCAGCGATTGTGCTCTGAGCTCCGCAATGGCGCTGCTGCTTCCTAGGCGGGCATTCTTCTCGTCGAGGCCGAGTTCAGAGAGGGTTGCCTTGAGAATCTGTTCTTGCGCAGGGGTCCATTGCCTCAGCGCAGCCTGAGGCCCTGCTGCCAGCCAGGGGGAGTCAGCGGGAAGGGGGACCTGGAGCGACGATATCGGAAACAGGGCCTGGCTCGGGAGCCCGCTCTGGCTTGCGGCGGGGCTCTGGTCCTGAAAAACAAGCAGAGGATGACGTCAGCAATGCAATTGACATGATGTGCAAGGAACAACGAGTTCTGAGATGACGTCTTTGGATCATTGCTCAGAGATTTGGAGAGTTTTCAACAAGCATAATCTGCTCACTGCTACGGAAGAATGGAGACTGTTCAGGAATTGAGAGCCTGTGCTCTGCAAATTACTGTATTACTTGATCGCTCTGTATTGATGATAGTAACAGCAATTCAAACAAAGACGTGTAGATCGAAGTTCACAATCTGTAGCAGTCTCCCAGCATGGCAAAAGCATTCCAGAAGAACAGTAACACAGCCCCGGAAACTCATCTTGCATTTCAAGCATTCTTGTTGAACCAGCAGAATTATTTATGAAGGTTAGAAGCCTCCACACCTGCTGTTTTGCAGCCACAAACAAGGCTGCAACTGATCAATTCTTGCTCACCACTTCAGGGGGGGGCTGGCACAACCACGGCCACAGCTGCGGCTTTGGCTTTGCCCTCTGCCACCCCTGGAAGAGACGCTCCCCCTCCAAGTCCTGAAAGTTGTCCTCCCGCTTGCGCTTACGGGAGCGGAGCAGTCCCCTGTGCAGATGCTTCTCACAGTACTTCTGGTCTGGGAGCGCCTCGCGCTTGCATTGCCAATGCTTGCCGTCGGTGCGTGAGCAGCGGGGGCCCCCCAGTGTGTAGGTAGTGGAGCGGTCACGGTGTTGGATGACGCGCTCGTGGCGGTGCTCGATGTCGACACCTGAAACAAGGGGGTACGGTTAGATCAGGCCTGCAGCGTATGCACATTAGCCCTGCGCTCGCAATTGATGTTCGTTGGGGTTTGTTGAGGGCTGGACCATCCGCAGAGAAGGTGGAATTACAGTAAACTAACTTGGTTTGTATGAGCAAGAGTACTCGTTTAAGAATTCACCCTATAGAGATCGATGAAAGAATGATGATGTTACAACCTTGATTCAGCAAAAAGCAGACGTTGCTTTGGCCTTCATTGATGCTGAGCACAAGACTCCTTTTAAAACCTGCCTTCGCAGAACGTGACAGGAACAGGAGTATGATAGGACCCTTGCACATCCAACACCATCCTTTTAAGCATCCATGTGTGTAAGCGGCAGATCTGGCCTGTGAATCGACAGGTCGTCTTGTCATCTTTCCTGGCCTAGAATATGCTGCAGGCTGCTAAACGCAAGCATGTCTACCAGGTTTGTCTACTTCAAAGCAGGGCTGCTCCTTCTAACAAAAAAATGACTCCTGGAAGGAAAAGGCTGGTATGATGCCATTAGTTGCATCATCAAGTTAGCACGTTTTCGCTCACTCAATCAGACGCCTCACACAGAAACCTCTTGCTCACCAGTCTTTCTCAAGCCGCCACCACCACCAAGTCTGCTCTGCTTCCTTCTCTGTAACACACCGCCCTTTTGCTGTTCTGGACTCTTCCCTCCAGTTTCGCGCGGTGCTTGCTGTACTGCAAGACCTGGATCTTGGCCATGACCTCCAACCCCACATGCATCACTTGTCAAAGTGCTGCACTCATCCATCTTTGAGCAAGGGGAGTAGCTTGCTGTGCATGGTTCACTGATTGCGTTGCAGGAAGGCAGTCGGGGGAGTCCCTCAGCACTGCTGACGCACACACCTGCAGGAAGTGATACAAGGTTGGCAACCATTTAGTCAAATGCAAGCCTCTCATGTAGGAAGCTCAAAAGACCAATGCATATATGTTTCAACATCAAAGTGCATAATGACACCCACACGTGTTCCTCAGTGGACACAATGACCACTGACTTTCTCAAATCTGGTTTAACAAAGAAACTAAACTGCTTTTTCCTGAATGATATCAGAGAGCAAGGTTTCTCAGATGCACTTTTCATTAGCATTTCTGAAAGCTAAACTTTTGCAGAGCTCTCGGATGGTTCAGAGATGTCCTGAGCGAACTATAAGATCTATCAGTAGTATTTGATATCAAGCCAATGAAACCTGACCAAACAATTATTCAAGCCACGTGAAATTTTCTTGTCCCACGTGATCTGGAAAAGAATTGGAGTTCTCCTTCTGCAAGCGAGGTCCAAAATATGCTGCTTTTGAAATGACAAACTTTACCATATATCTTCCACAGGTCAGCTATACAAGTGAAAAGTAAAGATTGAAACAATGGACTGGATTCGATTCCTTTGAAATGACAAAGGATGATCGCTAGGATGGCAACTGCGCCAAGCGTCTGTAAAACTAACCGACGATCCACGTCTGTCCTGATTACCAGCTCCAAGAACGTATGTTGCTGACTGAGGAGGCTCGAATGGACAGCAATGTTCAGAGCCTTTTAGGCCCAGCCTGCTCATGAAATGCAAGAAACGGGCTTACTTACCCCACAACATATGATCGATACTTTGTTGCAGCTAGCCATATTAGACAATCGAGCTAAACATCCTATCAGAAGATGCACGACAAACTGAAACGCTCAAGACATATTTACCTGGGCCAATATCCCTTGTCAATGCAGCAGGAACGTCCTCAGGTTTTAAATGTGGCCTGACCGACTCGTATGCAGATTGCAGCAGGTCGGGGCTTGGAAGCGCAACTTCAGTGGACGGGACTTCCCAAGCCATCCCCACCCTAACATGAAGATGCCCAAGGGCTGTCAAATTGTCTGATGGAGAATTCAATACTGTCACGAATTGCACGATCTAATTTCAAAAAGAAGCAGAAGGTACACAGCGCCACATAAAATAGGGCTTCTCGCCCACGCCGGCTGCCCGCCTAAAGCCTTTTCTCAGCTGGTGCTTTTCCGTAACGTTTTTGCCACCAAAGTCGAGACAGCACCGACGCCCTGAACCTACCAATCTTCACATCCCTCGAAGGATGGGAAACGTAGCAGAGACCAGCCCTGGCCTGACAAGAACAATCCTGCGCTCCAGCCTCCAGCTCAGCCTCCACAGAGCACCATCTGTCCAGAGCATGTCACAGTCCACTGGCACTGTCCCATGCAGGACCACAGCGCTTTGACCACGTCCACGTATAACCTATTAGGGGTTATGGGGGTTAAACAAGATTAAAGCGGCGCTACAGTTGTACAAGGTACAGTAGAGCATACCAACCGTGGTACCGGTACCTACTTCTGTACACGGCGGACGTGCATAACCATAAACTTTATTAGTAATAAGGATCTTAGGTACTGAAAGTACTCAATTTCTCGCCGTAACCAACACTAAAACCCTAAGGACAAAATGACCTGCTCCGCACCCGAACCCACCATACCGGTAACTCTCGTGTGACCTAACGGGCGTGTGACCTAAGATACAAGCTACCCGGGCACTTCAAACTAAAACACCTAACCCAAATAATCACCCGCTCCGCACCCCAACCCACCCTAACCACCATACCAACCCCACCCGTCCCCCGGGTGCCTATCTTAGGTCACACGGCTCTTAGGTCACACGAGAGTTATCGAAGTGAACCCACCCTAACCACCAACCCAACCCCACCCGTACTTGTGTACCTTAAGTTTCTTATTACTATTAAAGTTTATCCCTATCGGACGTGCATACGTTACCGAGGTTGTGTAAACCAGCAGGGCCAGGTACCGTACTTACCGTACCTCGAATCTCGAGACGGTACTTTGCAACGTGGCGGGTACCGGGAACCCGTATTCTTTGCCTCCCTTATTGGGGGAGGTCATTCTAGTTGACATGACATGTTGAGTCCTAAAACGTTAAGGCATTTTTATTCGTGATCCTATTGGCCACAACCCTTACCGGGTTGACCGCGTTGACCGAGATCGAAACATGAACAAGTAACCCCCAACTAACCCCTGCAAATTCCCTGCTTTAAAACGAGATAACTCTTGACCCCATGATAAACCCTTCATCGCAAAACTTCCAAGGGGGAGGATTCTAGTACTGAAGGTACCTACTGGATACCGTATGTACATGCACTGGATACAGTAGGTAGGTAGGTACCTACTACGAAAATCTGCTCAATGCTGACGCACGAGATCAGAGACCAAATCCCAAGTATTTCGCTGACAGTGACACTATGTAACGTACACCAGTACGTTATTTGTCATGACTCCGACTCATGAGCCGGGCCGACTGCAAATTTCAAAACGGGCGTATCCATGTTGGATTGCACTTAGCGACTCACTACCAGGTATTCAACACCACGACCCGGGTTCGCAAAAGGGCGGCCAGAGTCCTAGAGGGAGGGATTCCGCCTGATATCCTCTTGATAACATCTTACAGCCCAGAAGCCCACGCGTTATAGCGTTAGATTCTGCGATACTAGTAAGAGTCGTATCAATATGGCGGTCTCATGGCGGTCTCCTTAAGTTCTCGCCGTATCCAAATGGCCATAGGCTTCTCATGGCATGAATATGTGGTGTGTGTTTCTTTCGCCACAGGTGCTCGCATGTATATTCCACCTTTGTACACCTAGCAACATTCGTAGTACACCGTACCGACACTACAATCTCCAAATACAAAAGCTGCTCAACAATGCACTTAGGGAAAACCAGCATTTGAACTTCTTGCACAAGTTCTTCTTTAGTTTCATACCAAGAATTGGAGGAGTCTAGCGCCGGTTTGAGTAGGTCGATCAGAAAGGATCATGAAGGACGACGAATGTGCATGGGTTCCAAGCCACCTTGCTCAGGCCTCGCCCAGCCGAGCATATGGCGCCTATCACAGATTGACAGCTTGCTAATGGTCGTTTTTCTGACGCAATAAGATTGTTACTCATCCTGGTACATATACATGCATCTCTCAACGGTGCCATCGCACATCCCTAGCCCCACCTCCGTGCCAATTCCAAATTCGCTCTCATTTTTTGTAAGTTCTTCACATTTTGCCATACGCCCGGCATGTGATGAATGACTCATGGAACTTAAACAAGCCCCCGAATGTCACGGATCAGCGAATCATTGGTACTTATTAAACGACTGGATAGAAATGATACTAAGAAGAAATGCAAGCTCCTGATGTCCACCCTATAAATGTCCACCCTCTAAGATCTTCACTTTGGAGCCGACATAATAAAGGCACGGCTGCTAATGGCGATGGTAGCGACCACGTACGGACTTGACTCCATCACGGCATGAACAGTCGCCGAAAACGCGCTTTCTGTACGTGGTCGCTACCATCGCACAAGCTGCTGAGACCTAAAGCGCCAATAGCGGCTCCTAATTGGGTCGGCTGTCTCTAGACGCATGCAAAGCTGCTCAAGCATCGAACTTGGTGATCCCCGCCCTTCATCGTTCGAAGGCTCTCCTTCGTGCAAGGCTTCCGGAACTAGATGACCAGCGGCAGCCAGGTCTAGGGCCCATGACAAAGCTTGGACGTTCTCTCCATCATCTCTCAACAACTCTTGGCAGACCTGGACCACAGGCGATTCTTCTGCGAGGGCTCGTCTGCAAGGAGCACACAAGCTTGCACCATGTGCTTTTGCAAAAAGCGAGGATCGAGGGATTCACTGGATGTTCTTGCTGTTTCGGATATGAAATCAGGAGGAGCTATGCCGCTAGGGACACGAAGCAAGGTGCAGGGATGTTGGGCAATATCAGGTGTCAAAGACACGGTGTCAGACACATATAATCACGAGATTAGATTTGGGTAGCTGATAAAGAAGACGGGTCCTAGAAAGTGCAGGAAGGTGGAGGGCTAAAGCGAAGCGCGGTCACCAAGCTCCGACGAAACGATCATCCTTTCTCGATCCGAAGCACGAATCTGCCAGATTGAGAGGCTGAGCTTTTGGAAACGTTGCTGGAGCATTCTGCCACTGGTGAGAGAAACAAGAGTCGGAGCACGGAAGGTGGACAACAACTCCAGCAGAAAATTCTGCCCAGTTCTGAAAGGCATCTCGGCTGCAATAAGGGTACCTTGTGGCACCTGAGATGCTATTCCGCCAATCTCCTAGACTAGTTCATGATGACAGCTTCCTCTCCGTCAGATGCGTGCCACACTTGCACAGGGTGCGCAACCATGATCGCATAAAATGAAGAGGCGACTATGTAAAGAAAAGGGGCAAACGAGTCCCCAATTAATTGTTGACCGCGCGCAGTGCTCACATGTCATCCTGGTAGAGGCCTCTCAGGTAACGCCAGGGGCTCTCGTTGTTAGGCGCCAGCCGGATGCGGTCAATCGCAAACTGCGCCTCGGAGCGGCGCATCGCCTCCAAGCCCGGCAGAAGCGGGCACGTCTGGATGGTGAAAAACCGCTGCACTCAGGACGACGGAAAGCGCTTTAACAGACTGACGGACAAGCCTCCGTGTGATTGCTGCCAGGCCAGTGACAAAGTTTCCCGTCTGGCAGTCGCGATGCCCCTCTGAAACTGCAATACCGGCTTCTAGATTTCGCCGCAGATCGAGAAGAGAACTGCGGCGACTAGCCTGGTTAACAACGTGCTTCAACGCTCACTGCAGGGAAGCGCTGCGGCTAAGGCCTCTGTGAACCAACTCCGAGCGTCTTCTCCGTTCCGTTTGAAGTGCGACGTTTGAAGACACGCTCCATCGCGGAAAGAGCCAGGAGATGTGGTTCAAGCATAAGGAGTTGCAAAGACACGTCCGACACGTCATTGTTCTGCGGATGGTGCGGATCAGTTCGCGTTTCGAGGTGAGACTGTCTCCTTCTCAGAAGTTGTGTCCTATGACTGCGCGGCTCAAACGGACCGTCAGCTCATGCACAAGTCCTCTTGCAATTCGGCATCAAAAGGCCCATTTTGCAGTACAACATCAAAACACTCACTGGAAAGGCCAAGCGAAGGAACGAGGCAAAGCCTGACCCTATTCTTCAGACTACTAACCAGGGTATTGACTAATTGCTAACCTGGTTCCAGGCGGAGTTGTTCCGGACGTCCTCTGCCAGCAGTTGCTCGCAAAAGGCCAGCTCGCCCTCCCACCCCCCGAGCGTCCGAAGGGTCCACTGCAGTAAGTGAGAGCCCGGAAAGGTCAAGCGATCGTTGTAGGGCAAACAAAAGGGAGAAACGAGAGGATCAGGGGCCAAAAGTACAGGTAGAAAAGATGAGAGTTGAACTCGCGGAACCAGATATCTGGTGGAAAAGGCAAGAGCTGATAAGAAAAGGGTCACACGCAGATCCAAAAACGCCTTGTCCCGGACGATGCAATTTGGACACGCAGATGACTGGTGATGTTGGCAGGTGCTAAAGAGATGACCGTAGGACAGCTTGAACGTTCACTCAAACGAGGATTGCAGATTCGAACGAAGGCCTCTTCAAACGGACAGTAGAACAGGCGTCGGAAAACCACTTTCAACAAACCCTTTTTGTCCAGATTGTGAGTAGTCGAAGACTGTGCCGATCAAAGCCGAGGGATCAGATTTGGGAGTGCTCCATGTAGATGAATCTATGACAGGTATCAGCTGCTTTGCCTGTGTGTACACTCGAAGCTGTACTTCAGTTTGTATCTTAGACGATTGGCCCGCCTCATCGAGACCTACACCCAATACTCTCTTCCGTGTAATGACACGACAGATGAGGAGGCATCGCGCAACCTGATTTGGTCACGCACTATCATCGACCCGCTGCCCTTCGAGAGTATGCAAATGTGTGGACGGATACCAAAATGCTTTCAATCATCACCAATTAAGCAGGGCGCGATATACTTCATCTTATCGTCGACTCACTAACGCCTGTCTCCTTTCATCCAACGCTCCATGTCAAGCAGTTCAGATGTCACACCGCAAGGATGACTAGCAGCAGTTCTGGCAAACGATATGCAATTCCAAAGTCTTTATCAGGGCCAGAGCATACCTGTCTGTGCGCCCAGGCGTGGTAGTTCTTTGCATCTTCTTCCAGGACCCGTGCCGTGAACTTCAGCTCCCGCTGAGCCCCGGAAGCGCCGACGCGCTCGGCGCACCACCGCCTGTGGTACCTGAAATCGGGGATAAGAAACCGCAGTTAGCACAACGTTTCTCTGGGCTAGCAGGTCCTCTTTCAATATGCTTGAAATTGAGGTTACTAACGCCTGTGTTAACGCCTGTGTTATTGACGACCGGTGCTATTCAAAAGCGAACCAGGCTCAAGGCAAAGAATCCTTAAACCTCTGCTAGAACAAGGTTGGGTGGCAGTCAACGAGGCTCGAAACTCAAAAGGGCCCGCCTAGCAGCCCGTTACACCCGACTGACTTCAAAACTTTTTCAACGCTTCGCCATGAATACCGGAATTGGACGCCGGCCCCAGATCCTGATAATCGAGGCTCTCGCAACTTTTGAGTAGTTGTGAGAATGCCCGAAACTGTCCAGCGGGTAGATCAACGTCAAACCCAAGCGGCAGAAAACTCAAAAACTCAAACTCAATCGGCCTCACCATTGTGCTTCGCTAGCTCGGTCATGCAACTCACGACATAGTTGGAACAATCTGCGTCACTGGCACAACACGATGCAAGCCCGTGCTCGCAAAGTGTTTCTCGTGCACGCCATCCAACCAAGCACAGAGACCTCTGGAAACAGAAACAAGACCGACAATCATAGTTTCATCATTCGAATCGTGCAAGCTGTCCGCACCAGAGCTGGTAGTTTTTGGGGCTGTCCTCAGCCACCTCGTCACAGTACTCTAGCTCCTGCTCCATCGGTGTCTCAAGCGCCGCGAGAACCCTCCGCCGGAACTGCCAAACCTGAACCACCAGGGAAAGAAGCGCGATGGGGGGCCACTTTTTTACACGTTTTAACTTCGCATGTATAAAAACTGTCAACAAGTTCACAAGAGAGCATATCTGCAATCCTCCAGTATATCAAGAGAAGATATTACGTAAGTAGGGGGCTCATAATACATACATAAGGTGGGGAGGAAGCTTATCTTGGACCAGGATGCAGGACTGGACCAGGCGATCTATGCTTGAGACAAGACCTTACGGAAATCCGCAAGGAAGCGGGTCTTGACTTGGGATCAAGCAGCTTTCAGCACAACCAGACCAGCTGTAAACTGCCGCGGAAACTGCGACCACCCTGCATTCTGACTGAAGGTGTGCTGTCAAGTGCATTCAAGTCTCAACCAATCACGAGGAGTTGAAATCAACCGTGTAGTTTGCCGCGTTCAGCTCAATGACCTCCTTGGTGAGTGCCAGCGCTCTCTCGCTCCGCTCGTCCAGGGCCAGAACCGCTCGAAAGTAACCCATCGCCTCAGAGAAAGTGGGGGAGTAAGCAATAGGGACCAAGGGATGTGGGCCATCATTCTGCTCGAGAGGTGTGATGTCGCTCCACTCTGGCCGCTCCCTAAAGGGAATCCTTACCATGGCTGGGCCCGGGTAATGAGTAATCGACCTAAGCCGTTTGGTTCCTACAAGTGATTTCAAGGTTTTCTATGCCTACGCTCGTAAGGTCAGGTAGGGTAAACACGAGACCCTGATGCTTGATGAGGATATAGACCTCCTCTGAGATAGCGGTCAAGGATGGGGGTTCTTTGCTTGTGAAAGTAGGATCAGGGGATGTTACTGCGCGGGGCAGCAAACATCCAAGCGTCCTGCAAGCCAAGGGAAAGTGTGTGCACAGGGGCACATGTTGCACAGTGTCTTCAGGAAGATACTCCTCACCGTTACACAAGACAAGCCTGGCACATTGGACTGAAACGATTTTGAGATCTCAAAAAGAAATCAGCGGTTTGCACACAGAGAGTTTCTGCATTGCACACAAAGCATGTCGTCTGAGAACGCAGAGCGCTTCCAAATGGTTGATAGGATACAATGGCAGCCTGCTTTAGCTCAGAGTGCAATCCGCTGCCCACGCGGTAGACGTGCTTTTCTTGAGGTGGTTTGAGAAGCGGGCTTTACCTCGTTCAGTCGCTTCACCTCCTTACGCAGATCAGCCAGAAGGGTCTCTTTGAGAGCTGCAACCAACAAGAAGAAGCTGAGGAGCACAGAGGAACTTCTACATTTCCTCTTGATTTGGATCCTTTCTCTGCCTCTCTACACACCTATGTCAGCAAGCAGATCTTTGAGCTTCCTCAGAAGCTGCATATGATTGAGATGCAACATCCAAGTTAGGAGGCCAACTTTAAAACTCGGCTGTCATGAACGAACTCGTTTACAGTGCTTGAACAGTCAAGCAGCCTTGGTTCTTACCCTTTTTAGTTTCGTCTCGTTTGTCCTCTGCCACTGTCAGCTCCTCAGCGAGGACTTGATACAGGCTCTCCTCAGTAGGGTTCACAATGCGGGGGCCCGCCGCTGCTGGGGCTTGCGACATCCTGCACGCGAAAAGGTTGAGACAGTGTTAACCAGCCTACAACCGCCTTTGATTAGCCTATGTACTGCATTTTCATGGAACATTTCAGTGGAACCCTGGTGGAGGTTACTCTCAACTAAGAAAGGCAACTACCTTCTCTCTCCAGACATCCTCCAGACAAGGAGTTTCACTGACTGTTTGAAAGACCAGAAAGTAGTCACAGCACTTTGTGCCCTGGCCAACGCTGCTATTCCTCTGACCTGCTTGACCAGATTAAACTCAAAAAGAGGCCATACAAATAGAGCAAACCTGGAGCCACTCCTCCCTCTGCACGGTTTCTGCAAAGGCAATTGCATAGAAAATCAACAATTGTGTGAGGCCCAAGAACATTCTCTAGCGTCCATGTGCACTGGCTCACCTGCTTGTCTATCCCAGCATCCTGCATGCCATTAGATGATGCCCCTACTTTGTAAGCCAACAGGTATACGGTACCCCTTGCAATTCAGGAAGCGGTACGATATCTAAGCTTTCCGAAGTTCGCCTGCCAGTGCATGAGAATTGTACAAGGACTGCACATGAAGGCACGATTTTGCAACGAATTCCAGGGGGTCAGCCAACCCCAAGTCTGTCCTTGCACTCGGCCCCCCTAGTGCAAAAACAGAGGCGTCCTTTATAAGTGATCCGCACTTGCGGACGGTTGCTGCATGGAAAAATTGACACACCATTGTGACTGGCCCGGCCAGCCACCGCAAAGCAGTAATGACTGTGTTAAAGCAGATTGCCGGTGGACAACGACTCGGACGTGATGACGTCTCTGTCCAACGCAAGCCGCCTGGACTCGGAGGGGATCCCTTCCGCTCTCCTGCATCCTGATGTCACATGCAGAGACCACGTACGCAAACTGGTGGTGCATGGCCGTCCAAGGTCAAGGGTCGAGGCAGGTAGAAAAGAAGTGGCAGAGGCATTTCACATGGCGACGCTTTATGGCCAGGGCTGCCTGCCTGCTTAGGGCTCCTTATTTGGTCTGCCCAACGTCTCCATCTGCTCCTGTTGCGCTCCAAACGTGCAGCGGTGTCTGGAGCAGTTTGTTGCTTGTATCGTTCAGATCTTTGTTAGGGCGGGGTGGCAGGCGGGGTGATAGGCGCCAAGCTGTGCATGCTTGCGAGCTGCTAAGTTTTCACAAGCTACGTCAGCAGTGTGCTGAATCAGGAGGCGCCCGTACGCTAGCGCCTTACCTGCAAACTCTGGGTTTGCGGACATATACAAGCCCGCGTGCGGATACCATGAAGACTAGGAATAGAAGAGTGGGCTCTGTGAGGAAGCAGGAGCTTGAGAAAGTGCTGAGAGGAGTGCTCAGCGCGTATGCCTCTGGTGCGCTCTCTTCCCAGGGCGAGGAGCCTCTTTCGGACTTACCAGAGGATAGTCTTAAGTATGTCACCGATGAGATGTGGGATGCAGGAGTTCTGCAGCCCCTGTGTAAGGAGCAGCTTTCTGGTGAGGAGTCCAGCGTCTTGGCTGAAAGCTCCTTGCAGCTGCACCAGTCTGTTGGCCAGCTACTAGAGGATCTGAGCTTTGCGGCGGATGCGGAGCAGGCCTCAAGGATCTGCAGAGAAGCGGTGGCGCAGTGGCGGGCGCTGTATAGGCCTCAGGCATTGGAAACAGCAGCGGGGCAAGCACAGGAGGAGTCTGACGAGGAGGAAGAAGATACACCGCCTGGCTGCTGCGAATTGTGCAAGCGCTTCATGCCGCTGACCTTCCACCATCTTGTCCCCAAGTCCACACACAAGCTTGTGGTGAAGAGGAAGCTGTTCTCAAAGGATGAGGTCAACAGCCGAGGCATCAATATCTGTAGGCCTTGCCATAGCTCCATCCATAGACTGATTGATCACAAGCAGATGGCCTATGAGTTTAACTCCCTAGATAAACTGCTCGAGCATGAGGGTGTCCAGAAGTGGATTGCGTGGGCTGAGAAGCAGAGGACAGTGGCCAAAGATCATGCAATCAAGGGACTTAGGTACCACCGGTGAGAGGGAAAGACAGTGGCATTGTCAACAATGCGCGCGGGTGTGGCGTAAGCTGCACATGCAGAACAAGAAGGAGTGAAACTAGGTAAGCTTTGAAGTTATTTTCCACGATAGAGCTGATTGACACCGTCTCTATCACGTGTGACAAAGAGAGCCGCCTTGGAGGATTGGCTTCCATAAGCTCAAGCCGAAACTTAGCTTTTGTGTCTCTGGTCGTGACTTTGAAATTACGTTCAACTGTGTGTCTTGAGACCATCAGAAATCAAAGCTCTGTATATGCAGCATCAGCAGACCACAAGTTCTACCATAAGATTTGACTTCAAGCCCCCTGCCTGGGCGACTAACAATTGGTTGAAGAGAGCTTGTTGTTGAGCTATAGCCCGATAAGTACCTAGCAAGTTCTAATGATCCGTCAACTTCCTTTGCAGGTTGCAGCCGTTTCTTGATTCTTCTAGTAGAGGTCCAGAGGAGGCGGCACTCAAGCCGCCCTTATTTGGTTGCACGCCAATCCTACCATCTTCTTAAATCATGTCTCAGGCATGGTACAGAATGTAAATTAGGTAGAAAAGTTGGACACTGGAAGAGCGAAATCTAGCATTGGGTTCAGGATTGTGCTTGCTTAGTTCCCTCCAAAGCTGATTGGTCAAAGGTCCAATTTTTTGGATCGATGCCCGCTGAGCTGGCCTGCAGGTGTGCATGGGCTTAATCATGATTTAGGCGCAAGATTCTTTGGATCACTTGATGAATAATAGTAAGATTGCATGTGGTATCACTGCACGCATTTATGCCATTTCGCATTTATGCCTCAACCTCCGTCAAGATTGATTTGACGAAAATGTGAAACGCTTTCAGTTGTTGTTTATGGCCTGCCGCACATGCCTCTGAACGCATTCCCGCGAGACGTCCTTAGGTTGATGCTTTGAGCGCGCGGCCGGTTTTACAATATAGACCTAGCTAGCTATAGCTAGCATGTGCAGCATGTGAGCAAGTTCGGCGGGGAGTCGGGGATCCACGACTGACACGACTGCTCGATATATACAGAGCTCTTTGATTCAAAATTGCATCCCCAAATCACAGTGCACGAAAAGATTCATCTAGATTCGAAAGCTTTCACCAGTCGAAATGGATTGTGAATTAGTAGTCAGCCTGACCTCTCGACACATATCGCCTTCACACTGACAAGATTAAACATGGTGACATATTTCCTTCAAACTAACTGACAAGATTAAACATGGTCAAAAGTAACGACCGAAAGCATTATCATCGAGATCGAACATGATATAATGTGGCCTTACATTGGGCGTGTGACGTGCTGGCGGACAATTTCATCAGCATTTTGCAATCATGCCATGCCTCAGGCTTGAGTACGTAGGTGGATTCTTCAAACTCCATACAAGCGAATGCAAGCTACTTTCACTCACACCAGGCACACAGCTGGTAATCGTACATTATGTTTTCCTGCCATATGCACATGCCATGCGCCTCATTTCGTGGTAAGGTCGCTTTCCATACTCATTCACGAGCTGGTTGGCCGGCCACACAGGGCCTTGGAAATTGGCCCCGTCGGTTCCCGCTTGTCATTGCAAGATTAGATTTTGCGCCCTCTACAACGCATCCCAGTAGAGGTGAAGAAATGACAAGCGAGGTCTCCTAGAAGTAAGAAAGCGACAAGCAATCAGTCGCTGCGAATCTATGCGTGGGGCCAGCCAACCAGCTCATTGCCCCGTCTTTCGCCAGCGCCCCTCACAGGACCTCGTCCTTAACGGAACCGGCCCCCGAGTCTCCCTCAGCTCTAGTCCAAACACTCAAACAGAACCTCTGCGTCTGCTATCGATGCTCAACTTTTCTGCACGGTCACCGTCTCCTGGACAGTCTGGACGACCTACTACCTCGAGGCCACTCGATGCACGACTCCGAAGCGATGGCACCCGACCCGGAGAGCTGAAAAGCGTTCACGGAAACAAGAAGCAGGTCTAAGCAGTTGAAGACGTCGAAGTCACCCTACGTGCAGGCCGTCCCCTTCAGAGTTGCTGAGCGTAAGCAAGAGCTTTGATCTGAGACGCCGTACCCACGCTGTGCGATGGGAGAGAGCGAAGGGGCATGAGCCCACGGGGAAGACGTCGAGGCTGCCCCACAGAGAAGCGGAGACATCCGTTGAAGAGCATATTCTCGTGAGCTCATTACACAATCTTCCGACTACAAAAACCGAGGTGCCACCGCCGTATTGACGTTTTACCAATTCTCTTCCACTGCAAAAGGAAGCTGCTGACGACGTCGAAAGACAGGGCAGCTAGGGTACTGATCCATCCTGAAAGACCAGGGCTTCAAGAAGCAATGGTTCTTTTGAGTAGGATTTTGGGCTCTGCATTGCCTCGTACCCATCGAATACGCTTGCACGTAAGATGAGCCTGTACTGGGGTGACCAGCTTCGACATAACGCCCCACTGAGACAGACAATGATAAAATCCCCTCGAAGTTGCAGACCGTGATTCTCAGATGCCGCTACTATCTACGTCCATTGAAGCTCGATCATGCTCCTCGAAAAGTCCCTTTTGAATACGAAAAGGCTTCAATGGCAGCTATTGGAGCTGCTTTGGCTCAAGCCAAAACGGTCGTCAGGGTAGTAACCTTATCAATGACGTCACTGTGTCTTGATTTGATGCTTCGAGAATCTGAATGCAGAAACGAAAGGACGAACAACACGAGTTTGATGCAACCGCTTTCTGGCAGCTTGACGTACGTTGATTTGGGGCCTCACAGCCTGTGCAAAAGTGATTGGAGTATTGGAGCTGGATTTCAACAAAGACGTATAGCCCAGCACAAACTTCGCCACGAACATAGGGTAACCGACCAATACAACGGCTACTGCAAACCAGTCTTGCAGCTCGGGTCCCAACCGCATCGAGTTGACACTATTATATAGTTGGTTTCAGAGGAAGGGCTCCAATACATGATATTGCAAGGGAGACAACCGGGAGACAACCCATCGAAATAAGCCGCAGAACTTCTGATCAACCACAATCTATCTGTACGTTGCAGAATCAACCTGTTGAAGTGAGAAGCGGAGGCGTTACCTTTGCTCTGACGACTGCAGACAATGTTCTGCCGCTGCCACTTGACGTTGAAAGCAAGTAGACAGTCTGAGTTGCTGCGATGCTCAGCTAGTACGTCGCAATTGAACACAATTGAGGGCCTGCCACTGGAGAAGCTGAAAACCGTGCCACCCGTGTGCTTGAACAAGCTAGGCAACTCGCTCCCTCGTCAATCGCCACTGCAACCTTCAACTTCTGCAAGAAGCAATATTCCTGCAATCTGCAACACGTGCTAGCGCTTACAAGCTTCCATGTAATACGCGAGCAGACTTTTGCTTCCCGACTTCTTCGACCCAGTTTTGCAGTGAGCTCGGTTCGTGTGAACCGACAGAACGTTTATGAATTACCCCCAAACTCAGCAATGTGCCCGGGGTATCCAGCTCCGGCCGGTTACATAATGTGGTGACAATCACCGGAACCAGACTGGACTTAAACCTCAAGGATTGACTTGACCTGCTTCTTGTTCTTCTGCTGCATGTGAGCTTTTACGAATACGCAGAAGCTCAAAGGTGGCAGCCAACCAATTGGCGCATTCAATGGAGGTGGAACGCCCTCCCTTCAGCGACTGGGAGCCCCATGAGAAGAAGGTAGTCTTGAAGCTGACGTTGGTTAGGCACGGCGAGACTGTCGCGAACAGAGATCGCATTGTCCAGGGGCAGACTCCAGGCGAGCTCACTGAGTTTGGAAGAGAGCAGGTAAGAGCGCACAAGTCTATGCTAGCGTTTTGCAGCTTTCCTCAAATAAGTTTTCTCTTTCTTGTTACATAGGTTATTTTTGCTGTCTTAATATTTTCAGTTTGTCAGCCGTTAAGCAGATGGTGGTGTCAGCATTCATTGAAAATAATACTGATATTCCAACATCTCTTCCTAATCATAGAGATATCTTGCTCAGCGCTGCAGCCTTTCTGATGGTTCAAAGGGACGCTAGGACCAACACCACAGCTCCCAAAGCTGGCCTGACAAGAGACAGAGACTGGACTAAACAAGCTGCCAAGCTCAACAGTTACTTGTTGCATTACATCCAACACGCCGAATTCCCCTCTGCAGGCCAGAAGGCTAGGCAAGCGCGTTTCAAAGCAGCGGTGGGATGCCTTCTACTGCAGCGACCTCGCCAGGACTCAGCAGACGGCGCAGGAGCTCCTAGCTGGGGCTGGCGCTGATGTCACCTCCATCATGGGTGACTCTGGTCTAGTCACTTCCCTGCTCGAAGCAGAAGAGGCTTCAGAGGTACATCTGGGACCAAACGCTGACGAGGCCAAGGGGAGCTTCCCTAAGATGGTCAGTCTGAAACTTTTGAGGGAGCGGAGCGCAGGGGAGCTCGAGGGGGGGCCCACTGGATGCGTGGACGCCGCTGCCAAGGCCTCTGGCGTTCCCTCTAGGTGAGCACAGGGAGTATATTTGGACGGGCGTGCTGTCCCAAGCGTGACTCGGTGTCTTCATTTGCGCTGTACTGTTCTTAAAAAGACAACCATGTGTATTTTAAAGAACTGGATGAATCGTTCGCAGCCTAAGATATTGTTGTCGTGATCAGAATCTTGGTTGTTCAATAGTAATCTATTGAATCTTTGGTAACTGATGAATCTACAAATGCATACATGGAGTAGAGCGCAAAGATTGTTGTCAGAGGAGGTAAGCATCAGGTACCGTACTCGAGTACCTTGTTGAGCAGAGCTCACGCAGGAGCTTGCATTTAAGGCCAGTCCATCAGTAAAGACAGCCTCCCTTTCAGCCTTCTCATCTGTTCGTGCTTCCTCTACAGTTGCCGGAATAAAGCCCTAATCCTTAATGATTCCCAACCTGCACATCTTGCTCTTCAGGTATTTTCGGCCCAAGGATGGCGAAAGCTGGGAAGACGTGCAAACTCGAGCGGACCAGTTCCTCAGGTGGCTCGTTGACGGCCACCTCCAAACATCCCCACTGCCCAAAAGCGACTCAAAGCCGCAGGGCCATGTGGATGGGAGTGCAATAGCTTTCAAGTTCTCGGGCGACACTATAGATGGCCATGGGGCCATTGACAAGGCCTTTCCACCAGGGTCTGAAGCAGGCACCGTGCTCCCAGTCCGAGCTGAACCCCCGAGGCGCATGCTCAGGTCAGGAAGTTTCACCGGGGGGGTCCCAAACATACATCATCTGGCTCAGAACATCAAGCACGTGCCTCAGAACATCCCACTAGGACCGGATATGGCCCCTCCGAACCAAATGCGGCGGTCGGGAAGCTTCTCGAGCAAGCTTCGGGGGATCAAGCGAGTCCCTTCGAGTGAGTTGCAGGGGTTGGGGGTAACGTCCGGGGGCCGGATGTTGCGGTCGGGGAGTTTCACTGGGGAGCCCCGGGCCGCGAACAAGATCCTGGGGATCCCCCGGTCCGAGAGCTTTGGGGAGGGGGGTGAGAGCGCGCCCCCCCGTGTGGCGGGGGTGAAGCGGGCCGGCAGCTTCAATGCGCTGGCTCCTAAGGTCATGAAACGGGTCGACAGTCTGGGGCTGTCCAAGCTGTTTACCGAGGAGATGCAGGTCGATGAGTTTGCAGGGGGGGGAGCGGATGCCGCCAGGGGAGGGGGGGAGAGCGCGGGTTCTGGGTCCGACGACGAGTTGGAAGGTGCGGGGCTATACGAGGGTCGGAGGAGTGGGCAGTACGGAAGGAATGGGGGCAAACTAGAGGAGGAGGAAAGGAGGGGATCTGTGAGTGTATGGTCGGATTCAGACTGCGGTGACGGAGAGATGCAGGTGATCGAATTAGGACCGGGGGGTCAGAATCGGGAGGAGGGGATGGAGGGAGTTGAGCAGGCAGCAGAAACGGAAGAGCGGCGACCGTACAGGAACAGTCCGGCGGAAATGAGCGGGGAGGCTGGAAAAGATAGGGAGGAGAACGGACGACGTTCTGGCCGTCATGGTGCAAGCAGTCTGGGAAGCGGAGACGGAGAGAAGGGTCGGAGTCCGAAGGAGGGACCGGAGGCTCCTGGGCCAGCAAACGGTGGAGATAAATTTTTGCGGCCGTTCGAAAGCGGGACGGACGGGAAAGAGCGTCCGAAGGGGAGGAGGAAAGGCGGACGGCCATCCGTCAAGAGAGTCCTCGTTGTCACGCACGGTGGGCCCTTTTGGAACGCTCGCATCTGAATCCCGGGCTTGCATCTGGCATGGGTTTGTTTCAACGTACAGAAGCGGTTTTGCCCCCGGTAGGGGTTTGATCAGCTCGTCCAGTTTTCAGTAAACTCAAATCTGGATAGAAGATGAGGACGAAACCGACATGATGGGTCCAGGAATCGTATCGGCGTCGACAGTAGCATCACCTTTTTCAAAATTGAACAGTCGCCACAGTCTCTTCAAGCGATGCTGCCGGGTCAGTTATCTCTTGCCATTGGAAGCGGGTTTCCGGTCGCTCTTGTCAGCCTACCTTCCAGGAGAAGAAACCACTAAACGAACTCGGTCCGGCAATGGTCCGTATATTTGTTGCTTTCTGTATAGCGCAGCTTGAGTTGACGAAAATGTACTTTCTCCAGGTGGCTTCATCAAGGAGTTCGTGAACGCTTCCATGGCCTACGCCGAGGGCCCTAACCTCAGCAAAACCCGGTCTCAAACCCGGCAGAGCCTCGGCTGGCGAACCCTGCTAAACCCCGCGGGTTTACCGTCCCAGGAAGCTGCACAAGTGCTGGACGGAGCGAATAGGCCGCCAGGGGCCGCTTCTCTCCAGGGTCCGATCCAGATTCAGCGCACGTTTGGTCACAACAATTTCGTTAGCTTCCGCGCCGTCGATGAAAACGGGCGGTCCGAGCACTTAGCTGGGCCGAGCCAGAACACGTTCGAAACTCGCGAGCCTAGTTGCGACGGCGCGTCTGAAACGCTGACGCCAAAAAGATTGTCCTTCGATCAGCATTCCGTGGCCGGGCCGTCGAGCCCTGTCTCCGGTCCGGTTTCCGGTTCCGCTCCTGACGAAGTGGGCGGAACCGGGCCAAACGGCAATCCACCGGCTAATGGGGACGCGTCAGGGGGCGCAAATGGCACGCGCTTTGGGGCGGAGTGCAGGAGGGCCACGCCGGTTTACCCGGGCCGTCCGAGGAACACGTCCGTGTACGAGTTTGAGATCAAGCGACTGGAGGGGAGGCGAGGGACGCCGCGCTTCACCGTCAAGATGGTACGTGGTCCTCAGTCTCGCGTGATGTTCTGAGCTGAAGAGTGTTGGAAGTCGAACGTGCAATTGAATGGAACAGACTGCTAAGAATTGCTGCCCCGCATCTTTTAAGTAGTTTCGCTAAGTCGTGTTGTCCCAGAGTTGAACGTGCTGATTTCAGTAGCTCTAGTTCCAGAAAGAGAGACCTGCCAGCTTTTTTGACAAGAAAGAAGCTAGTGCGTTTGTTCGCTGCCCGAAGCAATTAAGTACCGTTGTCGACTGCTAAGTGCTCGAAGCTGACAGTGTCCCCGTCCAAGTGTTCATTGCTTTGGCTTTCATTGAAGCCAATCTTTCAAACGATGCAAAGAATCATCATCCGCAGCTCAGAACGATGTTAGCAGATGGTTGGCAGGCTGTGAGCTGATCACAGCAGACTCGTTGCTTTAAACGAAGAAGAAAAAGCTTTGTGGAGATCCTTGTGACTTTTGAATCTTTTGCTGAGCAAACGTTGTCTTCTTGGCGCAGATACGGGAGAACGACGTGTATCACCTGGACGGTCTAGTTGCAACTCGAACGTTTCACAGCCCTCGAACGGGTCAGAAGGCTGAGGAGAAGGTTTTGTGGCAGTCCCCTCTGGCAAAGTTGCTTGATCAATGACTTGGTCTTCAGTGCTTTCGCTATTGTCAACGGGGAAGCTCTTTATAATCCCAAATTTCTTAGTCGAGCATCCACTTCAAATGCGGTGAAGACCCGACCGTCTCAATCGATGATCAAAAAGTACACTGGTAAGATTGAGCAATCACGACCGACAGTCATGCGCTTGTACCTTATGGAAGGGTTCGATCATTTGCAGTGCAAGCTTCTAGGCGAAGGCTGTAGATCTGCCGCTAGTGCAATGGTCTTAATTGCCAGTCACTGGCGAGCATGGCAGCTGCACCACTGAGTGCAGCATACTCGGCGTTTGCCGCCGCAAGGGCACGTAATGTGTTACATGGTCCAAAAGCAGCCACTGTTGTTGCGATCGATGAAACGGGAATCGATCCGTCCGACAGCTTGCACATGATTCTTGAGCGTGCACTCAACTTGCAGCACATGGGCCCGGCGTGAGCTCGCGCCCATGCCTCAGTCGCACTATTATATGTAGAAGGGCATTCACCATTTGCAGCCTGCGGGGGCCGTTGCCCCCGATCGCGTGTAGCTAGATACCTGGGTACTAATTGCACGCACGCACATCGTTCATTGATGCCATGTGGCAAGATCATCACGTGCGTGAAAATCGTCCACGTGTGCACGCAAATCATGTGCAGCCAAGGTGATCACCATTCTTTTGGATCGGCTATATATATATTTGACTCGAGTTGCCCTGGCAGGAGTCCCATATGCAGTGACGGCACGTCGCAATATACTCTACACGGCACTGCAACACCTTAGGTAGTTAATCACGACAGCTGTATGCAGTCTCCCAAAAACTCATCCTTCTTGGTTAGGCCAACGTCCGATCAGAGCTCAAGCCGTCCGACACGCAAGCCCGAACAGTGCATGCGTCAGCACGATACCTGATCTTTAGCTAGGTTAGACGTACGCAGTTAATGATGACGTGGTGCTCGAACTTAACAGAGAAAGTAGGCACAAGTTCTTCAATTCGACGATACATAATGAAGTACAGTGCTGCATGATGCAATAATTGGTTTTTAACCTGCAACACTGCCCTGACAACGCGTCCAACTCTTCCTACCTGATCGTGACAAAGCTGTTTGCCGTTCGCCGCTAGACCCAAACAATAGAATCAAAATCAAAGCTGGCCACGCTTGCTTGCATGGACTGGTGGAGTACCGTAGTCGCAAAAACGGGATTCCTCTAGAATAACTTCACTCCTCTGTACAGTGCTAGTCCCGCCTCACTACTCAATGTCATCGACCGCAGTCTGCAGATAACGAGCAGTAATCCGTCAGAATCAGACCGAATGAACTTTCCGTAAGGTTTGCAGTCAACCCTTAACCTGCCAATCGCTCCAAGTGCAGAGCACTTTTATGTGACGATATGAATCCCCAAAGAGCATATGACCAACGCGTCAGCATTTCCTGAAGATCCAAAAGCGAGCGCTAGGGCAGATCATTGAAACAGAAGCGCAAACCACTGTCGTCCCTCTGAAAGACCCAGGTTACTGCCCGGTGCTTCCATTTCTAGACGCACGGCGGCAGGGCTCAAAAGCACAGCCTTGATTTTTGTGCCGGCAAAGAAAGACGTATCCACGTACCTTAGCCAACTTGCCCACATACCACGTCGCTCCCACCGTGGCTAGCAGGCCCAAACCCAGGGTTATCAACTGCATCTGCCCGGATGGGCCATTCCCAACGATGCCGTCGGCAGAATCTTGCTGCAACACACAGCGACGGGGATCAGTCAGCTGGCACGGCTCAAGGCTTACTTATTGCTGAGGGCTCGCTGACAAAATCCTCAAGCGGCTCAAGTGAAGTAACCGCGTTCGCGGCACCAAGCTTTGGGTGCAACAGGAACGCTTGTCAAAACTAATGAGTATCCTGGTTAGGCATGACCACATCAAAAAGGACGAGTGTAGGCATCTCCGTTGACTAGACCGATCAATCGACGTAGCGCCACCCAGTCCAGTGCATAACTCTGCCGCTTGGGCAACGGATGTTTACAGGCGGGGCACATGACACGAGATCGAGGCCAGGACGACACAAGGTTTGCAAATGTGAAAGAGAATCAAGTACAAACGTCCAAGTGAATAATCCGCGAACTCAATCACTGCAAGTTGGATGTCGCACGTAAGAGTAATAAAGAAAGACACGCGTGTTGCGTCTCACCAGGAGAGTCTTGCCAACGCTGCCTGCGCTGACGTATGCGAACGTGCCAGGGAGCATGCCGATCCAACTACACAAGGGAGAGGGTGGGTCAGTTTTGCAATTGCACAGAAAGTCGCCGTTTGATGCACATCCAGACCCGCTTTTCGGGGTGATCGAACTAGGCCAGAGGGTTAAAGCTTCCTCCATCGTACCTTTACAAACCTCCCTCGTTATTACCAAGTAATGGCAACCAGGGGCACAGCGCTTGACGTCCTTGCACTTTGAGCTAGTGTCACCTCCTGAAGTTTCCACTTGCACTCGAGAACTCCCGGATCGATATTAACAAGATCTCGTCTTCTACGAGGAGATGGCCAGGGAGGTGCACTAGTGCGCAACACAAGCCAGCCGCCACGCGCTGACCTTGCCAAGACGCGGGCCAACAGACTCTTACTATTTGTCCTTTCCTTCCTTCACCATATCCGGCTTATGTCACGAGCAAACAGCTGAACCTCTTTCCTCCCTTCACCATATCCGGACCATGTCACGAGCAGAAAAAAGTGAACCCGAGCTTAGATCTTGAAAACCCCACAGTCCTGAAAAGCCCGAAGCGGTGAAAACATACCTGGCCAAGACGTACGGCACGAGCTTGACGGAGGTGAGGCCGTAGAGGTAGTTGCCGACAGAGAAAGGCAGCAGTGGGCTCAACCGCAGCAGAGTGACGACCTTAAAGCTCTCCTTGCCAATGGCCTTGTCAATCGCCAAAAACTTGGGGTTCTTCTCAGCGATTTTTAGGATGCGGTCCCGCGCCAGGTAGCGCGCAATCAGGAAGGAGACGGTGGCTGCGAGCTGGGGAGAAAGACAAGAGAGAGTTGTTCTTGTAGTCTACGTCTTGAGTACTCATTCTGGTGATGGTCTCGACTTTCGACTGTGTGGATCCTGCCACACGGATTATTGAAACAGCATTTTGATGTTTCTTCGGAGAACAGATTGTCCCACGAAACAGAGGGACTTTTTCGACAGACCCTGATTGTTCTGTCCGACGGATCTTGACCAGCAGAAGAAAAGTAGAGAGGACTGCCAATGCCAAAAAGCACTCAATCCACAGCTTTGCTTTCATTCTCCTGTGTTCTGTACTCGATGCCTCCACGAAGAGCGGAACATTGTAGAACAGGGAAAGGAAAGGACGAGGGAAAATAGAGCAAAGGAAGAGATGATAAATGATGATAAAAAAACTCAAGAAAAACGTCTTCAATCGGGACTTACCGTGCCAGCCGCACTGACAATGACTGTTCCCGTAGCCTGTCCGAAGAGGAGCCCTGCCGACATGGTTAGGGGGATAGCAGGGATTGCGAGGACCTGTAGAAACGTCAACACAAACCATGGGTTAAGCGAAGTAAGTGAAAGCAAGCGTGCAGAGTCAGGTGATAGATGCTCCTTTCACGCGCACACAAGTTTAGCGGCCGGTGACAACCGCCCCAAGAGACCAGTGGCGACGTCCTTGATTGCCTTTGTGTTCTGGTCATCATAACAGAATTGGCGTTTTATGTTGCAATGCTCTGAGGTTCAAATTTAGCACTTGATCTGTTGCCCCTTGCCACTTTACTTTTGACAGGTGCAACCTCATATTAGGACCAACTGATTGGAACTTGCTGTGCAGGGCAATATCTTGATTGTACCCCAAGCCGACTTAAAACCTTCTTAAACCTTCTTGAAATGCAATCGGCCCAGCCGCAAACATTTGCATTGAAGTCAGGGAATCAGGTTACATGTGACAGAGCATGTATAGACTGATGGTCGGAAGTGCATGACTCGAGTGTGCCTGATTTGAGTGTGCTGCAGGTGCAAGAGACATTGTTTGGTGATGGTTGCAACATTCTGCCCTGAGTGGTGGGTATGTGCGGCTATGACAAGTGCTCACCTCTAATCCTGCGTAAGCTAGGAGAAAATACACATATCCTATGGGGCCTAGTGCTGCAAAAAAGAGGGAGGGTGTGATCAATACTCAAATCCAGTGGAGAAATGTTGATGTGTCGCTTAAAGGCCATCTCAATGCTAAGGCCTCACCTCCAGGCCCGCATATGCAAACACAAAGATGACGTAAGCGGACGGCCCGAGGGCTGCATGCGGGACAGGTGGCAATCAGTCATTGGCAAGCAGCAAGGAGGTCTCTGCATAGATCTGCCAGACGAAGCCTTGTGGTATTAATTCAAATACATGAAGGGGGGCCAACTCAATAAGTAATTTCAGAACAGCATTCCAGAAGCTTCAGATTTGTTTTAGCCAGTTGTGTGGATCAGAAGGGTCATTCAAGCTTGCACTTCACGCGCACCAGCCTCACCAAGGTGCCAAAACATTTCTTGAAATAGAACATCTGAGACTCAACAAAGAGGTTTGCAGCAATGCATCTATTAACCAAAGAGTCGATGGCAATCTCCCTGTGTCTATGTAAAATATTGTGAGATGGTGACTAGAAAACTGGAATTGTAACTAGTAACTGAATTGTTAAGCAAGCAGTGAGACCAGAATTCCAATAGTGATTCAACATGCACTGGCACAGGATGACAAACAAGCCCGGAGAAAGTATAACACCAGAAACGGCACAAAGCCCGGGCAAAAGGTGAGATCTAAATCCCTGCAACTGCAAGTTCTTTTGTGCAATGAAACAAGTTGTTCAACGCCAAACTTTCTAGAAAGAACGCTGGGGCCTACGACTTTCCGTTGCTCAACAACAGTTTTTGGCCTATGCTTACATGATTACACGGGGATGCCACAGGGCACTACCAGTGGCCTAAATATGTTGGATTTGACCTGCTTCAATCGGTCTTAACAACCGCAAGCGTACCAGGTGTTCACAGTAAAAAAGAAAAAATTGAAACTTCAAAAACTGGGACACTTACTCTCGAGTATCCCCTGAAATTGGATGAGCGCCGCATTTATCTGGTCTTTAAATACAAAGCCTAGTCCTGCCATCGTCGCCAGGGTGACCACCAAGAGCACCCCAGCAAGTGCTCCCCCGCTTGCCAACGCAGCCCCGTCTGCATCCTCATCTGCAGCTGCGCTCTTTTCATTGCCTGCCCCTTTCTTCCCCCGCTCCCGGTCATTCAAATCACTGGCTGCTGACAAAACTGACGGCACCTTCTTCTCCGGTTTCTCTGCATATGCTGTCCGACCGCCGTTCTTTGAGTGCAACAGGAAGCGGTGTTTGTTTCGGTGGGGCGAAGGGATGGGCAGGCCTCCGGCCAGAAACGCCGGCCTGCTGTGCTTTCTATCAAGGTTGGCATTGCATGCAAACCGCACCGGTTTTGAGAGGTTTGGCGAGCTTGGACTATATGAGCAAGCCGCGGCTCCTGCACTGCGGCTATGTGTGAAGGGTTGCAGTTCCTGCAGAACATCAAGCGCCTGCAAACATCTAGCCATCCCGGCAGCTGCCATAAGCTCTGGCACCAGAAGACAAGGGCTCGGCGAGAGCCCTTTCTACCTGTCTGTCAGGACCTCCCAACCTCAAAGGACCTTGCAGAAATCTAGGCGCTGCTGCTGTAAGTTTCTCTGTGCCGAAGGAGTTTACCCCCTAAAACTTTACTCGTCCACAAATACAGGCAGCGCAACAATGTGGAAGGGAGTCCTTGAGCATTCAAAGACTTAACCGCTCAGCTCGCTTCCTGCTGCAGACTGTCACACGCTTTGCAGCTCTACTCCCAGTGTTTTGACGGAACACAGGTGCGCCGGATACAAACATGAAACACAACTACCAAGAGTGGCCTTTTCACTGCAGCAAAACCTTTTCAACGGATGTCGAGCTCTCGGGCTTTCATGCAGAATAGCGGCAGGAAGGCTCTCGTCCCCTCAGCATTGCACGTTTTCTTCTTTCCTGCATCACGGAGACGCACAGGCGGCGGACCAAGCAACTGCTTTTGCACCAACGTGGATCTTGAGGTGAAAGGACTGAATCCCAAGATTCTGCAGTCGCTGAGCAGCGCTTTCGGCGTACTTTGACCGGTCTGAATACTTTCCCTGATCGAGGAGCCTTGGGGCCCGGTTGAATCAAAAAGTGACCGCTTTGGCGGCGACCAACCCCTTTGCTCCAAATATCGCCACGTGTCCGACATACCTTCTCCCGTAACTAGAGGGACGAGTTGGCAATATGTTCATCAAAAGATTGTCCAGGAGCAACTTTGAGCCGTCGACGTCATCCGATCGGCGGCTTACATAAGGTGACGTGGTCATTACTATGTCGTTGCTTTGTAGCTCGTCAAATGGACGCGAGACAGTTCGGTTGCTGCTATCCCTTGCTAAAGGTACCAAGAAAGGGGCCAACATTGCTACGGGCAGCGAAAAGTCATTGTTTTGCCATTCTTCCGCGGTTCGTTGACATGCAACTAGGTAGACCGGACTGTCCCCACTATGGCCCGCTTATGTGTTGCAAAATTTTAGGGCCACATATGGTTGCATCGTACGCGGGCATCGTACTGTTCGGTGGCATGTTCGTGCACTACGACCCCGTATCTACAGGCCAAAATGATCCTCGAGCTTGTCGCAGCTCAGCATCAATCTCGTACGGTATATACAACATCTTGGAAGCATATACAGACCACCATCTTCAGCGAATGATGTGATCACGACCCCGACTCATCAATGAGGGTCATGAGCACCGTTGACACCACTTTGCCACCATCAAGCAGATTGACTCCTTCACGTTTCCAAGCATCATTCCACTTCTTTTGAGTAAGATCGCCACACTGAACTTGCCTTATCCAATCTTTGTAACGTGCGTGCAAAGGCTTGGCTACCTTGACAACCAGCACCAAAAAGTGGAAAATGGAGAATAAGAAAGGGTACAAAGGGAACTTCAAAGATGATCAAAGAGAAGCTTGGCCGATGACCGATTGTTGCGTTTGCCTGCAACATTCGAAAAGTGAAATGTCATCAAGAACCTTCTAAGAAACCTTTGAATGCACGCAAGGGCAACAAGGTGCACCCAAGGGCAGTCCAACTCATTGAATGTTTCCGCAACACAGCAGCTCAAGGTCTACGAAACAACAACCTATGTCGACGCTTACAATCGCTCAATCACCAAAGCCGAAGCTCCTCCACCCCCATTGCATACACCTGCCACTCCATAGCGGGCATTATTTCTTTTCAAAACCTGCAAGACGAAAGGCCAGGGAAGAGCAAAATATGTCAGTCCAATGTCAACGAGGAGGGCCTTACATAGTTGATAATCAACATTGATGTCATCGACGCACGACAAACGAGCTCTTCAATGGAGTGGGAAGATGCGCCATCTCGATTCCCAAGGATCATTTAATGCACAAAATGCTGAACGACATTCGCTGCTTCGCAAATCGACCCTCCATTTGTCGTCCTAAACTGAATCTTGAGAGCAGATCCTGGCCTCGACATGCGGCAGAATCAAGTCGCTCACCCCAAAGAGCGTAACCACTATTCTTGCGCCGCTGCAGCCTAGGGGATGTCCTAGTGCGACGGCTCCTCCGTGCACGTTCGTCTTCTCCTGCAGATACACGTGTCTGGATGAGCGCACCGCTCTCAGGGACGTCTATGACTAACACGGGGAAAAAGGACTCCCACAACAATACTGCTCGAAATTCAGACTCCCTCACGTTCGCCAGCCGGTACGAGAAACGGCTTGCCCAATTCTGGCGCTTGGAAGATGACGCTGCAATTTGTGCGCATTTGACAACCAAAAAGGAGGATTGAAATGCAAAAGCTGCTCCTACTTCCTGGGGAAAAGGAGATGGGACGAGCCGGCATCTCGAAGAGCAGGAACTTACCTGGCTAATGCCAAGAATTTTCTGATTGGCCAGAGCCACCACCTGCAAGGAATACACAGCATGAAGGGTGAGTGTGCAGTGCATCTCCTCAGCGCATCAACAGAACGTCTCTCAAGAAGAACCGCTTCAATTTTGGAGTCACCAACGCACGGTGCACAAGAGTCGGTGTGATCGCTGCGAGTCCTCGTCTCACCGAGAATGCTTCGTTGATCTCGAAGAAGTCGACGTCCTTCTGCTCGAGCCCGGCTGACTTCAGAGCTTTGGGGATCGCAAGGGACGGTGCGGTCGTAAACCGCTCCGGCCGCTGGGCAGCCTCTCCGTAGCCCCGCACGCGGGCGAGCACCGTCAGCTTGAGTTCAAGAGCCTTTGCGCCGCTGACCAGGACAACCGCTGCCGCACCGTCACTGCGACAGAGCATGTAACATTTCAATTGGAATACTCTGCTGCAAAGGGGAAGTCGACGAGAAACCGTGCAAACCAGGATATAGAGTTGCAGGCTCCGGGTTGCTGAAACATTCCAATTTGCGTATCGAGATTTCTGGAAGAAACGTCGGAAAAACCGCTTGTGCAACGCGAGCAAAAGCGAAAGCTGAGCTTTTTCACAGCATGCCCTACGGCCGGCAGTCTTTTGGCGGCCGTAATGGATCTCAAATATTTGGCTACTTTTCCAGAAGGAACGACAGCAGCCGCAAAGGTGAGTGATCTGTGGTTATCTGCAACGAAAAGAGTTTTCTCGGGAAATTGCTGAGTCTTGGATGATCTCAAACAGTGCCACCTTCGTGCAATGAATGGGTTTTTCTAAAGACGACAAATGATACCAAGGAGCGGGAGTCGAGGGTATTTCAGAGTAAGACGAGCGAGCTCGACAGCCCAAACATCCGGACGAACAACATACGCATCGAGTCACATTCGTAAGCGTCAGATAATATTCTCGACCAAGACAACAGAGTCTCTTCAACAAAAAGGTGAATACTTGAAGAGAAGGACAAATGAACACTCTCGTTGACAGTATGCAACAAGAGCCAGCATCACCACAGTATCAAGGCAAAACCTTTTTTCCCAAGACGGGCACTGGGTCCAATCACTGTACCTGATTTGGGATGCGCTAGCTGCTGTCACGACGCCCCCCTCCCCAAACGCCGGCCGCAGTTTCCGCAGCTTGCCAGGGTCCGCTTTACTGATGCCCTCATCTTTATCGACTACCACGCCGGGTTTCCCTCTTGGCCCCGGGACCTCGACTGGGACGATCTCTTCCTTAAAGGCGCCTGATTCTGTTGCCGCCTTTGCGCGAGCGTAGCATTCGGTAGCATGGTCGTCCTGGAGAGAAAGCAGATTGTTAGGTTTTTCGCTTGATGTGAGGAGCTTCGAGTTGCATCTGTGAGGAACCAGTGCAGTTGTAAACTAGCGAAGAGGAATGCCACTGTGCTCTTTGTCGAGAAAAGCGGAGCTGCTTCATAGAAACGACACACTAATGTGAAGAGCACAACGCAACGAGTACTCAGACTTGCGAATCGCTTAAAAGAATTTGGGTTTTTATCCTACTCGAGATCCATGGCATGTTGAAAGGACACGGTGCCAGCCAACGCTTGATTACAAATCCCTTGTCATTCGTGAAAATAATGAACGGAGATGCACAAGATCGGAGGACACTTCCTAAGCCCAGCAAGGGGACTCTTCAGATCCTACTATATGCTTGAAGGAAGTAGGAACCGCACCGAGGCCTCTCTGGAGATGCCGTGCTCCTCAGCGGTCTGGTCTGCGGCGACCCCCATGGAAAAGTCGTTATACACGTCCCAAAGACCGTCCTTCACCATGCCATCGACAATTTCGCCATTGCCGTATCGGTACCCTGCAGGACGGGCGTTGTTCGTCGGTTGAAAAGCTTCTCGTCATCATTCATTTCCCCATCGAGAATAGCAGATACCGATCGAAGTCGCGCCGTTGCGCAATCAGCGACGATCCTCCTCCTTGAAAGGTTGCAAGAGATCCCTAAAAAACGTCAAGAACAAGTGCTTCGCTATATCCTGCCTAGCCCGGAACGACATGTTTGTATGCAAGCCCTTCCCATCGGTCACAAGATGCTGGTTAGGATGGGCTTCATACAATGACACCTGGCTTGTAGTGGAGCAGTCTTTCAAGAGACCACCAATGGCCAATCTCAACAAGCGACACAATAGGCAATTATGGGAGATTCCGGTTGCTTTAACTGCAATAAGGAGATACTCTCACCTTGCCGCGCCTTGGGTAAGTAATACGGTGCGTTTGACATGCTCTCCATACCTCCTGCCACCACCACATCATTCTGCCCAAGCTGGATGGTTTGTGCAGCAAAGATGATGGACTTCAGTCCTGAGGCACAAACCTGCGATCAAGGTAAGCAAGATGTCAGCTTAGTGGGGTAAACTGTGATGCACGAAGAATAACGATCTTTAGCGGCAGAAGACGAGTAACATCAAGGAAGTGACACGTCAAGAAGCGGTCAGATTGTCTGATTGAGGTCTACAACAGAGCGCCAGACAGGATCAATCACACACACAGTCCCAACTTTCAATATTCTGATGGAACAATCATAATTAAGCAGATGGGGTGTGGTGCTTCAAGTGATCGCTAGGCAAATGTTCCCTTCATCTTCCATACCTTATTGACGGTGGTACACACAGTGCTGTTTGACAGGCCAGCCCCAAGAGCAGCCTGGCGAGCCGGATTCTGTCCCAGGTTAGCACTAAGCACGTTTCCAAAGAAGACCTCTTGGACGGTGTCAGGAGCGATGCCAGCTCTTTTCAGGGCCCCTGCGGCAGTAGTTGAGGGAATTGGCATGGACAGGTGACTGAGTAATCGTACACATCGGGTGAAGTGATTGTAACAGGCAGAGTAACATGATTGCAGGTGATACAGGGTGTCAGGATCAAAGCACGCCACCAGCAAACAAATTGTCTACACTGTGATCAAAAGCCCTTCCTAAATCTCAACGAATTGATCTGAGGTCCTGGAAGAACTTCAAAAAAATCAGAAAAGAATATCATCTGGCAAAAAGAGGCTTCTATCAGTTGCCTTTAAACTCCATCCAAATCAAACTGCCTTCAGCAGCTCAAAGAGCAGCGCCCCTGCAAAAAGCTTTGCACCAATGAGATCTGCACTGGGCCAGGCGAGTGGCACAACGGGGACGCACCTTCGATCGCCAGGGATCCAAGTTTTGTGGCTGCCAGGGATGAGAGACCTCCCTGCAACGTGCCGATTGGCGTGCGCGCCAATCCAACGATGCAGACGTCCCTAGGCTCAATGGAGCCTGTCATTCTGAAGCGCTGTGTACCACCCTGAACACGGCTTTTCTGGTATCGAAGGTGTGTAGAGGACTGGCAATCTGTGCTCCTCTGTGCAGCCTCTGTCCCTCTCTTCTCTGCTTTTGTTGATCACAGCGGCTGATCTGCCAGTGCTGCTATGATCTGAGCTCCTGACGAGGAAAGCTCAGCGGAATGAGTAGCGTCGGATGATATTAGTAGAGTATTTTGACGGCTGCGATTGCCTGAAAGTGCAAAAAGCGGCTGATGTCAGCAAGTTCAGAGTTTCTTCAACGTGGAGGATTCCATAATATTGTACCTACCGTAGAGCGCCCAAAACCGGATCACGTACCATTAGTGGATCACCTCCGCCCTAAACTGGACCTATCTTGATCCAGTCTCGTATTTCCAACTGTCCAAAACTGGATCAGCTCTTTTGTGCGGAAAACCGAGGTTTTTGACTCCGGAGCATGACCTACAGTTGGTCAATTCTGGATCGAACGTCATCGGCAGATAGCTCTTGAAAAACCTGGATATGTGGAGAAAACCGCACTTTAAAATCCTAAATTCGCTAAAAAATATTGCAAATAAGCGGTGCGAAAAATAAGGTGATCCAGTAATGGGCGCTCTAAGACTACGGTTCTGTTCGCTCTTGAAACTTGAAATCCTCGAACAGCAAGCTTTAACCCTCACACTGATGGTGTGGCGCCCCTTGTTCTAGTCAGATTCTGTGTCGAACCATCCCTGTATATCATTTTGCAGAACCATGGCGACCGGTTCTGTGCTCGTGCAGCGTGTCATATACGTTGCACGCTTTCAGAAAACTCATCAGGCTTCGAAAAGCCCCGCAACCCCGCATTCTCAGTTGCACTGCAACAATGCTGCCAAAAGTTGGGCGCAGAGAACGCAAAGGGCTTCAAGGAGACTAAGGTGTCGCCGAAAAGTGCAAATGATGGCGGTGGCAGAGGACAGAGACGCCCCACGTAAGATCTTACATTCGAAAGCTGTAGCCAAACCATTGGAGGTCCAATTCTACACAATGGTAGAGAGGGAATGTGGAGTCCTTGTCAATCTCTAATGGTGGTGTTAAATGTGCACCTGTTGGCTTGATTGAGCGGATTTCCTATAACTGTAGCCTGCTACTAAACGTTGCGATGGTTCTGGTGGTGGAGTTGGTGCAGGGCGCTCGTTGAAACCAAACAGCAGTGGTTGACTTTCACAAAAGCATTGAACCTTCTGTATTCCAGCTTCTGACAATTGCTGGTTCCAAATGTCACTCTCCAGCCACTATGTGTCTTACAAACATCGTCTCTCGTCCAACGCCTGGCTCGCTGGCTGGGCTTAAGTTTGCCTTGCTGCGTCAGTAACGTTTCAAAGCAGAATTCTACAATGACAAGACTCACAAGACGGCGGGAATATGCTGCTACAGCCAGTACGATGAGATCTGGACCGCCGTTTCTCTCAGTTGCATCTCTGCCCTGTGCTTTCAGGCGGTGAGCTGACGCTGCAGGAGTACTTTGATTCGCTGGCCAAAACGCAGACGCCAGCTTCAGTCATCTCCGACAAGGTTGCGGCGGAGACGTTGAAGCAGGAGAGGGAAGCCAGTCGGGCGGAAGCCCCGAAAACCTCCTCCCCCACTAGGGCTGAAAGCAGGGCTGAAAGCAGCAGGCCCCAAGAGGGGGTGCGTAAAAGTGCACTTTGTCTTCTCCTAGATTCTGGAATATGTGCTCGCAACCGTTTGAGGCCAATCACATGCCTCAGATGCTAGATCTTTGCACTTCGGGCAACCACTCATGGCTGCACTGAAACAAGGGGTCTTCCTTTATCTGCCATTCCTTCCAAAGAGTGGTTGTTTGCTGGACTCGGCCTGCGGGCAATTGGGGGCCCAAGCAGTGGCTTGCAGGTAAAGCTGGACACCGTGGACGACTTCTATGTGGACCAACATGTTTGTTGTTGCGCCTTCCTGAAAGGCAGCCCTGTAACTAGTAATCTGTCCTGCAGGAAGCCGCGCCGAATGTGTTGCAGGAGGGCTTCTTGCGATTAACCCAGGCGGCAGACTGGGTGGTGGGCGTTGGGGAGCCCCCTACTACCGCCCCACTGGAAGAAGTTCAGGTGAGCTTGCAAAACCCGGCTCCGCCAGCGTAGCATGATTCCTGATGTTCCTTTTTGATTCACAAGTCAGTGGTCGTCTCTTCCTCGGACAGGTGGATAGCGTCGTAACCCGTTGTTGGCTTTGTGGACAAAACAGTGCTGTTTCTTGCCTATTTGCAGTTTCTCGTGATACCTGTGCGGTGAAAGGATTCCCACTGTCGACTGTCCTGCCTGACATGTGAACATGTGACCGGGCAGATAGTGCAGCCACGTTTGATTTGAGGAACTAGTGAATGCTAAGCTGGGATTGTGTTGCAGTTTGAGTACCAGAGTCCTGAGGAACGCAAGCAGGAGGCGCAAGCGGCGTATGATGCGGTGAGAAGCGATTCAATCGTTTCTCAGGCCGCAGCTCTTGAAAATCGAACTGGCATGATTCAATTGAAGACCAGGGCAACAACATCATTGCCTGTTCCTCCAAGAATCATACTTATGCCCCATCCGCAAGTCGTGCATTATTTCAAGGTCGGAAAGCACTTGTGCAGTAAACCAGAAGCTGCTTGTTTGCTCAAGCAACTCAATTACGTTGCTCTGACCGGTGCCCTTGCCTTACCCCACAGTTGAAGAAGGAACTTTTGCTGATGACCGGGGCCATTGCCGCGGCGGTCGACCTGTACATATTCTTTGCGTTCGACATAGAGGTGGGCACCTTTCCCGTTAAGCTCCTCTGAGCGGCTTTTGCGTAACAGCGACACCGTCCTTCCGTTGGATGTCTGCGGGAAGGCAGCCTCATGGTTGGGATGCTAGCAGAGCCCAAGAACAAGGTTCTCGTCGTAAATTCTGATTCCGCCTTGGCTATCACCCATTTCATCGACGGCCGAAGTTGCCCTACTCAGTGTAATTTGGAGGCGTGATATTCATCCATCCATCGCCAAGGTGGGGTCCCGAAACGGCGACCGAAGTTTACGCTTTCTGTCCTCGGGCCTTAGTTGGACCGACGTTCTGATGCGTAGTGGACTCGGCAGCCGGGCCTGTGGTTCTTCCTCTTCTAATTTAGCTCTTGCACCCTGCTTAGGAATGTTGTAGCGATGGACCTTGCATGTAGATTTGTGTTAAATATTGCTGGCAACTCGTATTCCAAGTTGAAGCCAAACGGTGTGTGCTGTCTGTGCAGAATACTGTGAGTTATGCAGTCGGTGTTGCTGGGAGGTGAGCCGTTCTCCAGTTTACCCCCCGTTGCTTTGTGAAACTTCGAGCAAGAGCTGGAAGCACATGCAACGCCCCACCGTTGAAGAGCTCTCACGGGCCGGCACGGTTTCTTTTGTCTTTTACTTTGCTCAGAAAGGACGAGCAGAAAAAGAATTCCGCACCTTGGTGATTTGATGCATCGTTTGGGTTGGCTGTTGCGGACTACGCCTACATTCCCGGTCATTCTTTGCCGTCAAGGTTCCTCATGCCCACCCTAGACGCTGGACTGTTTCAGACGGAATCAGTCACAGTATACACGGGTGACGAAATTGCCATGCACAGTTGTGGACACGCCTATCCAGCACCTCTCCGTTGCGTCCGCTGTTCACCACCTACCTCCTCGTCCCAATCCACTCGCACCCAATGATCGACCTCCGCTTGCCTGCCTGCAGCTTTGCATACTTGGCATTGCTCATGCGCTATGCCGACAGCGTCGAGCGCAAGGACGTCTCGGAAGTTTTTCGGCAACGAAGGTCTAGGAGGTGAGACCGTTTCCGACCATTTCCGTATTAGTTTGCCAGACTCCGTGCAATCCTACCGTCCTCCGTTTGCCCGGTGCTCAGCTCTGGTCGTCAAAGCCAACAAATGCAACCTGCAAAGTAACGAGCAAGGAAGCACGAAGCAGAGTTCGTAGAAAGGCTTTTTCGATAGTACTTTCGGGTATGAGGGCATTTTAGAGAGGGGGCTGCTCTCAGCCAGACTAGTTTCGGCCGAAGATCGGACGACGGTCTGTTAGAAGGGGGGCAAGAAGTACCCAACAGTGGTTGCTGCTTTAACAAAAGTCGAAAGAACAAGCAGAAACCGCTCTCCGCCTGGTCTAATTGAAACAAATTCGCCGTGCAGCCGGCAAACTCGAGGCGTGACGAGTCGCGGTGTAAGTGCGTTTGCGGAGAAATTGGCGTCGGGGGTGCGGCAGCCGTGGTCGTCCGCACGGTTGCTGCCGTTCGCGGGCCTCATCCTAGTTTTCGCGCAGTGGAACGCGCTGGCCGCGGAGCCAACGGGGTTCCACCTTAAGGTCAGCATGTCGTGACAAATGTAGTGCTTTTTCGTGTCAGGGATTGTAAGCTCCAAAGTAAACACTTAAACCCTCGCTCTTGAGGTCGTCTGCTCCGCACCTGACCCGTTCTAGATCTCCAAAGTAACCCTACCACTCTCAGACTGGTGCCTTACGAATACAAAGCTTACTATCCTTAAGGTCGCTTCTTGGGGTCAGCGCCCCGCGCTGTGCTGTGGTCATCAAGCACGTCAGCGAACTGTGATACCAGCAGTTTTGCGTTGCCCCAGGAGCTTTCAATCTTGGTCGCCCTTGGTGTTATTGGCCGCCGTTGATGAAATTCTGTACAGCTTGACTGACGCCAAATCGTTGACCTGCGAGGGAGTAATTTATTTTTTTGGGGAGTGTTTGGTCCAGTGTTTTTCCCTTGTGTGCGTCCGTCCAACTACTCCTGCTCGTTTTGAACTCCTCTCTAGATTCAGTGCCGACGTTAGACTAGCCGGCGTCCCCTGAAAGCTCAAACCGTGCATGTCGAAGAACAGTTTGGAGCTCGGAACAGCTCGCTTATGCATCTTCGGCGCTTGCAGTTCGCGCCGTTGATACTGGGGTCCTTTGCCTACAAAGCTGCGTGCCTGCTGATAGCATACCGCGACAACCAGAAGCTGCGCACCAACATGACGTGGGAGCAAGTCGGGGACGCAGACGACAGCGATGACGACATTGACTTCAGTGACCTGCCCCCGTTCTAGCACGCATCATAAAAAGGACCAACCGAAGAATCCTACGGCCAATGCTTATGTCGTGCTTTGTTTCTCCCAATATGGTTGGGGAAGCAAAAAAGTTGCTGCGAGTTCGTAGCATGTCTACATTTGGAAGTGGAGACTTCGGAACCCGGAGGTATTTGTATTGCTGATCCTTAGCATACTTTATAAGTAAGCCGAGCATAGGTAAATCACGTACTGAATTTCGTGCTCGATCAAGTGCAAGCCTGCTAGTCCGGGTAGGTGAACCATGATTCCCATGACATGATGGGTTTATATCGGCGTTGCGTCCACAACGGCTTTGAATCAGTTCCTTTGAATCAGTCTGCGGGGCCACAGCTTGGCATCCCAATATATACCATCGCCTCTATTCACAGATTCTTTTCCATTTAAAACTCACCCCCATATGCGTGCACCCTGCATGCTGCTTCATTCGAATACAACTTAAAAGTGGGCAGTGAGCAAAATTCTGCATGTAATGATGGCGGCGACCAGATCAAACGGTGCCAACACGCGCAAGCTTGCTGGCATGGAACACATAGCTAGCTGTGTTTTGAGCTACGACTCGAATATCGTATATGAAGTTCACTGGTATGCAAATGCCGGCCTCCTGCAAAAAATCATGTTTGTATAAACCTAGGGTATAAAACCGGTTATTATAGTAGTTCACAATATAATTGCAAACATATTGTGAAATACTATAAGATAAGAGCTTACGCGCGACCGACCTTTACCACGAAAGCACGTATGCAATCATTGGTTGCAATATACCGAGTATTCGCAAACTGGTTAACATAGCTTGGTGGTGGTGCAACAAAGCTCGTACTTCGAAGGGCGTGATTGCACACGGCTGGCTTTCGAGAGGCAAGCGACATAGCACGTGATTACATGCTTCTTTCGACGCGGCCGCGTCACAAGCAGCTAGTGCCACTCATAAGACGTTGCTCATTGTCACGGCTTTGTTGCCTTTGAGTAGGGCGCGATCAAGCTTGCACACTTCTTTCCACTTGAAAGGGCAATCGCTATAATCTGGACCTTGGGTTGTACTCGTATGCACACTCATTGCGCGAAGCTCAGCAACCGCATTGCCGTGCAGAGTCGCTCCACGGTCTTCGTGAAAAGCGGCGCTCCTTTCTCCACACGGCGAACGGCGTCCTCACTCAGGTGACTCCTTAGGGTGACCAGTAGGCTGGCATGGTATTCGACCTGCGGTGAGATGGTCAGACTCAGATCCGTTCATCCAAAGTTGGAAACAAGGACGGCCGTCAAGCTTAGTGGGGAAATGGGGAGGAAAGAGAAGCGGAACAGGCGTCGTGCTTTGCAAGGGCGCTACTCACACGGCCAATCACCAAAACAGAGTTCGGCAGGAACACTGTTGAAACGACGAGATTCCTTTTACAGGGAAAGGAACCCAGTCTGACCCGTTCCGATCTGCACGTCAAGACGCGCATTGCGTGCTTGGTTTGCTACAAAACAAGCACTGTAGCCGGTTCCAGTCAGGGCCACTGAAGCGCCCCACTCCTTAAGCTCTCGGAATCCAGAAAAGCGCGGGTTTCGCAGGGCTGGGGTTTGCGGCCTTACCTCGCTGGGCGGCCCTTCCCGGAACTCGGGTGATCTCTCGTCCAGGTCTGTCAGTAGAGCGTTGCCCTTGGCCCGGTGGAGAATCGTCCGTACGTCCTGGCTCTGCGGACACAACACACAAGGAACAAATGAGGAGTGCGCATGTCTTCATGGTCTTACGTCCAACAGGCGCGCCCATGAATCAGAACGACAGAAAGCAGGAGTCTCTCTGGGAGAAAGCGTTCAACTGGGGATTCTCATGGATCGTTTGCAACGGCCGGCTTCGGATGCTACCGTCGCAGAAATCTTCGTGTAATGGAAGGCATACCATTCTTGCCATGCATGCTTGCTAGCAGCTTGGGGCCGGACGAGCGAAAGCTGAGAGTGATCTGAATCCAATCATTTCTCTGCCACCTTCGAAGACTTGAACCCATCCTAGTACTGAAAGATCGTCGTCGACTTTTCAGACTCCAGACATTCGTGAGATCGAATCTTTTGCCTTCCCTGTAGGCGTTGTGTTGCACCGTTCAGCTCCCCGGATCTGATACCAGCAAAAACAAAGACGAGGAGCCGAGGTCACGAAGAAGACAGTTTGAGGAAGAAACAACAATCGGATGCTGGTTTGGAAGCAGGGCAAAAGCCCACCTTGTCGATATTGAAGGGGAACTTGTACTCGTTGACCTCCAAGAGTCGTAACACACACGCCTGCGGCCCCGGGGCGGAGTTCCATCGGCTGCTGCCGAGAGTGCACGCGACCGCAAACGGAGCCATGTCCGCGCACAGAGAAGACTCCACCAGAGGGTCCTGGAAGCAGCAGTGAAAAAACAGGTGATCTTTGGTAGATAGTCGAGTAAAAAAAGTGTTCGAGATGTTGGTCTGAATTGGAACGGCGCCGGGAAAGACCAGAGTGCTCCTGGAAGCAGCGGTGAGAAACAGGTGAGAATCAGGTTAGAGATAGAGCAAGAAACGCCGCGTCGAGGTGTTACTCTGATTTTCCGCGGCGCCGGCAAAAGCCAGTGAGGTGAACGCGCGAACTTGATTGGAAGCAGCTCGCGTCACCTGAGCTTTTGCGACAAAATTCAGGACTTCCTTCAAAGTGAAAGATCTTTAAAGGCTTTCTAAAAACCTCCAATAAGGGAAGCAGTGACAAGCGACGGGCTTTTTGCTGTCACCTCACAGACCCGCCTGTACGGTGAAAATTTCAGGGGAAACGCAAAGGGAAAGGTCCTGAGGGGAGGAAGTTCAGACACAGGGGATTTCCTCCGCTCGCCTGGCCACCGCTCCTGACGTCCCGTTAGGAAACGGGCTCTGTACCGCTGGTTCGGATCCGACCATAGAAATCCTGTTCGCAGACAAATATGGCACCACTTTGCTCTCAGATTTACCTCAACAACAGCCATTGACCCAGGCTCAGTACTGTTCAGGAGCGATCCAGTATGAAAGATGTTTTGCACGGAATCCCAAACGCGTTTCTTCGCTCTCACCACGCGGAGAAACGCAAAAAAAAAAGGCCGCGAAGAAGAGAATCTTTACACAAGTAGTTTCCTCCACTCGCCTGCGCACCAACACTTCATCGCGAAACGGGGTCTGCACTGTGCTGATTCAATCCGAGCACAAGAAGCGTGTTTGCAAAGAGAAAAACGACGCCACTTCCGCTCTCACCTTGACCTCCCGCCCCATGAGCAGCGCCTCCCCGTCCTCCGGCGCCAGGTGGATGCCGCGTCGGCTCGCGCGGCACAGCAGCTCGCGCGGCCGCATCGCGACGCCCACCAGGTCCGAAACCTCGGGGAGGTTTGGCGAAACCCAGCGGCACGTGCCGTCGCCGATCTCGATCTCGACGACCAGGGACGCGGTCTGGAGGGTGAGCACCGCGGACGCTTCGGACGTCGGGCGGACGGTCCAGCTCTGGTACGGAAACAGGCGGAGACGGTCCTGGGGGCAAAATAGAAAAATGTTTTTGCACCAGAGGAATCGGACGGTTGCGGACAAAAAGAGAAAGAACTTCTTGCCGAGTACTTTGAAGGGTGCAGGGAAAGAGGGAGGGGAAAGAAAGAGGAAGAACATCGTACCAAGAGGCTTCAAGACTCTTTGGCGAGACGCTTGACGGGAAGGGTAATAAGCAATAAGCGACCTTTCTCCTCTGAATCAAGGCGTTGGATAATATTGAAAGGGGGCGGCAAAGCAGAGCTGTTGACTCCGTTCTCTAGACGGCCCGCACTCAGTGGCCAAAGGCACGCCGTTAGGCCTAGATCAGTAGCACTTTTGTCTGCCAACGTTTGTCGCCGCGACATCAACAGACTCCAAGCATCTGTCTTGCTCCAAGATACAAGCCCTCTTACCTGAAGCACGGCCAGGGTTTTCAGCTTGGTCGTCTGGAAGGACAGCCGGCGGGTCGCTCCGTCGTAGCTGACCTCCGAAACGCCGTCAGTTTGCCAGCACTGCTCCTCCTGCGGACGGGGTTTTGCAAAGTCTCGAAATATCCACACGCAGTGTCATTGTTTGTCGTGCTGTATTTGCATTTACGAGGATCCCTCGAAGATATAGTCGAATTGGGCTAACTATTCGGGCGAAAGAAGAAGTGAGAACAGTGATCCACGAGCCTACGATGGCTGCAATGCTCCTCAGAGAAAGTGTGATGAAGCCAGCAATCAGCAGATATCTTCTTCGAGGATTATCTTTGACGAGACTCAAAACACTACACCGCAAGGGAGGGCCTGTTCCGATCCGCCAAAAACTCCGACTTGCAGATATTACGAATCCATCTGCCAGAGTGCATCTGCTACAGCCTGTTGCGTCACTTCCTCCGTCTTGACCACCACGGACAACGGGAGCGGCCACTTATACGCAGTTTTTCGGTCCGTACCTGGTCCCACCAGCCCACTTGCACCGCGGTCCCGCTCGGTACAACATTGTGCGCGAGCACGAGCGAGACGCCCATGGGAGGGGCGGTGGCCATCGTGCCCGACATGTCGCCGCCAGGTGTCACAAGTGGGTAGGGCAGCCGGCTCACTGACGTCGACAATGGCGTCACTGCCAGATAATGCGAGTGGAGAATGATCAGCCGGGACAGTCCGACATGCCCAACCCAGAATAGGCGCGTATTAGCACCGGATTGCTCAAACGGAAACGGAAGGACCTGCTGCACCATTTCTTAATTTGGTGTGGTGCTTCTCTACGAAATCCCAGCAGGCAGTGTTCCGTACGCAATCGTTTCTCTCCACAATCCCCACAAACAGGATGTTGCCGTTGAGGGGTTGAAACACGATAACTGCAGATTGCCTTACCGGTGCAAACAATCATGATCTTTGATATGAGTTTTATGGACTATCGTGCCACATTCCATGGCACCTCATAAGCAGCGGCAGTTCATGTGGAAAGACGCAGCGGTTCGATTGAGCCAGCAAGATGGAGCGAATAAACCAATGTTAACAACGAGACTAAATGCCACTCTACTTCTCAATCCAGGTTCTGATCATCAAAAAGTCAGAAGATCACTTGAACAAACAACTAAAATTATGCGGGAGGCGGGACGCCGTGAAGTTGTTTGCTTCATATCGCGGGTGCAAGCGCGGCGGATGCTCACCGTGCTTCAGTGTCCATCCCTTGACTTGCTTGGGGGCCGGGGGAACCGCCAAGACGTCAATGCTGAAGGTGCCCCCCTGCAGAGCAACGAACAAAGTTTCAGGCAGGCTTTTGAAAATCCATTCTGGCTGCCAACATTGAGATGGCATGACCAACCCAGCGCCCTGCGAGGATATCACTCTTCAATCTGTGGATCAGCGTCCTGCCCCGAGTCCAATTTGAGATCTGCTGTCTAACAATGACGACTTGGGTGTTTGGCCCACTCCGAAAAACATCCTATGCTAAGGTAAGTGTCGATTCAGGTCATACAGAACACTGCAAAGCCCGTCAATGAGCCGCCAGATCCTTCCTTACACCCTCGAGCATGCAGTTGCCCTCATCACTACTAAGGTCGAGGAATCAGTGCACTCTTCGACTTAGACAGCTCACATCAAAAGCATCGCGTGTGCAAAAAGCTATTCTATTGCTTGCCAGATTCGAGAACTCGTTCCTCGACCGCAGCCCCGGATCCGCCTCCTTTTGCAGCAACCGCACCGCGACGTTTGCCAGGGCGAGCGGTTTGGGCAGCTCCATTGTAAACCCTACGGCCGGGAAGTCGAAGGTGCGCGCGCGCGGGTTGCGCGCGTGGTTGACCCAGATGGCCAGCTTGGAGGAATCGCTGCTGGCCGTACACGTGGCCTCGCCGCTTGCGGCAAACTCGGCGTACGAGCTCTGCGAGATAAGTAAACGAGGGTGAATCACTTAGAATTAGAGACGTGTATCAAGAATGCAGGAAAGGCGGGGAATAGGAAAAGACGGCTGGGAATCATGTTGCGAGCTGTCAGTTGACGATGTTCGCGGCTTGATTTCGGCACTCAGGGCTAGCTTCGGGCACTCGGACAAGCGAATTGTAGCTTTTGCTCCGTCAGCAAAGCGCGAGGATGTTCTGCTGAGCATACGAGAAGCGTCCTTTCTGTCCTTACGAGAAACTTGGACCGCCATATATTCTGGATGTTCTAGATCTCACACCCACTTGGCTTGATAGCAATCCGATGCCAAACATGCAAAGCCATGGTTTGTCAAGACGGAGATCGACGTCTTTGCCTTTAGTACTAGACAGCTCTTCTCTTAAGGTTCAAGACCTTTCTCCCCTTCTTGACATCGACTCGATTCCCTTTCTGTCGAAAGGACGTGTTTGTTCACAGGAGACGCCCTACAGTCGACGTACCTGCAGTGATTCCGAAGTGGCTCGATCGAGCCGTGCGCTGCCCAGGCCCCGGAGTCGCGAGATGTCACTCTCGTATCTGCATACGAAGAGCTGAGACCATTGGACCGATTGATGAGGCCGAATTACAGACGCATTCTGGACCAAAAACCTCTGGTCAACCCCTAACTGAGTTTGTTCCTTCTGCCTTGTTGAAAACCGTAAGAAAACCACGTTCGCAAAAGACCGAAGACGTTAAGAGTGCTGCCTTCCCTCCAAACGATAGCGAACCTCTAAACCGGAGGCAAGACGGACGGAGGAGAGTATCAGTCTTCTGCCACCATGGTTCGTTCACGTTCATTTGAGTGCTGCTCGTACAAAGAAGTGTTTTTAAAGCAGGGGGTTGCGCCACTACTTGCCGCTCACCTGGCCACGTGGCCGTCTTCCCCTCGCTCTCTGGCTTCCAGCTGGCAGATCTCGGCGTCCGCAATCACCTGCATCAGAAATGGTGGCCTCAGACTAGACTCTGCTCCTTTCCAAACAGTTTCAGCGAGCCTACCTAAGCGGACTTCAAAAGGAATGGTTGAAAGTGCACTCTCGTCTCGGCTGGAAGCCGCCAGCTTTAAGGATATGACCCTTCTCGAGTGCTTTGGATATCCTCTGCCCAGGAAGGATTGCTGAACACGTCATACATGGCCCTCTATTTGAACTTCGATTTCATGCTGCAGTGAGGAGTCTTGGTCAGACTTAAGCAGCTCTTTTGGTAAGCACTCTAGTTAGGTCTGCCAAAGCTTCCAAGTTGTGTGGGAGGCGTTTAAAAGCACGGTCTTCGCGCTTTTAAATCAAAGCAAGCATCCTGGCGGGCAAGGACGCTTGACCCTGATGTTATTCAAGAGCGAATCCTCGCACACCTAGGGCACTTCCTTTCAGTCAAAGTGCTGACGCAAGGTCCCTATTATTGATCCGACCATTAAGAGCGCCAGCCCTACTCACCTTTTCTATCTCTCCGCAGCTTCGCAGCGCAGATTGCAAGTCGGTTTCCTCATCCGGGTGTTTGCTTATCTCCGCAATGTACTCATTCACCTCCGCCTCTTTCCTGGGGTCTGGTAAGGAGCTGCATGCCAGGTAGCGCTCCCACTGCACAGGCCCACACCTCCCCTTTCTACCACCACTGACAAATCGTGTCACGTTCAAATTTGAAGGGAACACGCCAGATTGCTGAAACCTTTTTTGCGAAGGTGCATGATTCAGATTTGTTGAAAACGAACGCCGATGTGCAAGGAAGGTCCTTACTTCTCCCACAACAGTGGACCCGGAACCCTCAGAACAGACGAACGTCCCAAGAACACTTAGGAAGTGTCGTTTTCGCCAAAACAGCCTCTCCTATTAGCCCTCACTCTCTTCGAAAAAGAAGTCAAAGAGCCGATGTTATACAACTGCTTTTAACGCTTACTTCCGCCACCTCCCGTGCTTTGCGCTCCAGCGTTTCCAGGTTGTGCTCTCGCCTCTTCCAGAGGCCTTCCAGCCCTTCCCTCTCTTTGCCAATCCGTTCCGCTTCCACCGCCAGCCGCGCCGCCTCTGCCTCGCGAGCGAGCAGGTCCTCTTCTGCCTTCCGCTGGCGCTCCTCCTCTTCGAGCCGCAGTCGCTCGATCTCTGCAAGCCTTTCCTCCTCCGCTAGGCGCTCTGCAGTGAAGAGTCACCGGGGTCAAAATTATTGGGGAAAGGCGCTCTAAGACTTGCACCTGTTTTTTTAAGATTTGATTATTAGACTATGGCCTCCGTTGCCCTCGTATAAGCCAACTCGCTCCCAGCCACAGCCGCCCCACCACTAGGCCCCTCAACCAGGCGCGTCCAAAGCGATGAATAGGAAAGTGACCTGCCGAGCGGCTAAGACACGCAACGGTTGCTTATCCACATACTTTACCCTGCGCAATTGCTCCTACGGAACTTTTCATTGCAATGCTTACAGGGTGCTCCGTCATTGCCTCCTTAAAAAGTTGGACAACCTGATGCGGGCTCGAGACCATGCAGAACAGCAAATACCTCACTCTATGATCGGACACCTGGTCCTGAACCACCACCATCATGCGCCAGTTTGGACAGGTTGAAAAGATTGGATGACTGCTTGGCTCTAGCAACTTCTAAGGAGCTGAGATAGGGGAGGTGGCAGACGATGTTCAGCATAAAGATTACAAGGAAAGAATCGGGCAGCCTCTCACCTTGCTCAGCTTTCTTCTCTGCCTCTCTCTCCTTTTTGCTCTTCTTCTTTGGGGAGTTGGGATCATTCTTTTTGGGAGGCTGTACAGCAAAGTTCATGGGATGGTAAGCGGTCCGCGCACCCGATGGTATGTGCATCAGAAAGATTTTAAATATTGTACGTCCTCACCTCAGTGGGGTCCTTCATATTAACTGCATTTATCTCTCAGTAGTTTCATACCATAATAATGGCCGCTCATTGGATGAAAGGCTCCATTTGAAAGATGCTTACACATCTTCTTCACATCTTCAATCAGAAGATTGTTTTGGCATGCAAGTTTTGAGAAACCATTTTCAGCCACTTCTGAGATGGCATCAGACTGCAAGCTTCAACCACACACAACACCCAGTTCTACTTCAGAAAAAGGAGCCTCGAGACACTTCACATCTGTTTCAAGAAGATGACCTACCATGTTTGAACACTTGAAGGATTGCCCGTCGCACTTCAGCAAATTGCCGGTCTCGTTGGCACCCTTGAGTGTCGAACTCTGATGTCAGGCTAGGCACAAGCTGTCAAGCAGCTAAGCTCTTCTTTTGAGTTCTTCGCCTCGATACAGGCCCGTCAATCTGAGAGCTGTTTAGCAGATAATAGTATATCAAAGAAGGTCCACAATCTCTCAAGCTCTATAGAGTGGCGCCCACGTGAGCTCTCTTTTCTATTCTTCAGGTGTCCAACTTGAGCTCGTTTAACAAAGAAGAAGGCGTCTGTCTCGGCCTGAACTCAGGTCAGCTTGCTTTGCGGCAGATAACCAAAAGCTAAGGATTCAGTCATCTTTATTCCCAAGGCTGTGACGCATAAAGCTGGTACGGTACACAGGTGCTGCCATCTGCAAATAGGCTACGCGCGCACAATTTTAAGTACCCTTATGGACGTCCATTTGCCAAGAAATGCCACTCATCGACGGCTCCGTGCCATCTTAGTCTAGCTGGACACATTCAATGATTAGTTCCAGGAAGTACGGTAGAACAGTACCTGATGTTGACAGTACCTAAGCAGGCTAAGGTACAGCTATTTACTGTAGGTGCGCAGCTTGTTGTGTTCCAGGATCTCTTGCGCTTCTTGAGCTACTTGTAGCTGGACGTTCCTCACTCTTTCCATGCCACAGTGCACACGTTTGCCGCCATTTCAAGCTAGCGGAAAGCTGGAAGCATCCGTGCTATTTGTTGTGGCAGAAGCTACTTAACATGCACCATTTGTTTGTTGCAGTTTCATAGTCCTCGGGTGCTCCCTTGCGCTTCACCCCAACACAAAAACAAATTGACTAGACCTCTTGTGTTTCGGACTGGTGAGCTCTTAGGATGGAATCTGCAACTAAAATATGCGTGGTCGGGCCGCCAGGAGTAGGAAAGACTGCCATCGCCAGACTCCTTGCTGACTGGGACACCAGTGCAGGGGCACCATATGTTGCAACGCAGGCTCTGAGGATCCAGGTCAGCAGGCAGCAGTACCTCTGAAGCCATCCAATTGGCCGCACAAGCTTTTTCTCAACCACACTGCATAGTGTGCAACAGTGAGCTAGAGGCTGTTGAGCTCATGAGATGGAAAAAGCTCTAGGAATCAATATTCCTTTAAGCATGCGCAACTTCAGGTGAACAATCAAAAATTCTTGGCATGGCGTGGCAAGCCCTGGCACAGATTTTGAGCTGTCGTTTTTAGTGGTGGTATAGACTTGGTATGGATCTCCATGACAAATGCTCATTACCCGATGTACGCGCTTCCCCTCACAATTAAGACAATTCGTTCCATTCTTCAGGTCTAAATCCTGGAGCTCGAAATGTGTGATAAATAGTTTGAATGTTTCATGCAGGAGCTTGACCGGTCGCTTGGCAAGAAGCGCTTCTCTATTCAGTTGTGGGACTGCAGCGGGGATTCCGAGTTCCAGCCCTGCTGGCCAGCACTGCAGAGAGGGGCACACGGACTGATCCTGGTGCGGAATGCTGAGGCATCTTTGGAAGAGCAAGAGAAGCAGCTTGAAAATTGGTGAGCTGGATGAGTGCTCACAAAGCTAGTCGAGCAGATGCTATGAAGATAGTCAAATGCAATCCATCAAGCTTTCCCTTGTCGCTCTCAGGCTCTGAAAATGATTGGTGGCGTTTGGCTTTCAAGAGGCTATAAAACGGGCAGGAGAGACTGAAGAGCAAACGATGTCTCCTTCTCATGAGGCCAACAGAGCCATTTATCATAGAGCTGAGTGAGTCTGGAACCGGACCGAGCTTTCATAGATTTAAGCTTCCACTGACTGTGTCAGAACCAAGGTAACTTAAAGATCCATGGAATCATGCCTACAGAACCAGACTGGTGCCAGACCTTGAAAAAGATGGTGAAAAGTTCTGCCCTTTGCGTTCTCCTTTGGAGGTACGAGGAGGGGCGAACAGGCAAGAGGTCTGTTGGTAAATGGTGCACACTACAAGCTGCCAGTCCACAAGGCCGTTCAAACTAGCCCGGGCCTGAAGGCATCAAATGCATGAATACATGATAATGGGCTTCGCTCTTCAGCAAGCAAGCAAATCCAGGATTTCATTGGATTCACGTTCAGGGTTTGCTCCACCGAATGTAGGTACAAAGTGTTCGCAACACCGAACCGTCTGAAGGCAAGCCAGTGCGTCATTGTCAACGTCAGCCGATCCAACGGAGGCGTCAGTGGACTGCCAGCAGGTAGGTTTGCTACACAGCGATTTTCATGTGTGTTGAATACCTGCTTATCGTGGGAACTTAGTGAGAAGCTTTCCGAAGATTCTCCAAGAAAGCTCCTTTGTAGGCAGCGTGCATAGATTGTAGATTCCCAGATTCGAAGAAGCAGAAGGGAAGCTTGTTTCGTGTTCACGTTTTTCTTGATTGTCGTTTCAAGCAGCTGGCATACTTCAAAGAAGCCCGCCAATCATGGGCCCTCGCGACTCACTGTGACTGGCTGACTCCTTCTAGAAACTAAAGCTGTTTGAGGCCCCCAGTGGGCGACGCGATGAGTTATCCATGGTGTCGTCTAAAGTTTTTATGATCTCAGAATCAGAAAAGCTGCAGGCAGGGCTGTCACTGGCTTCGAAGTTTGTTCATAAGCAAAGCTCATCCATTTGTGATTACGCTCTCGTGAAGGTCCCCGCGTGATGCTTGATTGAAGTCACCAGCTTGCAAGTGCGTTGACGAGATTTCAAGTTTCCGTGCAATGCAACTTGTGATAAATCTAAGATTAAGGTTTCGGAATCCGTCCATACAGCTTCGCTTTACGGTATTTGCTTCTCTTGGTGTGCTTTTTTCTTACCAGCTTTCAGTTGCTGTTGAGGCGGGTACATCTCCTCGTTGTCCTGCATGGCAAATTGATTTGTTTGGCGGGGCTTCCGGAGTATTTTGACCATAATCTTCACAACAGTAAGTTTGAACCTGTGTGCATTTCGACGAATTGGACGTATTGACCAAATTTAGTTTATCCGCCCAAAAAATTGCGAATTTCCTCTCCTCTTGCCAGGTAGTGGACGCGGTCTTCTAGCAAACGTGAATCAAGTAAACGTTTCCCTCTTAGAACCAGACTGCCAACAGCGCCTCTTTCTGGCTTTGGAGGGTATTCTAGGGGGTGCTTAAAAAGTCCCGTGGCTTAGAACGGAAGAGGTGCGAGTAGCTGTGAGTGTCAGGAGCTCGTGCTAGCAAACCTGTTGCCGTTGTCAAGAAGAAGTTCTTATCTCCAGGTAATCTTACGCACCATGAATCTCCTGCAATCGGGGAGTCTGTGCTGAGATTCGAAGATACCATTTTAGAAAGGGGAAAGGCACCGAACTCGAGGATTGATCACGTCTTAATAAGCGTCATTAGAGTCGCTCAGTCAACTAAGAAAGGCACAGTCAAACAGGTCCTGATTTCATGTCCTTAAGCTTGCAGACAAATGTAGATAGATGCATGACGTTCGGTGTGTGCTCGAAGTCGACGGGTAGTCCCTGAAGCGGCGCCGCTTCTGGAATACTTGCTCCAAACCCGCTTCAAAACCAACGGGGCGGCCGCTCGTGGCTTGATTAACCATGCACTCTCTACTTACGACAGCTTGGAAAGGTCGATCAAGGTATAATAGTGTAATGAAACTTAGGCCTGGGTCAATGAAGAATGCCCATCTGGTTGCAAATAATTGTGTCACAAAGGCGTCAAATATATCTCGATGTGAGACGACGTCGATGTAAGACGACGTCGTCTCAAGTCTGAAGATTATAATCAGGCTGGCTGGTCCGGCCGGCTCAAATCTAGCTAGCGCGGTGGATGGCCACTTCAATTTGTACGCGCTTAGGAACCTGCTGGGCCTATGGCGCGGATGCAAGCAATCTTGAAGTGTACCGGAGTTCATCAAAACGTGTTCCTACTCGCATGTGAATCACATGTTTTGGAAGTATACAAGGACCCGCGCCCTGGCCCAGATTACTTTAAGTGCCCAGAAATTTTTCGAGTGACTAGTCCATCGTACGATGTAAACGGCCATGTTTCCGTTCATGTTACATCCTTTCTGAGGGCTTTGTCTACTTTGGCTATAAATCTAGAGCGCAATATCGATCCTCATGGCCAAACATGACGTTGCTATTTTGTGCTAATGGTTTTGCCTCTTCGCAATGGTGACGGGACCTGCGATCAACTTCACGTACCCGAAAGTCGAGGATAGCATACCGACTCTCAGAGCTCAGCTTGTATGTGTGGACTTGTGGAACCAATGGTCTGGACTGGGGCCTGCAATGCGGCTGCAACTGGCCACCCGCGGCGCGCGCCAGCCTGGGGCGGTGCGCGGCCGCGGAGTGCGACGCATCTTGCCCCAATTGATCCCAGACCGTCCGTCCCAACTTGAACTTGAATCGAACGATAATACACAGCCTACATAGTGGACCTCAGATATCAAAATTTGTGTCAAAGACCTGAGACATAGTACTCAATATTCGGAGCTTAACACCGAAAGCAGTGGTGATGACAAAAAACTTGGCCTTCAGGGTAGAAATGCGCGATCCCCCAAGCCATGGCGTTGAACGATCCTAGAGCAGGCTGCCCCTCGCCAGGTCTGGGCTCAAAGCAAGGTCGGGGGTCTCCCGACATTTGGGCGCTTGCAAAGTAGCTTGCGGATGCAATGCTGCGAATATTGTGCAACCAACATGGTGATGTCAGCTGCTGGAGAACGCGCCAAGCGCTGTGCGAAGCAAGAAGGTATGAAGTGGTCTACAAAGTGCACCTGTCAGGTGAGGTTGCTCTTCCTGACATGCTTCTTTGCTCTTCGATAAGCTGCTTAAGGGTGATGCAAAGAAGTATAATTGTTGTTGAAAACCTTCTGTGGCTCCCAAGTCACACAGACTTTTGCACCACCAGTGATCTTTGGGTTTTCAGACTTGTCACCTCAACAAACAGACGTTCAATGCTATGTCCAGCTTTTTCATTGCAGTCTTCTTTCATCTTTCCTTGCTTCAATCCCCTGAAACTTAAGGTCTGGTTTGATATGCTTTGGACATCAACTCCTCTGTCTTGGCAACAGCCATGCCAAATGGCAACTGATGGCCTTCGCAAATGTGAAAGGAAGAAACAGAGGTTCCTGGAATCACAAGTCCTGCTCAGGATGAAGTTACGCTCAACATGGAGACATAGAAGAGTTCTGCGCTCGCTCAAGATGCATGAAGGAGATTGTGGTTTTGAGGTTGTCTGGCTCGTTTGAACTCCTCTTAGACCAACAATTCTTTCTGCAGCGAGCATGCTGAGCGCCAAGTCTCTGGAGACGCTCCACTAAGGTCTCCTCTGCTGAGTGGTGAGTCCCCAGAACTCAAGTATAACGAAAGGACCGTGTTCAAAGCATGGAGAAGGTTTTGAGCTGAACTCTGTAGCTGAAAAGGGACAGCCAATGATCGACCCTTCAAGCAGTACAGGCTAGGTTAGATTTTCTGTTTCAGGAAATAGAAACTCTGGGCATGGAATGTGTATGACCAGAAAGCTCGTACTTGTTTCTCTTGTTTCTCCTGTTTCGTGCTTTCAAGAGCTGGTCACCAATACAATCAGCCTGCTGAACAAAAGAACTTACAGAGCTGTTCCAGACAATTCCTGGTTCAATGGCGCATAGTTCTGATGGACAGCCATCATATAACAAAGACACTGACAGGCAGTCAGCCTTTTTCTCATCCATACAACCTCAAAATGGGTCCCACTTTGAGCAAAGTCATCGCAGCTTTGCCATTAGATTTGTTATCTCTGGAGTTAGCCCCTTCATCTGTCCTTTCCTCCTCATGAAGGCCCTGATATTGGTTGCATCATAATTCTTTCAACCAGTTGTATCGTGATTGTGTGGCACGACTTGTGTGACTCTGGCTGACCTGTTCTTATTGATTCAGTTGCTTGTTTGTGAAACGTGTCCACTCCTACTTACTTGCAGTGCCTCTTGGGAACAGCATGAACACAATCTTCTTCTCCCAAGTTTATTGGTTTCCCCGTACTTTCCACATGCACGTTAAGTTGCTTCTCTATCTCCACCAACCTAAAACACTTCAACGAGGTCACACAGTACTTATTGCAACCGTTTGAAATATCGCTTGGAAGGTGTTGTTCGCCCAGGTTCTATCTGAGCTTCTGCGTATCTGATTGATATTTCCTGAATTCTCATTTTCAAAGATGAATGAAAAATCTTAGCAATTTCAGCCTCACCTCGTGTACCCGCCATCTCAGGTAACGGCAACCAGTCAGCAGTCCTCGCCAGAATGGGTGGCGACGAGGGCCAGGCTGGAGACCATGTAGATAAGCAGAGCTTCAACCACTCAAGGAAACCCACAGCCCCATCAAGCCACGAAACCCAGGAAACCGGAAGCGCCGCGTTCAACTTGGAGTCTCCATCTTCTTCCGAGTCTTTTGACTTGCGCCCCCAGCCATGTCTGCCCCTCCAGGCCCACAATTCTTTCTCCAACCCCCAGTCCCCGGACGCTTTCTCTACCCCCCAATTCTCGAGCCCTTCCTCCCCGAGCAACTGGGGCTTCCCATCGTCTATTGCTGGCGGGCCCCTCCCCTTTGATGCGAGCATGTGGCGGGGAAAACGGGCCTGGGAAGAGGGCGCCTACTTCGGGAGCCAGAACTGGGCAGACGAACGGAAGAAGAAGCTTTTGCTAGACGAACGGGGAGAGACCGGATCTGGAGCGAGATCCGTAAACCCCTTCGAGCTGGGCTCTGGATCTTCCCTTTTCGGGGGACTTTGGAGCTCCTCCCTTCTGTCTGGCACCCAACCCGCTGCTCGCGACTCACCAGGCAAGAGTGTGACAGTGGAAGGACCAGAGTCCGATGCTGACGTGGAACCGTTGGCACCCGGAGCTCGAACCCCTCCCGCGGCGTCCCCCGAGTCCAAAGAGCCCGTCCAGAGCAGTCGCCCATTCTCATATGCGGGCGTCCTCGCAAGTGGGCTCGACTGGGTCACCGCCCACGTGGGCCAGACCCCAATCGGAAGCGCCCACGTGGCAGAAACTACGGAACACGTGGCTCGCGTCGCAGAATCCGCCGACAAGGAAGAAAGCCCCCGGCTTAGCCAACCTGCCCACGTGGTGGAGTCTGCGCACGTGGCGTCGTTGATCTCGGAAGGACTCAGAGGCAAGGGAGCGACGCGGCGTCTTGTCTCGCAAGAGGAGCGGACGGAAGGAGGAGAAGCGTCGGAAGGGCCTGATCACTCCTCGAAGCGCTTGAAAGCTGACGTGGGCAATGAGGGGGGGGGAGCGAAGGCGACCAACCAAGAGGTGGCGAAGCTGAGGACGGTCGCCTTTCACGTGGTCCTGCCGGAGGAGGTCGCCCAAGGCCAGGGAGGTTTCTTCTTCGAAGTCTTTGCAGTCGGGTCTCTCTTCACCGAGGAGAATGGCCGGCCCCTCCGAGTGCCGTTATTCGTAGCCCCCTACGAACGCACGCTCTGGTCTTCGGACCGGGTACGGGTGCGCGGGGCGGGCGACCAGTCACGCCTCCGGTTCAACTTCGTGGTCGCCCGGAAGCGCGGCGGATTCCAGCACGTTTTCTCAAAGGCAGAGGAGGAGAGGGTCTCGCGGGGCGGGTATCGGCTGCAGCCGGGGCGGCACCAGTTCTGCTTCGCCGAGGGGCTGCTCCTGGAGCGACACGTGGCGGCCCAGCTGCCCACCAACGCGGACGCGGCACTGACGTACGCGGGCATGCTGCTTGGCGAACTGCTCGACGGCCAGGGTTTGCCGGAGGTTCTCGACGAGCTGCGCGGGCTCCATGCGCAGATCTGCAACGCGCCCTGGTTCAGCGCGAGCGTCGCCGCATCGATTGCAGAGGGACTGGTCGATCTCTACGACTCTTGCGAACCGGAAGCCCCCGCCCCCGAGCCCCAAGACGCGCGCGCACGCGTTTACCTCTGCGTTGCCGCGTGCGTCATCTTCGGACGGGCCCTGGACCTCCAAAGCCGTCCGTGGCGGTCCGTATCCTCTGCGTCGGCCGCGTCCAACCGGGCGCTGGGCGGCCGCGTCATGGCGACGCTGCAGGGCCTCGCTGACGCCAGCGGTGACGTGGCGCTGACGTCAGCGGTCAGGGAGGCGCTGCGCCCAATCCCCGCCCTGCTCGTGCGGGCGACCGCCCCGGCATCCGATTGGCTGCGCCACCTCCCGGGACTGGCCGCTGCGGACGCCGAGCTCCGCTTCCTTGCGGACGTCCGAGAAGGCGCGCCCACGGACGGAGACCAGTTCTGCGCCGACGTGCGAGCCGCGCTGCCGTTTCTTGCGTCCTGCTCGGGGGACGACTTCCCGCTGATCGTCGGCCGGGTGATTGTTTCCGCACCGTGCGCGGCGGCTCTGTTGGAAGTTCTCCAGATGCCTCGGGTAGGCGAGTGTGAAAAGCCGATCGCAAAACACGTGTCGCGGCGTCTCGCGGCGCTGCTCCAGACGCGGGGGGCCGTTGGGATCGACCGGGCGCTTTTACACCTGTGCCAGAAGCTGGCACCGCTCGCGCAGCACCCGGGACTGATCGAGGCGCTGCGGGGCCACGTGATCCGTAGCGCGAAAGGGCCCGCCGAGTGGTCGCCGGAAAACCTGCAAACCCTCTCGAAGCTCGTCTTCACGAAAGAGCTGTTCGCGGCGAAGAAACCGGCCGTGGCGCTTCTGCGGAGTATCGCGCAGTCTGGGGCTCGAGAGCCGCTGGATCTGCTGCCCGGTTTGCTCTCCCGGGTGCTTTCTCTGGACAAAGACAGCGGTGACAACAACGGAACGGGGCCGGCCGGAAACGGAACGCGGGATGCGCGGGTTCTGGCGGCTGCCGTGGAAGCCGCGTGCTTGGCATACGTTTCAGGGACAATCGACCGAGCGACGCAGACGCCCCTAAGCGCTTTTGAGAAAACTGAAGAGCTGAAGCGGCAAGTCAAGCAACTGGAGTCGGAAGAGTGGGGCCCGGTGGTGGAGCGCCTGTCCGAGCACGCCGCCAAGCTGGCGTCCGACTTCGCACCGTCGGACGTCCTCAAGTGCGCTGGCGAAGGGCGACCGGAGACTGCTGACGCCTTCTATGGGGTCGCCCGCACCGCCGTGGCCTCGTTCGCGGAGGACCTGGACAAGGCGGCGGCCGCGGTGCGGCTGCTGACGTCAGCGAGGGAGGATGGTTCGGTCCAAGTGGCCTCAAGGTGAGTAATCGCATACCCTGTGGCTCTTATGGATGAGGGGATCTGGCATGACGAGGGCGCAGTTGCGCGGTTGGCGTGGCTGGGCGGATCAATCGTTTGCTTATATTGAAACAACGGCTGGGTCTCTGAAATGCAGCTTCACAAAGTTGTCTGCTCTTAGTAATCCACAAGTGTTATCAGTCTCGTGCCAGGTCTGCCATCGATCCTTTGTCGAAAGAGACATGCTTTTGACGTGTTCGGTCACTATATCAAAAGTACTGGGCAAACTCGCTCATGAAGTCCTCTGGGACTACGTTAATGAGGGAAACTGCTGTGGTGTGTGTAGAATAAGTGGATCCGTGGTATTCGTAATTCTTCGAAAAAACATTGCTTTCACAACTTTCGGGCAAAGCAACGATTGCGGTCTTCGAGGAACAAGGAACAGAGGGCTGCTCCTCAATAACACAAGAAAGGAGCCACTGGTTTCGGTCGAGTTTGCCTCCCATGGGCTTTTGCTGATTGAGGCAACCAACTTAGAACCAACATCCCTATACTTGGATATGTAAGCAAGCTTGGTGGGCAGCTCCGCTTCCGTCTCTAGGAGCAGAGTTATTTTCGAAATCACTTTTGGATCATGTCGTTGAACGCGATCTCCTGTCTACTTGGTTCCCTTCTTGTAGGTTGAAGCGGCACTGCGAACATCTATCCCGTTTTCAAGCGGCTGTGTACTCCCTTTTTAAACCTAGGCACGGGCCACTTCTCGACGATTGCAGCTCATCCTGTATCATTTTAAAACTATCTGCTCCACGGTCACCCCGTGCTAATGCACACATTTGCACCCAAAACCAAACCGAGGCCACGAAAACGACAGGCCGAACTTTCGTCGATGCTGACCTTTCATCCAGGTCAGCCGGCTGCCTGACCAAAACTCGTTCATGAGATGGCTTTAAGTCATTGATTACTTTTCCTCGCCTTCGCAGGCAAGCAGAGGAGCTAGTCGTCCACCTCTTGGATTTCGTCCGTCCCCTCTGTTCCGCTCTCGGCAGCGCCGCAGCGGTGTACTGCGCGGAACTCTGGCCCCTCTGCGCGTCAGCAGCGGAATGCGATGCGGTGAAGAGCCACCCTCTGGTGAAGGAAGCAGGGGAGGCTGTCCGGAAAGCGTCCGCCGGAATGGCGGACGGAACGATCGCTGTCCGAGAGCTGAGGAACGTGCTGGCGGTGCCGGAAGAGCGCATCGCGGCCGCGTTTCGCGCGGCCGGCTGCGGCGAAAGTCACCAGGATCTCAGGTAGGCCGCTTACTTGATTTTGCATCTCCGCCCGCTTTCGTGCTTCTCCAACATTGTCTACATTTATCCAAGCTCGCCGAAATCATTTTGAGCAACAAGTCACGATCGTCCTTTTTTCGTTGGGTGCGAGAAAAAACTCTTGAGTGTGCACAATAGAAAGCGGTCTTGCAGAGATGCAACTTACTAAGCTATTTCTGCTTAGTTGACTCGGATAATTCTCGTGGGTTATTTGCAATCCGGAGCTGATCCGGAGCTGCGGAGAGCAGATGAAAGTGCTCTCAGAGGCTCCTTTGAAGCGTCCTCTGACAAAGCGGATGCTAAGCTGGATATTGCACAAAACAGCGACACGTCAGGGCCGGCCCAATATTTAAGGATGGATGTAGGGATCGAAACTTATTAACTTGCTTTTTGTATGGAGGTCTATCAGTCCCACAACGTATCTTGTTTTGTCTTCAGAAGTAGACTAGAATGTTCTGTCTTTCATCGCACTTTGGTAACATCGACAGCCAGGAAAAAAATCAAAACGGTCTCTCTCTGTTCACCTCGGCTCTTGCTGCTTTGCTTTACGAACCTCCCCTCCTGAATCTCCTCTTCTTACTTTTCGTGCCCTCTATTTGTAGTTCTCTGCGGACCGCCCTCGCCAACTACGAGCGCCGCCTCGACGTCGTCGGCTCCACCCTGCGCACCTTCTTCGCGCCGCTGCGCCCCACCGACCTCAAACTCTACCGAGATGACGTCATCACCAAAGCGACGCTCTTCTCGACCGGAATCTTGACCCTGGACTCGATTCGAAGCGCCCAGGAGTGGGAGCTGCACCGGCCGATTCTGGACTGCCTTCCCCTCCTGACCCCCCTGGCCGACTTCAAAACCTTCCCGAACTTCCTGAAGCCCGCCGAATCGAAAACCTTCCCAAACTTCCTAAACCCCGCGGCCGCGGACCGCACCGTCGCGGCCGCGGCCCGGGAGCTCCTACCGACCGCGATTGGCGCGTTTGAGGAGCGGTGGCGCGCGCACTTTGAGGGGAAGGATTTGCCGCTGGCCCAAGTGGAGGAGCTCTGGCAGGGCGTTCCGGTGGCAGAAGTTGAGGCGGAGTTCCGGCGCGCGGCCGAGCGGAACGGCTGGCCCGGCGACTGCGACGCGCTCGCGCTCGGGCCGGCCGCCGTGCGCGCGTTCCTGCAGGCGGCGCGGCTGCAGGAGCTGGCGGAAGAGCTGCTGGCGGTCGCGCGACTGTTCGAACTAGATGGCGACTTTTTCCTGGAGGCCGCGCAGCGGTGCAAGCAGGTGTTTGCGGATGACGTGGCAGAGCTGACGCTGTCCGGCCTGGCCGGGGCTCTCTACCAGCTGGAAGGCGTGGCCGGAGACATGCGCGAGGACGTGCGGGATGCGCTCGGGGAACTGTCCCGGGGGGAGACGCTGGTCTCGTTTCTGAGAGAAGCCGGGGGCGAGGATCTGAGGCTGATGATCGACGCAGTTGAGGAGCACTCGGGGGAGATCATCCGGGAGGCCACGGTTTCCGACTTGATCGAAGTCCACCAACGGTTCATGCGCGGGCTGCTCAAGAGTGCCCGGGGCAAGACCCTGGGTGAGTTCTTAAACACGGTGGATGAGCTGCTTGCCGGGAGTGAGGGGGGCATGGTCGCAAAGCTGCACGAGTGTGTGGAAAACGCGTGGGGGCTCCAGAGGCTGTACAGAAACGTGGCCAACCGGGGAGAGCTTACGCTGGAAGGGGTAGCCGCAGCCATGGACGCGGGGGAGCTGCAACTAGGGGTGGACAAAACCCGGGGCCCGGAGTGCGTGCTCAGCGTTTCCTACCCCAGCGCTCGCGGCAAAACGGTGTGCAGCAGCGCCGAGATCGGCGACCTCCGCAGCCGCGCGCTGCTCCTCGTCAACGCGGGCGCGCTCGCCACGCGGCCGCGCTTCGATGACGTCAGCGGCGACGTGCGCGCGCTCCTGACGCGCTTCATCGCGCAGGCCGACGCCGCGCAGCAGCTGGCCGCGACGGCGGCCGCGCTCGCGGCCGCGGGCCACTTCGAGTTCCGCTCCTGGGCGCTCACAGCCCGGTTCGCGGACCTGGACCTCGTGCGGACGCTCGAGGGGCTCCGCGGCCGGCTGTCTGAATGGAAGGCCGCCCTCGCGGCCTCGCGCGAGGAGTTTTACGAGCTCAACTTCTGCGCGTCCCACCAGCTGGGGCCACTGTGGGACCTGCTCACGGGGACAGCGGAAGCGGAAGCGGAGCGCCACGCACGTGACCTGCTGACGTGGATTCACCCGAGCGCCGAAGACCGAGCGCTTAAGCGAACCCTACAAAAGCTGCCCACTGAGCCCGGGGATAGGCTTCGCCTCCTTGGGGGTGCTCTGAGGAGCGCCTTCCAGGGCCTGAACCGCCCCCGACGGCCGTTTGGACTTGGCGGAGGCAGCGCCTTTCCGGCGGATTCCGTTTCGCCTGGGGAGGTCTTCGTGGGCGCCGTCGATGAGCCAGGCCAAGTGTTGACAGCTGTCATGTCGCTGTACTTGGACCAGGGCCAGCTGCCGCAGCCGTCGGACGTCCTGCTGTGCGACGCTCGGACGTCCTGGGAGGAGGCGCACCTGCTGCTGCTCCGCTGCTTCCGGTTCCGCTGGACCGGTTCCGCCGACGATCCGCTCTTCTGCGTCGCCTTCGCGGACCAGCTCGACTTCACGTGCCACACGCTGCTGGCTCAGGAGCTCCAGAAGGCGGCGAAAACGACCGACGTCAGCCGTTTCAAGCTCGCAATCATCGTCTCGGGTGACCGCAAACGGCAGAGCTTTGGGGTGCCGGTGCGGAGTATGGTTGGGAAGCTGACGTCAGAGGAGCTGAAGCCGCTGCTGGGGGCGGTGCCGGACCTGCCGGAGGTGGTCGTGGTGACGTCAGACAGGCCCGGGGTCGGCAAGACGGAGACGATCCGACAGCTGGCGGCTCAGAAGGTGGGGCATGCTGAATTGTCGGAACGACTTACTTTCTGAGTTTTGACGGGAGAGGAAAGCCTGTCCAAGCAGGAAGTACATCTCGCTTCTGAAGGAGTCTTTTGTGGGTTGTGAAAGAAGTCATGTTGTCTGGGGCAAGGATTCGAAACTAGGCTTTTCGCTGAGCCGCTTGTTGGCTATCAGCTGTGAGACATTCTGCGTCTCTTCTCAAATCGGTCGGACTCGACAATCTTTAGCAGCCTTATGCGAGGCAAGTGCTCAACCTCCGGGGAGCAGATCACGAAACGGTGATTCTGAGCACCGAACATTCAGTGGGTTTTTTTTGTTTTTTTCCGGCCTAGGCAGCTCAACTAAATTTGCGTGGGTCGAGAAGGCTGATCGCATCTCCAGGTTGAAGTCAGCCCAATCATGTTCTTCCAATGCAAACAGAGTTTGAGACCTGCTTCGAAATGGCAGTCCTGAGGTCGTGGTAGAACCGCAAGCAAAAGGTCACTTCTTGTGAAAAGGGAATCCTTATCAGAATCGTCCGACTATCAGACTCGTCTGACAAACGAACTTGAGCACTCGTTGCAGACGTGCTCTAATCAATAATTACATTGTTGTTAAGTCGGGTGCAGAAGATTTGTGCATCTGACTTGGTAGACAGGGATCTGACGGACAGAACGAGCTATATAGAAGCAGAGTACATCGAATCCTCTGATAAATGATGGGATGACAACTGGTTTTTGTCTACTTTTTGGCACCCAAAAAGGCCTTTCGCGACGCGATAATTGCGGAGTAGCTCTCGAGACGGGTCCTCGTTATCGTCTTTTCACAGGACTTCCTACCAACGCATCGCGCGGCTTGCTGACTTAGCAAGCCAGCAAGGCGATGCGTCGGCACAAAGCCTCCGCATACCGGAAAACTATATGCTGACGAAAGTCCCATATCTGGAGCCTGAACCTCACACAATCACTTTTGCAGGGTGCTTCCCTCCACTGCCTGTCCGTGACCGGCGCCGCCTCGCGCACCCAGATCATCGCCCGGCTCCAAGCCCTGGGCCCCGGCGCAACCGGCTGCCTCCACGCTGACGTCAGCACCCTCGACGACCCCGCCCACGTCAGCAACGCCCTCTTCGAGCTGCTCATCCTGGGCTCCCTCAGCTGCACGACCGCCGGCGTCTACCGCGCCGGATTCCGTTCCGTTTTCGTCGAGCTCGCGAACGACATGCGGAACCGGCTGTTCGAAGACTTGCCCATCTGCCACTGGTTCCGCCGGGAGCACCTGACCTGGGACTTGACCAACCTCCGCGTCAGCGATGACGTCAGCAGCCCGGTACGGACCGTGTGCGTGTACCTGCACGCGCTCGAGAGCGGGCGCGTCGACCGCGACGACCTCATCCTCTCGGGCGCCTGCCGGGACGCGGCGCCTCTTCCGGCCGACACGTGTCAGGACCTCCTGCAGCGCCACTTTCTGGCGCACGTGGCCGCGCCGTCGTTCTCCCTCCTCAACACGTTCCTGAACGTTCTAGCCGCCCAGCTCGGACACCTGTCGGACAGCGTCTTCTTCAAGTCCGGCGTCCTTGCGGACATGGGCGCCCCCAGAAACGTCCGCTCGCTCCTCGTCCAATCACTGGTCGCCGTGGCACGGGACTTTGCGCTGCGCGCGGTGCGCCCCTCCGGCACAGCGGCCGCGAGCGCGGCATCTGGGGGCACGGCGGAGCGGCTGGCGACACGTGTCCAGGACATGATTCAATGGCGGCAGAGCAACCATCTGTTGGTCATTTTCCACTCCCAAGACCCGAACACCGTAACCGCGCTTTACCGAGACGTAACCCAAGTTCCGCTCGAGATCCAACGCCTGTTCAACAGCCAGACGTTCGGCCAGGCCCGTCTCCCCGACTACCGAACGCTGCCGATCGACGAGCTCCACGAGCGGCTGGAGAGAGTGGTGAGAACTAGGCACGGCGAGCTGAACCTGCCCCCGTACGCGCTAACCGCGGACAACCTTCTCAAGATGACGCTGATCTCCCTCAGAATCCGCGCGCGCGTGCCGGTGGTCATCATGGGCGAGACGGGGTGCGGGAAAACGAGCCTGATCTCGTACCTCGCCCGGGTCGTGGAAGTTCCGTTCCGCTGCCTGAACATCCACGCCGGAACGACGGAAGAGGACATCCTCGAGTTCGTGGGCGACTGCTGCGAGGCCGCGGCCGCTGGCGGCGAGGTTTGGGGCCTGCTCGACGAAGTGAACACGTGTCAGCACCTGGGGCTCCTGAACGATTTGGTCTGTCACCGCTCCCTGGACGGCATATCCCTCCCGGTTAACCTAACCCTGTTGGCGACCTGTAACCCGTACCGGTTGAGGGGTGAGCCCAGCCAAGCGCCGGCGGGGTTGGCTAACCAGCGGGTTAAGGACGACCAGTCGCGGTTAGTGTACCGGGTTAACGAGCTGCCTGAGGCGATGCTGGACTGGACGTGGGACTACGGTTCGCTTAACCCGGCGGATGAGCGGCTGTACATTTCGAAGATGGTCTCCGGACGGTTCGAACGGTCCGTCCCGCTCGGACGGTCCGAACTCTTGGTGGACCTGCTGGCGACGTCCCAGGCGTACGTCCGGACGGAGGAAAAGGACAGCTGCGTCAGCCTCCGTGACGTCAGCCGCTGGCTGACGCTTCAGCGGTGGTTCTCGCAAAGCCTGACGGACCGCCCACCTAGCGAGAAGAAGCGGCGGCGCGTCCGGAAAGCGGAGTCCGTGCTCGGGGCAGTCGGGTCCGTCGTCCGGAAAGTGCTGAATGCCGACCGGGGCAACGAACCGGGCGCCCAGATCGAGCTCCGGTCCGTGGTTTTGGCGCTCGCGCACTGCTACTACTGCCGCCTCCCATCAGACGAGCAGCGGCGGCGCTTCCGGGAGCTCGTGAGGGGGACATTCGCCCGGCACGGAGTCACTCTGGGAGAGGGGGAGTTCGAGGACATTTTACGGGGGGAGCAGATGGACTACTTGGATAGGATGGCGCTGCCCCCCGGGACGGCGAAAAACGCGGCGCTGCGCGAGAACGTGTTCGTGACGCTGGTGTGCGTGCTGACGCGCATCCCGGTGTTCATGATTGGGAAGCCGGGGTGCAGCAAGTCGCTCTGCATGCAGCTCATCAACAGGTGGGCGAACTGGGCGGTTGAATCTGTGGAGAGAAGCACGATCTTCTGGAATTGTATCAAGCCGGGTACTGGATTCCTCAGTGTCGTCTCTGCTTCTTGGGCGTTCCATCTTCGAAGTGGGCACTACAAACAATTGAATGGATCCAAACTTATGCGCTTTGGGGCGGACGCAGATAATGAGTTACTTTGACTTGTGTATGAAGAAAGGGTCGGCAGGTTGCAGAAAGCTTTGATCCACTCAAGCAGTCTGATTTTTCGTTGTCACCTGTTTCTCGTGAAATCCCCCTCGCTGGCACGAAGACCTGTTTGTGCATTCTTGGGTATAATTTGTGGTCGGAACCTGCTCTTGGTGGCAGTTGGGCTGTCATGATCATGTTTGACTTCAGCAGCCCACAGCGGGTCAATAGTTAAAATGCAGCCTAAGATTAAGAATGGTTCTTTGAATGTCAACTCTTTTTGTCGTTTGGGATACATTGTATCGTGATCATGAGGTCACTGGATTGGTAGAAGATATAGAGCGGGTCGGTCCGCTGAACATCGTCGCTAACAAAGACATAAAGGTGCTACGTTGTTGCGAACTCCTTACCAGCCTTTAAGATGGTTGCATCTTTCACTGCAGCAATTTGCGAGGCCCGGACTCCAGCGACCCCTTCTTCCAGAAGCTCCCTCAGGTCTACGTCATGTCGTACCAAGGCTCAGAGTCCTCGACCTCTGAGGGGATCAGAAAGGTAAGTCGCCTAATGATATGTGACGTTAATAGCAGGACTTCGCCGGAAATCAGACTACCAAAGTCGCCTCTTGGACTTTGCTTAAAGTTTTGCTCAATCCAGACAGAGAACGTTCGATGTTGAAGCGGGAGAGGACTCTTCAAGGCCGTCTCCGTGACCTGAATCTGCAGGTTGAAAAGGCCTATCTGGTCCATTGCTTTTAATGACATTCATTGCATCGAGATTCTCGAGTGAGCAAGTGTTTGAGCAAGTCTGAACTGAAGGCAACAAGTGGACACTCAACCGAAGTCGGATTGATTTCATCATCAACGACTTTTCCGCGCCTGACAAACAAAAACTGCAACGTTGTTCCATTGCTAATCAGGCCACGCTAGCCTCAAGAAGCCCCTCCATACAGGAAAAACTTGTTGCTATGAAATGGAGATGCGCTTCGAATTGAGAAGACGAGTGCGTGCGGAAAATTCCGGCTTCTGCAGGTGTTCGAGAAGGCGCGCGCATACAAGGCGCGCAACAAGAGCGAGGACGTGCTGCCGGTGGTGCTGCTAGACGAAGTGGGCCTCGCGGAGGTATCGCGCCACAACCCGCTCAAGGTATGGGATTCCTTTACCGAATCCAATCTCGAGTTGCAGCCACATAAGGGATCGCCTCTTTTTGCGATGAACTCGTGCCGTTAGTAGCGAGGGCCTCCCATTTGACAGCTTAAAGAAAGAAAGCAGTGAAGCAAGGAACGCCGCCCGTTACGTTAACCTACTGCGTTCTTTTAGCCTTCCCGTGAGACTGCCAGCATGTGACCATGCATCCTTGAAACTTATGTGAACTATTGAGCATTTATTTTTGAGGTTCTTCAGACTCTGAGGTGGTGAGGATTCGTGACTTTCCAAAGTATCCTCTCTTTCTTGGTCCCAGCTTTGCATTTTGTGGAAGAACAAAGACCACTCGAATTTTTTTTAAACAAATATCAAGTCCCACTCATACATCTCCTAGAACCTCATTGAACCGCCCTTTTGCCGTGTCATTCCTACGGAACCAAGGGACACTCCATAGAGCACCAACTAATCAACGACATATTCAGCCGAAGACTTAAAGTCTCGAGCCCGCCGCTTTTCAGAACGCCTTTCTTTCAAAGCCTTCAACCCTGTGCACCCTTCCCCTCAGGTCTTGCACAGCATATTGGACCCCCCGGGGGCAGCCCCCGGTGCCCTCCTCGACGTGGCCGTAGTTGGCATCAGCAACTGGGAGCTCGACCCGGCCAAGATGAACCGGGCGATCCACCTCTCGCGCCCCGAGCCCACAGTCACCGACCTCTACGAAACCGCCCGGTCAATCCTGGAGGCCTATTTGGAGACTTCCGGGGAGGCCCTCAGCGCGCCGTTCGACGCGCAGCTGCGCGCGCTCGCGCGCGCGTACCATGGGTACGAGGCCCGCCAGCCGAGGCCCCATTTCCACGGCCTGCGCGACTTTTACTCGCTCATAAAGTGCCTGCGCGGCCGCGTACAGGGCCCGTTGACCCCGGCCGACATCGTCGCCGCGCTGGGGCGCAACTTCGGCGGGAACCTGGACCCGGGGGAGGAGTCGGTGGAGCAGATCTTCCTGCGGGAACAGGGCCTCGGGGGCCCGGTGGGGGATCCCCCGGGCGTTCTGGAGCTGGTGGGCGAGAACCTGAGGGACGAGCAAGCGCGGCATCTGATGATCATCACGAACGGCGACGCGGGTCTCGGGATTTTGGAGCAGTTTGTTGGGGTGGCCGGCGCGGTGAAGCTGTTTGGGAGCGCGTATGCTGAGGACCAGAGCGAGGAGTACAGCTACCGGGTGCTCAGCAAGATCATCTCTTGCATGGAGATTGGCAGGTGGGTGCCCGGGGATGCCAACCGGGCTGTTCGGGTGGGACTAAGTCCAGGTCTGTAGGCTCAGAGTTATAAACGTCGGCTATGGTTTGATAGGCAATTGTTTTGCTTTCCAGGCTCTCTGCGAGGTTGGAACGCTTTACAACGTCTGAGGGGTTTGAAGAAAGTCATTGTCTCACACTTCTCAGTTGCCTGAGAATCTTGGCCCCTTGCTTCAAGCTGGAAATGCATCATTGCCTTCCTCTTCTGCGTGGACTATGTTGAATTTGATGCCGAATGGGTCTTTCGTAGGCTGCGCCCTTCATGTATGTCTACAGAAGACGTCGATCCATGGAGACTTTCTGGGGTATTGCGACTCGACCGGCAATACGGTCCTCAGCCTCCACTTCCTTCCACAGCGCTCTGATCCAATCCTATTTCCTCCCACAGCACGCTGATCCTCAAGGGCATGGAGCCGGTGTACGGCAGCCTATACGACATGCTGAACCAGAATTACTCCATCGTCGGCACCAAGCGCAACTGCCGCGTCGCGCTCGGCGCCTTCAGCTCGCCCATGTGCCACGTGTCCCCGCGCTTCCGGTGCATCGTCCTCGTCGACGAGCGCGCGCTCGCGCAGTGCGACCCGCCGTTCCTGAACCGCTTCGAAAAGCACCACCTCACGTACCAGAGGGTATTAACACCGGCGCTCACCGCGGCTGTGGCGGAGCTGCACAACTGGGCGGTGGGAATGGCCACCGCGTACGCGCCCGGGGGGGAGCTCGCGCCGTTCGATGAGAATGACGTCTTCTGCGGGCTGCACGGGGATACCTTACCATCCCTGGTGCTGCACCATAGTGCGGAGAGAGGGACGGAAGGTGTCGAGACCGTCTTGGAAAGGTGAGCAAAGGCGACTCCTCGCGAATTTGTATTGCCAAGAGAATGGGGTCTTCTGTGTCCCAAACGGACTCCAACAAAAGCGGAAAGGTGCCCTCGGAGATGAATTGAATGTTTCCAAGGGAGTATGGTCGTTGGGCCATCCCCTTTGCTACCCTCTCGCCCCCTTGCTTCTGCCCAGTTGCCTTGTGGACGTGCAGCGATGCGTGCAGCAGTAGCGAGCTGACAGAACGCATGCCCGCCGTGTTAATCAAGTTGGTGGCAAAAGCGGTCAGTTTCGGACACTTGACTTCTACAATCCTCGACCTCTCAAGCTGCCCATTCAATCTCTCAGTTTGTCCCAAAATCCCGAAGATGTCTCCCGCTTGAGTCGGCCTGACCTGTAAGCGAAACTGTTCGTCGTGCTATAGCATATCCAGCCCACAAATGTAAATCCTGGTCAAAGGAAGGCCCATCCGTCTCAGAAACCTTTATCAACGGCTCAACTAATCTTACACGTCATTCTTCAACACCGAAAGTCATAATTGCTTCTGTCAAGGTGCAAGCGCGACCTGGTCCGCATCGCCACAGCGGACGGCATGCTGCGCAGCCTGGACTCGGCGCTCTCCAAGATGGACCCCGCTGAGGCGCAGCGCTGGTTCTCTACCTACTTCGACGAGCAGAGCCACGGCGATCTGCCGGCGTATCTAACCGCGGAGCTGGCGGTGAGGCCTTTTGCCTTTGGGTAAAATCAGAAGAGAATGAGAAGAGGCTGTCAGATTTCGTGTCAGCTTCTGTTTGCTAATTTATCTCTACTTTGCCGAAGCTTTTCTGCCTATGCAACGCAGTGAAAACGGTGTTCTGATGATGTTACGCGGAGAAAAGAGCTTTGACCGGCCCCTTCTGTAGGCTCCGCTTAAAAGGCCAAAAAAGCTCTGTTGGCAAGGTTGCATCTGGCGGCTGCTCTGAAAAGCAGGGGACTCTTGAGTGGTCATCAAACCCGCCTATACCTTATCGCACGCTACCTCCTTTTTTTGAGAATCTGTGGAAGCGAAGCCTGTTTCTGAGGGCCTTGTATGCTGATCAATGACACCTTCCGTTCTCTCTTCCGTGCAGGACGTTCCGCCGGAAGGGCAGTCCGGCTTGCGGGCCATCGTGATGACATACTCGAGCGTTCACACAGACGTGCGCGCAATCCTAGAGAGCCGCTTTGACGTACAGGTGAGCAGGTCGCATCAGCTCACAGTCCCGAAGGATGCAAAAAGCTTTTTCTGAGGTTTCTAATTTTTCAGGTTTGCTCTCTTAGAGACAATCCCTTATAGGAAAGTCTTGGCGAAATCCTAACTTGTATCTACTGAAACGCGCGGAAATCTGAACGTTGAAAATACGGAGGGATCGAAACATCGAATCCCCACCTGTTTCCATCTTCGGGATTTGTACAATCCGTTTTCCAGACTCGCCTTATGAATCTCAGATCCTCAACCAATCAAACCCGTCAAACAACACCACCCTCAGAACCTCAGATCTTTAAATCCTCAAACCCCACCCGCAGGTCGAGCAGCTGAGCGCGTTCACCGCGGAGCGCCACCTGGCCGCACGCGTGGACCACTTCTGGACGTCCGACGCGGCGCTGCTCGTCCTCCAGGGCGAGGCACGTGCCGACCGCGCGCACATCCAGCTGGCAAAGTTCCTCGTCGACGAGCACGCGGCCGCGCGCTCCGCGACCGCGCCCGCCGCGGCCGCGCAGAAGCACGTGGTGCTGGTGATCCACATGGAGAGGGCCGCCAAGACGGGCGCGCAAGGGTTCCGGGGGTTTAGCTTCCTGTGCGGCTGGCGGCAGGCGGCCGTGGACTGTTTGGAGCCGTCGGAGAATTCTGTCAGGTGAGATTGCAAAGGCTTGCTGACAACTTGAGGACATCATCTTTAGTGAGGGAATGTTTGGGAGGATAGTGGTAATTCTGAATGAGTTCTGTCATAAAAAGTCACTTCTTGTGTCCGTGTGATCGGTCCACCAAAGCTGCTGTATGACGCTCAATTGATGCAGTTCCAGGTCAGCGCCGGTCAAAGTATGCTCGTCCAGTACTCTCCTGCACGATCAAGACTGGATCAACTCCACGCTAAATCCTTCTAAGAAAAGCGTTGATTACGACATTACAAAAGCTGGACTTTTCGCTTGTTTTGAACCCCTGAATCAGGCGGTGGGGCTTGCCAAATCACATCCCAGAATGTGAAGACCCACGGCATCATCCGGCATCCACTCAATCAGAGTCCTTTGCGCAATACAGATTTTAGGCATTGTGGACATATTCGTTCCTCAATCCTTTGTGCAGGGCCCTGTGCCGAGGCAGCCTGGTCGACTTGCTCCAATCCCCGGGCTGCCCCTTCGCCTCCGTCGCGCGCCGCAAGCTGTACGAGGCCTTCTTGTGCATCAAGTACGACAACACCAACGCGTCCGCAGCGCACGTCCGCACCATGGTGGCGTCCGTGTCCGGCGACGCGGACCTCCTGCGCGCGCTCGGCGCGCGCGCGGTCGACTGGCTGCGCGCGAACGGCGACGCCATTGGCTGGCAGCGCCACGTGGCGTGCAGCCAGCGCGCGCTGCTGACGTCGCCGTCGCTGCGGGAGGCCCTGTTGAAGCGGGTGGAGGACAGCGTGCACCGCCCCTTGGCCATGCTTCTGTGCGCCCTCGAGCGGAACGGGGCCCTCGCCGGCTACTTCCACGCGCCGCCGGAGGTGAAGGCCGCGTGGCTGGATCTGATCCTGGACGAGCGCGCGCTAAACCTCGAAACCCTGCCCGAGCCGCGCGGCCTCGAGTGCTACGCGCTCCCGCCGCGCCTGCCGTTGGCGCTGCCCTTCAGCGGGCTCTACTGCAAGGCCGTCGAGGAGCTGCGGACGCTGTACGAGTCGGAGCGGACGCAGGATGCGGACGGTCCGGTTTCTGGTCCGAGGGCGACCGATCCGGGCAAACTCCTGGTCGCGGTCGCCAATTCGGTGCCCGGGACGCTGGCCCGGGTGGTCGAAGATTACTTCCCCCAGTACGTGCTTGACTTCGTGTGCCTGCAAGCTCCCCCGGTCGATGGCCTTTCCCCCGAGCAGGCTCGCCAGGCCTTCCTCTGGCTGCTGGAGCAGTCGGCAGAGATCCCCGGGCACCCGGTAGCCCTGCACGCCGCCTGCTGGGAGCTCGAGACCGCCATCGCCGAGCGATTGAATCTGCTCGGGGCGTGCAACCGGGCGCTCAGCTTCCAAGAGCTTCTCGGAAAGTGGGACGGAACCCGTCGCCGGGAACAGCCGCTGGAATCACTCGACGCGTTCTTGCTGGGGGCGTTCAGCGAGGCGCTTCTGCCGGACGAGCGCGTGCTCGCGCGGCTTGGGGGTTTGGAGGCTTGGCTGGCGGCCGCCAGCAGGGTCTTGCGGCGGATCGCGGCCATGGGCGCGGCGCGCGGCCGCGCGCTCGAGGGGTGGCGCGCGCTCCTGACGCTGATGCGCGACTTCATCTCGGTCGTCGCGCTTCCGTTCGAAGGCGAAGAGACGCGCGCGGCACTGCGCGAGCTGCTCCAAATCGCGCGCACGAGGGGCGCGGACCTGCTGACGCAAGCGGAGGGCCTGGACCAGATTCAGCACGTGCTCACCCGTCTGCGGGAAAGTGTCACGGCCGGGACGCGCTTCGAAGACTCCGTGGATCGTTTCTGGGCGCTAGTGCTCGGCGCGAGCCTCTCGGACAAACGAACGAGTCCACTCGTTGCGCGGTTCATCTGTAAGGCCGGTCGTTTCAACCGGTTCCTGAAGCCCGTGCTGGAGCGCCTGCTGACGGTGGCCGGGGAAAAGGTGGACCTGCCCGGGACGCTTCTGCTAGACGACGGGGGATCCGCTGTTCCGCTCTGCCTGAAAGTTTTGGAAGACGCACTCAGAGAGCAGAGGACGTGGACAGATGACGTGGACGGCCCTCTCGAAGCGCTCGTCTGTGACGTCATGCAAGGAGCGCTGTTCGGCTCGCTGGGTCCCGAAGCCGTGCTCGTGGCAAAGGAGGTTGGGGGTGACGTGGCAACTTCAGAAGCCGACGGGTGGAAGGTTGGAAGGCTCATCCCCTTGCTGACGTCAGCGGGAAGGCTGTTCCGCGCCGGAGCCGATGCTCACGGCATCCTGCGCCACCTGTGCGCGGCCGCCTTTCTGCGCGCGCTTTTGGGCGCGTTCGCGGCGGCGGCCGCTCACACCAGAGATCGGGACGCCTGGACCGTCGATGTCGAGCAACTAGAGGAGCGGGTTGTGACTGCGCTGGGGCGGGAGCTTCCCGCGGGCGCGCCCGGCACCGACGCCCTCCTGGTGTTTATCCTGAAGACGCTCCGGCAGCGCTTTTCGCTCCAGTCCGTCGGCGAGATCATCGAACGGCTGGGGGACAAAGTACCGAGCGACTCTTTTCAAGAAACCCTGCGTTCGCTCTCCTGGAGGAGCGCAGCTGGCGCGGAGAAGGCCCTCGGTTTCGACCCGTTTCAGCCGCGCAGCGAAGACGTTTCCGCGGTGTTCGATAGAGTGAGCGCCAGTCTCGAGCTCGCCGCAGCGCGCAACAACGCAGAGGACGTCAACGCGCTGGTGAAAGAGAGCGCCGCAGACCCCTCCATCCAGCTTGGACTTCTCTACGGCGTCGCGTCTTCTCTCTACGTCCAAAGAGCCGCAGGCGACCTCGGGCGGCCGCGTGAGCGCGCGGCCGCCGCTCTCAAGTCCGCGGTCCGAAGGGGCGACCTGCCGGGCAGCGTCGCGCGCGGGCTGGTCGCCCTCGCGGACAACGCCTTCTCCACCGGCAGAGACAGCGTCCTGTTCATGCGTCCCGACGGCGACGCCTCCGGACAGCACCTCGCGGCCGCGTGCGCGCACCTCGCGCTGGTCCTGGCGCCGAACCCGCGCGTCCAAACCCCCTTCGACCAGTACGCGAAACGCCCAGCCGCGGCCGCGGCGCACTTCTTCGTTGCGGGCGCGGCCGACATGGAGGCGGTCGCCGGGAACCTCTTGCGACGGCGCGAGGCGCTGACGAGCTACCGGTGCGCGTGCGGGGCGCTGTTCTTTGTGGGGAACTGCGGGGCCATCAATGACATAGCCCAGTGCCCCGACTGCCGTAACCAGATTGGTAGAGGGTACCATGAAGCGTTCAACCCGGGCGGGGGGCTGCAGAGGCTGGACGGACAGCCGACGATGGCTGCGGGGGGCGAAAGAACGGAGCGCCCGGGTAAGACCCAACTTTCTTATGTCGTTCCTTGGTAGGGTCTGTTTCTTTCCAGCTTATGAGGGCTCTTAGTGATTGGATGATACTCGTCAGCTCTTTTAAAGTGCAGACGTGGTGTGCCTATTCTGAGCAGTGAGGGATTGCGACCATTTAGTTACTGGGTCACGCAAGCGTTCCCAAGCTCCTGCGAGCGCATTCTTCAACTGCGCAGAGTACTTTCGTTGCTTCGTTCAATCACTTTCATATTCAGCGTAATCTGGCGGCTTCCGGATGCTATCAGAGAAACCTTTCCTTCATGTGAAACCCATGGCGGCAATCGGAATTGTCTTGGAAAGACAGGTGTATGCGTACATAGCTTTTGGGGCAGAAGCAAGAAGTGTCAGTAAGCAAGCAAGCAAGGAAATCAAGCAAGTTCGTAAGTTCATAGATTCACAAGTAGCTCACTACTTTCTCTCCCAACTCAGCTTGTTTACTTTCCTCACTTTTTGACGATTTGCATCACTATCTTCTCGTACGTTTGTTGTCCAGCCCAATGCTTTCAGGGTTTTGACTTTGGCGCTAAACAAGCATCCTTTTCCCGACGCACGCCTTATCGACGTGCCTTTCTGTGCAGGTTATCTGCAAGAGACGCCCGAGAGCGTGTCTTCTCTCTCGCACACCGTCCGGAACCTTTCCCCGGTCGCTTTCCGCATGCTCCACTTCCTCACCCACTCCGCCCTTCTAGTCGGCTCTGAGCTCGGTTTTCATTCCCCGGGGGAGCTCTCCGGTCTAGTTCTCGGAAACCGCTCAGCGGAGGATGACGGCAAGGCACGTGATCTGGTGCAGCGCCACGTGTGCAACGACTGGCGCCTCCTGCGGCAGCAGCTGGCGTGTGACGTGCAGCAGGCGTCGGCGGTCGTGCATTCCGTCCTCAGCTCCCTGGGGGAGGCTATCAGCGGAACGGCGGACAGCGGACTCTCCGAACTTCCCGGCCAGCTCACCGTGCCTGGGAGCGTCGAGGTTTGGGAGACGGCGTTTGCGGACGAGTTCGTACGTCCTGTGACGCAAGACACGCGTCCGCAGTCCGTCTTGGCGGCACTGACTCGTGACAAGGGAACGGAAGAGAGCTCCGCCGGAATCCGCTCCAGGGCTCTCAAGATGGAGATTGAGGAGACGGAATTCGCGATGACGAATGAGTACCGCGCGGAGTGGCGGCCGCGGCTGCTGCGGACACGTGGCCGCCCATCATTCTCTCACTTCCAAGCCACGTTCCTCTTGGACGCGAAGAACAACGACCGGTACCCCTTTCTGCGGGCGTTCCTGGAGCAGGAAGACCAGTTGGAGCTGGTTAAGGAGCTGTTTCCGCTGGTCGAGTGGAGTAACCAGGTGTTAACCCGGTTTGGGAACCAGGTGGACCGCCGGGAGGCGGAGCGGACGTCCGTGGAGCAGGCCTTGGAGCGTCTCGGACAAAGGTGAGGCGTACCACACGGTCTCAGTCTATTTGAATGGTTTCTTGAAAGTCTTCTTGCCAGAGATTTGCCAGGGTTTTTGCGCACGGAAGCAACCCCTAGTTTCTGACCCGAACGCCCTGAAAGCAGTCTGAAAAGTCGCCTCCATGAAGGCTGTTCCCGTTACGAACTTTCGATCAATGCCGATGCAGGAGGAATGTTTTTTAAGGTGCTAGTCGACTCGTCTCCTGTCAACCTGGTAATATGCTGAATCGGTTATGCTGATTCTATTACAATGCTTCCATCCCATGTGGGGTGCATATTCTTTCTCGCTACTCACCTTCCTCCAAGCATCTTGAGCCCACATCCACCAAGTCCCGATATCATCACGTTCTTAATAAGTCCTCTCATGCATCGTTCTTTGCAACAACCGCGGCAAATAATTGTTGAACCAGCGCTATCAGTAGTCGAGCGCCTTGGATGATGCCTCGTTTGCCGAGGTTCAAGATTCTTGTCGGCTCTGCCGTCAATTTCGCTCCCCTTTCATTGCTGACTAACCTTTTCTGTCTTCCTCAGGCCTCTCCTCCGGTCCCAATTTCAGCGCTTCACCGCTGCCTGGGACGCCCTCCGGTCCGAACCGCTGCGCTGGCAGTGTAAAGATCTGCCCCCGCCTCCGCCCATGGACCCCTCCCAGCCCCTGGCCTTCAGCTGCGTCGAAACGCGCGAGCCCGGCGTGTTCCTGTGCGCGATGATACACGCGCTCGCGCAGAGGCAGAACGCGCTCCTGGGCGCCGCGGCTGACGCGGCCGCGCGGGGGTGCGCGGCGCTTCGGGACCTGCAGTATGGAACAGGGGCGGAGCGCGCGGGCAAGCTGCCGGAGGTGGCGCTGCAAGACGTGCAGGTAAGTAGGGCCTTGAAGTCATCGAAGAAAACGGAGATGTTGCTGTTTTGAATCGTTGAGTATCCCTTTCCTGAGAGCGGTCGATGGACTCCTAAGAGTCGTCTTAGAGAGCCCGTTTGGAGATGAACGTGCAAAAAGCGCATTCGATAGGAGCCACGGATGAGATTGCTTGGGCGCATGAATCTCTTCAGGATTGCCTTCAGAAGTGGCTCATAGAACGACAAGGATCCTCTTAAAAAAGTCTTTCATGGTGTGGGCGTGCTGAACCGGTCGCCGCAGATGGTAATCCCTTAAAGAATTGCTTGGAGCAGAGGCCGATCACATAGCGTGACGGATCTACTCAGTCTTCCGGCTGCCAAAAAGCTATGCTTACTCAGAAAACCTTCTGACCAGTGGGATTGCCAAACACGGCAGCTTCCGTTTGCAAAAGCGGAGATCATCGAGAATCCAATTCACTCGCTCATACCATCAGGTTTTGATTCTTTCGCAGCCCCACCAAGTGATCAATTACGTGCGAGACGAGTCGCTGTACGAGCGGCACAGCTGCTGCCATCCCGACTTCGGGCGGGGCCAGGAAGTGCTGTACGACTTCGGCGGTATCGAGGCAGAGCTCGCGGGAGCGCTGGTCGCCGGAAAGGCGCTCCTCCAAACGGTGAGCTCTGCTGGGCAGCTCTCGGCTGGCCTCTTCGACGAAGCTTCGGAAGAGTTGGATTCAACGGGGCTTTCAAGCGAAAAAGCAGCGAACGAGCGCCGAGTTCTTGCGGTCCTTCCGGCTGGCTCCTGTGCTGGTGTTATGAAGATCCGTCGGTGTGTGGCGACAGGTTCTTCCAAATCCTTACCTTTTTGTGGACTGTGCTTGAAAAGGTGGACTTTCGGAGGCACCGTATCGGATGCATGATCGCCTATGCATCCAATGCTTACCACCAATCGCCTAATGCCGTTTTGATGGTACTTTGCCGGATCAATGGACCTGGTTGAATGCAAATCAATCGAAATGCTGGCATGTTAATCTGGCTTAATACCAAATCACTTGAGGGCCTCAGCCAGTGTTTTGAAACCAGGCATCCTGTAGACTGCTAGGAAGCTGTTTCGTCTTGATTCGTGGAAACTCGTCGTTAAATGACACCGAGTATCTCACAGTCAGTCTCGACTTAAAACTTAGCGTTTTTCGCTGTTTTTGAATGAGCTGCGCACTGCATTGATGCAGAAAGAATTCAGGTCAAGGTTAAACGCTCGTAACGCTAACCCACAAGCCTTGACCTGATCGAGGGTCCTCAAACCGTCTCCAGGACAACATCCGTGAGTTCCCCTACCGCCTCGAGCTCTTCCGCCACGTGTCAGCCACTTTGCTGTCCGACGTCGCCCAGAAGATCCCCCAGGAGACCTTCTCACCGGAACGCGCGCGAGCGTTCCGTGCGCTCGCGGCCGCGCGGCGCGACACCGCGGCCCTTCTCGGGGCCTTCGGCGTGGCCCTCTCAATGCTCAAGAAGACCGGCGGCGATCCGAACCAAAGCCTCGTCGAATACGCGCAGCAGTGGCTCCCCGACTACGCCATTCGACACTTCGAAGAGCCCTTCCTCGGGGGCTTCCAGCTCCGCCACGTGGCGGCCCTCTACGAGACCCTAGAGGAGTGCGTCGCGGACGTCATCCTGGCGTCTTCGGACGGCCTCGACGCGGCCGCGTACCGCGCGCCGCTCCCACCGGACGTCCGCCGGGAGCTGCTGGCGTCGACGGACCTGCACGGGGGCCCGCTCTCGGCCGACGTCTTCGCGCACGCGCTCAAGCGCTTCGCGGTGCGCTTCCTGACGTCCGAGCGCTGCGGGCCGGACGTCCAAGCGAGCCTGTACCTTGCGGACGCCGACTTTATGACGTGGCCGGACGGGGCGGTCACAGTTCCGGACGTGAGCCTGGAGGACGCGTTCCCCGAGCGGCTGCTGGTGGAACACGTGGCGCAAGCGTACGAAGTGCTGCAGGAACACATCAGCGTGAGCTTTTCAGCTTCCAGATTCTACGCTCTACTTATATCTTCGTCAAATGGGTGCATCTCTTTGCTTGCATAGGCCCTCTGGCCTTGTGTGCTCGACTACTTCGCGGCTTGAGTCTCGCCATTTTGTTTTTGATCTCGCTTTGTCACAAGGACAGCTTTCCGGGCCACTCTGCTATATATGCTCTCTGTATTTAAGGACGGTTTCCCGCGTTCATGCCTGCTTGTTTGATTTCCAAGGCTTCCAGATCCGACACCTTTTCAAAGCGAGAAGCTTGTACGCCCTGCAGTGAGCTATGCGCGTCCTCTTTTTAACGTTACAATGCCCCGGTTAGGACCGATGCAAATCCAAACTTCGAGGGTCATATAAAATTCTGCAACGCATCAAGGAGTTACAACGATAGCACAGAGTGCGACAACAAGCAGTGAGGTAGAGGTCAGCCGACAGAATCAGAGGGCCTTGAGGCGTCGGGAGCTCCTTGCTTTTAGTTGCTCCCGCCTTCATTTTTGTCTGTGCTCTCGTGTAAGTCAAGCCGAGCGAGATGCGCACTGCAAGTCTTCGAATACTGACGTTCGAAGGATTGGACACTGTATTTGTCGCTACGAGCTTGTCAAAGAAAACCTTCGTTATTTGAAAACTTCCAATTGAACCATTTCTTGAGCCGAGTACTAACCTTTTAAGTGCCCGCTCGCAGTTGGCCAAGCAAGGCCGAACGATGCCGTTGGACGAGGAACTGGTGTCCGAAAGCAATTCCGTAGCAAAACTGGCGGATCAGCCCTCCACATCGAAAGAGTCTCAAAGCAAGACTGGATGGTTGGGGATATTCGAGCGTTTGTACGGGTAGTCGAGACATGAATAGGGATATGTAGCTTAAATAGTGGTGCCTTCTGCTAGCTGCTCGTGGTGGGGTTTAAGGATATCGGACAGGCTATACTCGAAGTTAGTCGGTTCGTCGGCTAAGTCAGTCAGTCAGTCAGTCAGTCAGCTTCGTCAATAATGATTGATCAAATATACGCGCACAGGACTCTTTGCTGCGCACATTGCAAGGCTGTATATACATAATCTGCAAAGCCGGCTATAGCTTTAAGCAAGTTGCAGAATGCAACTTAACAATTGCGAGGCCGATGCGAGCTTAGAGATCCAACGGTCACTGATACTTACATCACATGGTCTCTGATTCTGAAGAACATGTGCATTAGGTAGTACGTTCACGAAACCTGCTAGTACAGTGCAGATTATCCTGACAAGCTCCAACCTGGGCGCGGGCCGCATGTACATACAGCTGCTTGATAAGAATTGGCCCCTGCTTAATTGTGTTCAACGCTGCATGGCAGAGAAGAAGATCATAGCCATGAGGGCGGACGATTGCGATATAGAATTAAAGGCCTTAATGGTGAACCGACATGGCCAATATGCAATCATGTTCAATGATGCACTTGCACCGCGTGTAAAGGGTACGCACGGCGCCAGGTATACTGTATCGTATTAGAATTATGGGTGCCGCGTGGGCCGGCCCGCCATGCAGCCGCCAGCGCTGCTTAAACGCATGTTTGTTACACGGGGGATCACTCGGATGCAACTTGGCTTAGAACTTTAGTGATAATGTGAACCAATTGGTCGCACCGTCACGTGGATGGCGGGCAAACTTACCCGGACTCCTTGGAATATGATGGCCCTATGTCATGCACGAGCCCTTTCAAGGTTGAAATAAGACTTGTAAATCGTATGCGGATTCTGATTCAATGATTGCCATGCATATAAGCGAACTTTTAACACATTTTGAAATATGATCCAATAGTCTCAACGTCACTTTGTAGACTTCTCATGTACCTAGAGATTCTATTAAACTGGCCCGGCAGGACACGCGTCGAAAAGAATTAGACTTGTCGCTCAATACGTCACTGCGCTTCGACTCCACTGCCATCAAGCTACTTGACTGTCTGTCTTTCGTACGGCGTTGGACAACGCTACTCGTAATGAGCACACGTTTTCTTGCAGACGGATGGTAGTTTTCGAAGACAAGCCTTGTAGTCAGCACCTTCCGGGAAGGTCTTCCCCGCTGGAAACGCCTGTAGGAGGGGCGACATACCTAAACTACGTCAGCGGCGTCCTTCGCGAATTCCTTCCGATCGCTCAAGCGGACGTGCACACTGGAATGAAAGTAGGAACGGACTCGAATGCGCTGCGTCCTCTACGCATTGCAGTGTCGTCCTTCGCAACTGAGAGTGTCCACAGAAGCAATTGCGGAAAGGGAAGGACGTCCGTTCTCAGGTAGCTCTTACTACCCGATGTGAGCTCTTATCGGATATAACTTCCGGACTGACAATCCAAAGAGAGGAGGCATGGACTGTTGAAATTGAACGATCACAACTGCCTACAAAAAGCTGGATATCATACCAAGGGCAGACGGTCCATCGACCAGAAAGCAAGCCGCAGAGACAATAGATATGGCACTACGACAATCAATCTACCTTCAACCAGTCTAAGTGAGTTGAGAAGCAACGTGGCCCTCGAAAGTGAAGGACTGAAGCACCGGAATAAAGCCGTCCTAGCTTGTTTTGTGTCTCTCACCTTGTTGCATGCTTTACTGTATGCGACTTGACAAGCTTCTCTGCAGGCGTGCACCTTTTGTTCGTTCGTCCTGCAACAGAGTAACAAAGGTTGGGCGGCAAGTGTAGGTTTCAGGTTTCTTTGCTGCTACGAACTGCTAGAAATTTGCTCCTTTTTCATTTTTCCAGCGGTTTTTTTCCGCTGAAGAATGTCCAACACTGCTCGATTGAAGCCCAGGGGACAGAAGAAGAATATATGCGTAGCTTCAAACGCGAGCCACTCCAGTTGGATAGAAATCTTAGAAACCACGGACGCGTGGCAATCAGGTATGAGTAAATACAAAGCACTCAAATTCAATCTTTCTAATGTGATCTGTCGTCCTTCAACGGCGACTCTACTCTGACCGCCTAAAAGCGTTTCCGAATGACTGCATACCTGACGAAACGTTTTTCGCAGCTTTCGACACCTTCTGTGTCCGCTCGTGAACAGACTTCTATGCAAGGCCGTTGTGAGAACTGCAGGCAAAGAGAGGTGGCGTCAGTGCTCACCTCACACAGCGGGTTTCGCAGAGTTCCGTTCCTGACTCGTCAGGGGCCGAGTACACGTCTATACACAACTTCTCACTCACATTCTGCAAGACAGCAACGACCAACGTTGGGAGGTTGCCCACATCCTTTTGAGCTGATGAAAACCGTATCGATGGAGATTGTGAGCTCAAATGTAGGAGATTCAAGGAAGGCAGCAAGGGAGCCAGACTGACCAACAGTAGAAGAAGCTGAATCTACTCCGTTTCAGCAAGAAGTTTTTCGAGGAAGCATCAGTGCAAACTTAGGCCAAGAGAACAGACTCGCTTGCCATCCATTGGGACTTGAACGCATGCTGTTGGGCCGATTTTCTTGTTTGTAACAGTCCGTCGGCTGTCGCTTTGACAGAAAACAATGCTTACATCGTTATCCAAAGAGGCCTCGACCGCACGCATTTGCTCCGCAGTTGGCAGTTTACATCGCTTGGCGTATGCTAGCCGGGTCGGGTACCCCATGTAACCTTCAGCTGGCTCTATACCGGAAGCTTTCTGCAACAGAGCAGAGAGTGGAGCCACTTTCATTCTCTCCCAGTTCTAAAATTCTTTCCAAGAAAACCAGCTCTTGAAACACAAGAGAGAAGTATATACCCTTCATCTCATGTGCAGCCAATACCAAAGATAAGGAGACACAAAACGCCGACATATTGAAGCAATACGACGAGGTGCCTGCTCATTTCGGCACTTTCAAAGATAACAATCTTTTCATCAGGTAGCCATTTCCAACCCAGCCAAGGCAATGACTGAATACACCTAGTAACCACTCTCGAGAGATTTCATAACCTGCAATTCCCTTGAGGGTCTTGTCATGAAAGCAAACTACAGAGCATGAGTGAAGCCGCAAAGTAGGCCCCATATGGCCCCAACATTGGTTCTGCCCCAGAGTCTTTCATAACATAACGTACAAGATTCTTGTTGCAGGAGAAGTATGGATGAAGAATTGGCATTGTGCCCCTTTGCAAAGGTTTTCCACATCACAAATTTGTGCGGGGCTCAAGGGTCCCCCAGCGTGGCGCCAGCGTCTCGCTCGTCGCCTCCTATCTGAGGTCAAGCAAGACTTCTGAAGGTACTAATGAGGCAGACGCTTACCTGCCACTTTGCAACTGCATCTTTTGTTTGGGTGCCATAAAAGCCTGTCGGTTCTTCCGAAAAGTATCCCTGCAGCCAACAAGAAAATGGTAGTCTCAATCAGCACTTCCCCTGGTGCAATTGCGCCCAAATCGATCAGGTTGGCCCCCCTCATACAATTGTGGCCCATAAAGGTACTGCTTATACATCGGCAGTGAGTGTGCATTCCTTGCATCGTACGATTGTTCCATCAACCCGATCATCACAGAAATTGACCTTAGCTATAACCAGATTGCCAGACGCCTTCAAGAAATGCATCACAAAACGGCACGGTTGTGGTAAATCAGAGTGCCTTAGTTTGAAACTTCCACCAACTTGATAGATTTGTGCTTTAAAGAGGGCGTTGGGGGACCGGTCCCCCCTGACGTCACATAAGCGACATCAAAGTGAGAATTTATGGTAGGTTGTCGCCAAGAACTTGGTATCAGCGGTGTTTCCCCCGAGCAGTGCCCCTGCTAAAAGGTGACCGGTTATGACGTAGGGTAGACGCCCCCTTTAAGTCAGCAAAACAATGCAATTCACCTACCTCATGACTTAGAAACTGTTGCAGACACGATACATCTCCACCGTAAGTATTCAGTCCCAGATCTCTAGGAAAGTAACAGTATTTCCCCGACAGGGAGTCGGAATCTTCGACCGCCTGAACTGCCCTCTCCATTGTGTCCAATGGCTGATCCACGGAGCCTGGTGCTTCCTTTTCAACTACGACACAATTGCTGATGCCTGGAGCTGCTTGATAATCTGCAATCTGATGATTACCTGAGGCTGTAGCAGTGAGCACCACCACTTTGACAACTTTGTCAATTTGAGCTCCACCTTAGGTGAAGAAGAGAACGGGGTAAGCTGTCTTGTTCACTAGCAAAACAGAAGCCGCCAAAGAGTATGTACCTGAGTGTCCACTTCTTCTAAAACAGCTTCTTCTTTTGACAAAACGCCTGATCTGCAGCGCACTTCGTCTGCAATGTAGTGAATGCTGGTAAAGCGTGAAGCAAAGGTGGACAAAGAAGTTGAGTCGTAATTCCGTCATCCAAATTCCTCTGCGCTTATAATTGCCTAGGGTCCTATAACCCGGAAACCTGAACAGTCATATAAAATACCAATGGACTTCCCTGCGGGGCTGCAACTGAGTATCTTCCGGTCGGTTCTGCGAGGCTTTGCGGAGATCCGGGTGAGCGCTGGATTGGAGCGGAACGGAAAGCATGGCACTGAAAAGGCAAGATCGAACATCGCGAGCGGAACAGCGCCCCCGGAATACATCGAAAGCCTACATTATTAGCTGAATAATGGATCAAATCAGTTTGGGGGTCAACATGTATGGACGTATGACGGTATGACTCTGGGACCAGATTTTATCACACTGACAGGGTGCAAGTCTTGAGTCGCCCATTGTTGACCTTCCAATTTCCAACTTTCAGGCTCGGATTTTCATCGAGGCTATGGCAGAATGTCATGAACATCTTCCGTGTTGAGGACCTCTTCTGAGGTGAAGTCTGTTGTGGTTGGCGGTTCAACCTTTGATGATTTCAACAGGACGAGCCGGAGGGACCTTTGAAGCATTTAAGCCACATGTTTTGAATCTGAGTTGGGTGCCTCACGGAATGCAATGACGGGCGCCAAGAAATCTGCGTTTGCTGGCCAGGGCAAGGGCTGGCGCAAGGGGGTGAAAGGCATCGGAGTGAAGAAAAAGCCAAGCGATGGGGATGAGCCCGTTAGAACAAAGAAGCGCAAGGTGAAGCGGCCACAGAACGGCGATGGGGAGGCAACTGCGCGAGTTAAAATGGAGCAGGCAGGTTTGGAGGGCACAGGAGAGGAAGGTGCGGAAAATGAGGCCCAATTGAGCAAAAATGTGGTGCCAGAGGCTGAAATTGTTGAGGAAGGTGCGGTGGTCAGATGGACAAACAATCTGGAATAGTGAGAGAGTCTGCATTGGTTGGGTGGCTGACTGTTTGTGGAAATCTTGTTCAGTGGTGGTGAGCGGAGATTGCCATCTCAGTTGGACAACCATCAAATGGCCAAGAACGACATATCTGGCTGCATTGAGGTGTGTCTTACATGCTTTAAACTGGTCCGCTCTTCCTTATTCTGTCATGAAATGGATGGGAAGCTTTCACTCTGCCGCGTCAACTCTTTAAAGTCTGGATGTTTCTAGTGCCTACCAATTGTCTATACCCATCAAAATACCGGTGGTTTGCAGGAATCTTGGAAGGGGCGAGATCTGGCGGCTCAGAAACTGAGACCGACAGCGCAGGGGAGAAAGTGCCCCCCCAGCGGAAGCCTAGAAAGCCCTTTCAGCCTGGCCCCCCGCTAGGATCAAACCTCGAGGTCTCAACAATTCCATCTGACCTGGAGAGTGAGGGATCGGAGGATGACCTGGATGAGAGAACCCCGGAGGGGCAAGCGGCGGCGCGAAGGCGGGGCTTCCGTGAGATGGGGGACCTGTACGGAGACGAGTGCCTGGCTTTCTGTGGGGAGTTGTTGGCACTGCAGAAACAGTGGCGACAGGTAAGCTACTTTTCAGTGTCCACTTCGGTTCTTTCTTTCTCTCTTCCTTCTTTCTTCTTTGCTTCTCCATAGAGGCAGGGGTAAACTCACCTAAGCATCCGCATCTTTTGTTCAGGTTGCTTAGCTAAGTGATTTTACAAGCAATATCCCTTTGTTTGGTTCTGTTGGATAACATGGTAACCCAGCAGTATCCACACAAATTGCAGGATACACGTCTGGTCTGGGTGTCGCAGGCAGAGCTTTTTTAACGTCACTTTCATGATCTGATGACACCAGAAGGCTTTGTTCAGGCTCGCTTCCATAACACGACTGACTGTGTTGAAGTTGTCAACAGGACTTTGAAGCTCCAGCCCCCGGGTATGTCGTCCCCCTCACCGAGTTCCTCTTCGACGAGGCCCGCGAAGCCCCCGGTTCTGCCCCCCCTTCCTCAGAACCCCCCCCTTTCGTGGCCCTCTTTAAAAAGCTCCACGCGCCCAAGCTTTCCTCAGGTCCCAAGCGCCTGTGGCAGAAGTCCGAGGACGGCAATCTGTTCATGAGGGGGCAGTCCGGAAACATCGTCATACGACGGAAGAAGCTCAAGGAGAAAAGGCGGAGGCAATCGTCTGAGGGGGAAGAGGATGTGACGGAAAATGCGGAGGGAGTGCTGGTGCGGCGACGGAAGACGAGGAAAGATAAGGGGGTGGCCAAAACGCACGGCAAGTACGTGAAGCCAGGGGACGAGGGGCAAGAAGGACAGACCGTGCTTTTCTTAACGCCTGAAGAGGAGGTGAGCATACTTGGGGCTGCGACACAATTGCTCGTGAAGCAATTCTTCTCACCAATGGCCTTTCCATTGGCCCGTCTGCTTCAAATTCAAAGTGGTCGGTAGCTTGTGGCCAGCCAGAATCTTGTTGCCTGCCATCCGACATGCTCTGTTGACGGCTTTGAGTCGGGAGGGCATCCAAGGGCAATAGAGTGTTTGATACTTGTTGTGTGCGAGAGAACTTATCTCAGTCGAAGACGATCAGCTTACGTAATCTGGTAATTGTGAGCAATTCTGCCTGCCTTGAAGACGCAACGGCAGCTGTGCAAACTGTCAAAGGTCGCCTCTTCCTTACGAACTTAAATAATCCAGCTGTCACCAAATCATCTTCGGGCGTTCCATAGAGTTGCGTGGATCACCGGTCACTCACTCGGAGAAAGGATCTGAGATTGGGATTCCGGCCTACTAGTGCCTCACTTAACCCAGCCTTTGCTGACGTCAGGACCTCGCCAAGATGCGGCGCATGATCCAGAACGAGCTGGCGGCCTCGGTCGAGACTGGGCCGATCGATGCCCCACGAAGCCAAGCCCCGTGGACGGATCCGGAACGGGAGGCGTTCAAGCGGTCCCTCTTCCTCTTTGGTCTAGGACGCTTAGAAAAGGTGCAGAGGTGCGGCTCGTTACTTCGCCAACTAGCTAGGAGGCTGCTGTGGCTGCTTGTTTCAAGAGGCTTGCTTTCAGTTTCCCCCCGACTAGCTAGAAGCCTGCTCTGGCTGCTTGTGTCAAGAGGCTCTGAGATGTACTTTGCCTTTCGCTCTGTGAGGAGGGTTGCATTTCTTTGCTGGAGCTAGCTTTCCATATCGATAATTGCCTTAGGCCCCTTCAGCAATAATACTTGATGATGACTCATCCCTGTTTCTGCTTCTTCTCCCCAGCCACATGCGGCAGCGCCACAAGAAGTCGCAGGAGCAGCCTAGCATAAGTGGACTGAATCTCACAAAGCTTCTAAGTCTTCTCTCCTCGTTCCCTCACCCAGCCACATGCGGCAGTGCCACAAGAAGTCGCGCCAGCTGCTGGGCGATGTGACCGACGCAGCATACCAGCTGTTGGAGCAGTGCCTGGCGCACATCGAGGGCTCCGACGCGACGCTCACGCAGAAGCGGATGCAGGACCTGCTGAAACGGAGAGCGCATGGGGACGACGTGGAAACCGGGCCCGAGGTACTACTGCCTCCTCGAGCGAAGAATCAGCTTTTGAGGTTATGCTTTTCCAGCTTTTTTAGCTTTGGGGTCTGAAGGTTTGGGAGTTCGCAGTGTTGGGGACAGGCTATAAGTAGAATGTTTCCTTCGCACCAATGAGCCGGGAGATTGATCAATTATTGGAGGTTATGCTGAGGGTTCCTATCTGTTTCACGAGTCGCCTGAAGGTCCTGAATGAAGCAAGAGCAGGCGGGTCTGACCTAAAATTCACATATATGTCGATTTATTCGCTCCAATCCTGAAGGTCGATTACGTCCATTGGTTCGTTCTCAGTTTCGGCAGGGGCTTTTCACTGTGCATGACGACTAAAAGTTGAGGGTAGCCAAGCCTCCTGTGAAGGCACCAAGCATTCCTGCCATTGCAACTCTGCTGAGAAGGACGCTGGCTCTTCCTCTCATGTAAACTGTCTTCCTTACTAGAAGAACAAACAACTCCACTACTTGTTCGCGCACAGAATTTATGTCCCTCGCTGAAATCTTTGTCCAAACGCTCGACGACCCTCTTCACAGGTGTTCGATGTCAACGCCGCACCAAAAATATCCTCCAGTCTTATTGTGCAGCTCATGCATTTAAACCGAAAAGCGCCTATCTTACTTCTTCCCGCGCCTATCTTACTTCTTCCCAGGTGGCTGCGCGCGTCGGCGTGTTTGCCAAGCTGCCAACCAACGCCAAGTCGTGGGTGCGTCGCCTGCAACTTCTGGACGGTTTGGACCACGCGCTGCACGTGTGCGGCAGCAAAGCCACGCAGAAGGACGCGTTCAAAATCATCTTGCTGATAGCAGAGGACGGCACAAAGCCTGCCACGTGGTGGACACGCAATGCTGACATTGCGCTGATGGTGGGCGTCTACCGGCACGGTTATGCAAACTACGACGCAGTCAGGGTGGATCCGGAGGTGGGTTAAGGGATTTGTTTCTTATACCTGTATGGCGGTCAGGTGTACACTTTTGAGGTGTCTACATGCACAATCTGCTCGTCACGATTATGTGGATGGGTGGGCAGAAGGTTGGGTGGTTTGTTGGTCGACGATCTGGGAAACGCCGAGATTCCCGCATTCTCGGTCGGTTGGATTAGCTTAAGTTCAGTTGCTTCTTTCTCGAGTTGGATTATGCTGAACCAACCAAAGCGCTAAAAGCAAGCTCAGTGCTGTTGCGGTTCTCTTTTGCAGTTTGCAGAAGCATTTGCGCCAGCGCTCGAGGCAGAGGGCGCCGCGGAGCCCGTCCGTCGGAAGCGGCGGCGGAAGAAGCAAGCGGAGGGCGAAGGAGAGGAGGGCGACCAAGAGGACGCAGACGGGGAGGGAGTCGTCGCCGAGAGTTTCATCGAGAGCCTCGTGGAGGGGGACCTTGCGGCAGGGGGCTCAGCGGAGGTAGAAATTCCGATAGGGGGGGTAGTTGAGCCCAGTAGGCTGGCCCCCGGATTGGAGGTGAAGTTGGTCGGAAGCGGGGGGAGTGGGGAAAAGCGCCCACTGATTGATCTGGACCTTAACGCCCCAGCAGAGGACGTGTCCCCCCGGGGGGGTGACGGTGCGGGGGTGTCAGGAGGGGGGTCGGCGGAAAAGTCGGAGAAGGGATCCCCGCCGGAGAAGAGTGGGCCGGGGGAGGATGGAGAAGGGGGCGCGAAGAAGAAAGCCGGGAAGAAGAGGAGAAAGAGTGGAGAGGAGGAGGGGGAAGAAGATGGGGACGAGAAAGAGGGCGTGGGGGGATGGCCCGCATCGGTCCCGCTGACTCTGCGGTTGAAGAGATTGATCACGCATCTGGCGCGGGGGTTGAAGAAGCCGGTCGGGATTCACCTGCAAAAGGTGAGCGTTTCGGGCCAGGAGTTGCGTCTAGGATCATGCAACCGTAATTTAACTGAGGTCATCTCAAGCAGCTTTTTTCGTGCTAATATTGTCCTGCAACACGTTCCAAGGAACATGGCTTGAGGAGTTGCTCTGATGGCCCCCTTCGCTGTATGGGATCTAGGGCGGGCCACGATGGGGGTGTTAAGGCATTCTCACAGCCCGGCTTGTCGTTTGCAAGTCCTAGCAAATCGAGTTGGAGCCAACGGGAGGTTTTTCAGAAGCCGCTCCTATCTCGCTAGCAACTTTAATCTGGAAGGGTTTGAGGAAGAACGGTAGAGCTGCATCATTCTGAAACAGAAATAGGGGTGCGCCAAGAAAACAAAGTAGTCAGCAGTACCGTCGAGAAATGACGTCGACTTTTGAGGACCTGTCTGTTCCACTCTCACATGGGCAACATGAGCCGGTACCATTCAGTCTTCTGTTCCAGTTCAAGCTAGCCGTGGTTACACTGTCAAAAGTCAACGCTTTTTTGGAGCAGGAGGAGGGCCCCGCCGCGCCGGCGGCTGGCAAGGCGGGCAAGCGGCCGGCCTGGTCCAAGAAGGAGAAGCAGGATCTGGTGCGGGCGCTGACCGCCTTTGGGCTCCCGGAAACACCAGGTATGAGGACACCGTGGCTTCTTGGAGAGTAAGCGTTACCTCAGTGCAGGACGGACGCTCGTACTGAACTTGAACTCTTTATGGGTACCACTTTTAATAAGACAAGACGGCCAGGACCAATTACTTCGTAGCTTGTGCTGCTGTTTGAGTCTTCGCATCGAAGAATGAGCGTGAGAAGTTTGGGCGCTTAGATTTGATTCGCAGTTTAAGAAGGGCGATACCTTCGTGTACTTAAGATAAAGGTGCGAGGACTCAAAGTGGAGCAATCGTCAGGAAGGAAGGAGGGAGAACGTGGACTCCCGAGCCAACGTAAACGAATCCTCCTAGAATATACACCCCAAGGATCGACGGTCAGGTTGGTCGTTTTTACCAATCCAACCATCGATTCGAGGGGCTATAGTGGAGGGGGATTCCTTAGAAAATCTTCCGACCTGTCAGTCGACGCGAAAGCCAACCCATTTTTACTCCGTTTCCAATTTCCAGACGGCCAGCCGGACTGGGCGCAGCTGCTGCAGTCAGCGGGCCTGCCCAAGAAGGCGGAGAGCAGTGCGCTCGCGTGCTTCGAGGAGCTGCTGGCAGAGGCGACCTCGGTCCTCAGGGGTAAGGCCCGCAGGTCGCCCGACCGGTCTGACTGTACCGGGAGACGACTGAAAGCCCGGTTCCTTACGAAAATTCAGATTCCTTATGGACCGCTGTTTGTTTCAGAGCAATTTGTCGCTTTGAAACAGCTGAAATGCACGGCGGTGGAGTCCATGTGTCTGTGACGAAGTATGGGGAATGTGCAGCCTAGACGTGTCTCCTCAGAACGGCTTCGTTTCGAGGTCCACCCGTTAAGATGGCACCTGTTCTGAGGGCTGCTTGCTTTCAAAAGCTGTCATCTGTTCAACTTTTCGTGCCAAAGAACGCTTCTTTTGCCTTGCTGCAGACAACAAGGCAATGCGGAAGCGGCAGCGGAAGCCCATCAAGCACATGTGCACATGCACGGTGAGGCCCCTTGGCTTTAGCTTATGCGACGTTCACGTATGCTTTGCAAACAACATAGAAGCTCCGCGGTCTTTGTCTTTTGGCACTAGTTTCTTCCCATGGTCTTTGCCTGATGGCGATCAGGGTCTGACAAATTCACATATGTGTGTCATTTTGCCAAGAATGGTCGCAATAATATGCACTGCTGCTTAGATTCAAAGAGACTCAACCGTGTTGAATTGCAATCAGAGACTGAGCCGTGTTCGATGATCTGCAGATTCGAGGATTCTTGACTTTCATTTGCAGTGCTCCCACTGCAAGCAGAAGCGCCTCGAGTCGTTACCTGGTCCGCAGCAGAAGGCGCGGAGGAAGGACGAGCACGGCGGGGAGGTGCGTGGCCTGCCCGATCGATTCTGAACCGACTTCAAAAGGGATTTGAAAATCGAAAAAATATTTCCATCTGAACGGAGACCTGCGCGTCACACAAAAGGCCAAGTTGACAGAATTCAGAAAAGTTGAGGCTGTGCGAAGGACGGTTGCAGACCTGCTAGTAGTGTCTACAAAGTTTGACCTGGTGCTTCCATGCGCATTCGTGCTTTACCGAAAGACTGATGCTGCCTTCGCCTGGGGTCGCTTGGGGATCCATCTATTGTGTTTATCTGAATCAGGCTGGCGACAAAAACAAAGCGTCAATCTAGCGACGAACACACTGTCTTTTTGCTGCAGCTGGGGCCTCCTGTTTTGATCAACGTGATTGCCGCCAAGAAGCTGTTGGACCGCCTGGAGACGCTTGAGATCCTGCGCAAGGCGCTCGCGCTCATCCCAGGGGACTGGACCAGCAAGGTGCGGATATGTGCTTTTGTCTATCTTCCATGCTTGGATACTTGGCATCGCACTTGGGTGAAGTTGAGGGTCAGGTCAGCCAAGCATTCGCAGTGAGATTTTGAGGAAGTCCGGTTGTTGCACGGACGATGAGAGCAGACCTACTGAAAGCCCGAGATTGGCTAGAGACGCACAGTCAAATAAGGCCAGTCTAAGGGGGCCAACAAAGGTCAAAGGCGAGCCTGACTTTCGAGTGCCACAGCCGTCGCCACTATCTCCTGTATCAGGCAGTTTTCTTTGTACGCTCCTCTGCATTCCAAGCCATTGCAAACCAATCCATGTCATTGCACGCGAGGAAGTGTCTGTCCGTCTCCCAGTACATGCTCCTCTCGAGTCTGCAATGAAAGACGGCTTGCGAAAGTCTCAATCAAGCAAAGCTTGACTCGGGCCCCTTAAACTCGCTCCCCGAGAGGGGGAGTTGCGACGGAGCGTTCGTTAGTTGCGACAAAGGCGGAGATTATAGTATATTGTCGAAACCCAAAAACCTCGCACCTAATCAATTGCAGATTGGCCGTGCAACATCTTGGGTGCGAGAGTAAGGTGCCCGAGTGACATCCTCAGATATCCATTTGCTGTGCGCCTGCAGGAGCTGGGCTTCTACCGCACGGCGGACCTGCCCCGGTGGTGGCAGGCCGGGCTGCACGACCGGGAGTTTTCCCTGGGGGTCATCAAGCACGGCATCGGCAACTGGGCCGCAATTGGGGGGGATCCCTCGCTGGCCTTCCCGCAGCCGGAGGACTTCAAGAACGAGGACGAGCAAGATGAAGGGGCGGCGCCCGAGGGCGGAGCGGAGAGCGCTCCTGCGGAAAAGGGGGATGACGTCAGGGTGACGTCAGGGGCAGGCGAGGAGGGCGGGGGGGAGGAGGAGGGGACGGCCGGCGACAATGTGGGGGGACACAAGGAGGGGAGTGCGGAGCCACCCGGAGGGGGGTGGGCGTTTCCGGGGAGCAAGGTGCTGCTGCGGCGGCTCAAGTACAATACGCAGATCCTGAAGCGCAGCGTAGCAAGGGTAGGTAACTGCAGTCTTTCTATCCAAAGAACGCAACAGAGACTCCATTGATGGATAGGTATTGTTTTGTGTCGCTTGTGCCCCTGCGGGGTGTGCATAGGCCAAGGAAAGATCCTGATGCAAGTCTTTGATCATTCCTGTCGGAGCTTTCTGCCATCTTGGAACCTAAACAGCGGTGATCAACAGCGAGGACGATAGTACGAGGTTTGTCAACGCTTTCGGCTCCAGCCGGTTGTGTCTAGTGACTAGATGGTCTATTTTTCGACTCTTTGCATAACATGGCTGCCTATCCAACTGCGCAAATAAACATTCTTCAAATTGTTTTCCATCCTTAGCAGTCCCACGCTTTTCCATAACGAAGATGTTACATGATCGCGCGTCCGTGGATCGTGCAGCATCAGAAGAAGACGTTGCCGGCGTCCGAAGCGGACCACCGTCCGGACCCTGGCAAGGCGCCCAAGCGGCAGGGCCAGGAATCCGCTGTAGACGGTGCGCGGAAGCCGACGAAGCGGAGAAGGTCCAACGACGACGAACAGGGGGCTCATCCGAAAGACGATCCGCAGCCCAGTACGGTTGGGGAAAGCGAATCCATGCTAGGAGGCGGGGGTAACCCGCTTGACCAAGCACTGGCCGCCTCGGTGGAGACCGAGGCGGCTGGGCATGATAGAAAGCCGGAAGGTGAATCAGGAGAGGACAATATGATGGTGGATGCGGCTGTTTAGTGTTGAATCGATCGGCTCACCTAAAGTGCCCTACAGACTATGGAAGGAGGGCTCTGTAAGGCAAAGTTGCGGGTGCTTCTCCCCCACAATTTTGACAAGCCTACGACCTTGTGCATGCGCTGTTTGGTATGTGCAACAATCGAGCTGTTGCGCTAGCTACATTGGCGGAATAGCTCTGCCGACAATGCATGTTAGGTGCAAACACGCTTCCCGCTGTCTAGCATTATGTTGCACTTTGTCAAGCAGGTGCTGACGCCTCGAGCATTGACTTGCTGATTATCATCATTGCAGCGCATTGGAGAATCTGTGATCGTCGAATATACTCAACACAACACAAGTTCAATACACAAGGCGTGTTGCAAGAGGAACGCGTTTGGTGTTGAAATATCGCATACAGCCCCCAACTTTGGCAAAAACTGATCACATGGTGTTGCATGATCTGGTTGCACATGACAATGATCGACGTACCGTGGTCTCAATATACGTGGTTCAAGAAGGCTACTACCATGCCAAGGATTGTGTCATGGCATGAAAAGCTTAAAGCCCAGATTAGGCAGTGGCCCATGTTGCATGTCGTGCATGCTTCTGTTCTCGGTACCTAAATATTAATGAATTTTGGCACATGCATGCAAGAGACCTTCAATCACCGAAACCCTTTACAACATGGATCGTGACGTACGCCCGGGCATGGCTTGAACCGTTCATGTGGGCTTAATTGCCGCTGGTAACCGATTCGAGGCTGCTAACTTGTAGGTTAGCTGAACGCCAGTCAGGTTGATTTGTTGACTCCTCTTTACCTCTCTGTTTGCACTTCGTGAAGTTTCTCGGACGAAGCAGGCTCCACCACAATGAGAGGAACACGAATGATAGTTCAAGGTATCACCGTACTGACGCATTCAAAAAATGGGGGAAAGTAATGGCAAAAAAGGATGCCTCGATCGACAGCTTTGTTGTCTTCAACGTGAACGGCTTGAGCCGTTGCCTGAGAGATTCGAACTCTCGCGGGGAAACCCCATGTACTTAGCAGGCACACCCCTTAACCACTCGGGCAAAGCAACGATCGACGCGAGGCGCGACGTCAATTTCGGGCGTCGTAAAGTGTATGTAGTTTTAAGACGCTTCAATTCAGCCTTGGTCTTGCACATCCGGGGCAAATGTTTCAAATCAGCAATTGAAGATCATGGATACATGGAGGCAAATGGCGGAGCTCATGGTGGGCTAGAGAACCTGTTCGAGTGTCAAGTTTGTGGGGGCCCTTGTAACGGGAAGGTGACCTGCAATGGCTGCAGAGCATTCTTCTACTGTGGGGCAAAGCATAAGGTGAGTCGTTGCTGCAGATCAGCGGATGCAGCATTGTGCACGGCAGTTGGTTCAGTTGCTTGATGCAGGGGTGGTGTGAAGTTTCTATGATTCTTGTGCTCTGCTTTTAGCGTTTGGGCAAGCTCAGGCTTAGTGCATAACTTTCTGCAGCCCCGGTTCGGGTCCTCTCCAAAGTTGAGTAATGCCCCACTAAGTCTTAGTTGTATTACAATGCTGTTGCTGGAGAGAGTTTTGACAGCGCAAGCTGAAACCTTCTGCTTCAACTTTCTCCAATCCCTCTGAAATGCTGTGGCCTCTCTGCCTTTTCCAGAAGCTCCATTGGAGAGGGGACCACTCCAATGAGTGCAGTCGAATGGCTCAGCAAATGGCGAGGGGGCTGGCATTGGCAATGGAGCTGCCCTTCTTCTGTGCAATCCCCATTGAGGTACTTAGAGACCTCCATCACTGCCAGCAACTACTTCTAAGAGAAATGCAGGCAAAGTTCACTTAGGGCGCTGATTAAGCTTCTATCCATTGTACATGATATGCTTCTGATCAGGCCCAAGGCAGGTGAGAGAATACATGCACCAAGGCGCGCTGCACTGACCTCCAGGTACCAACTCATGGAGATTGGTCCCTCCTGTTCTAGGCCTGGGCATACAGGATACAACCGCCTGCCTTTGAAGTCGACATTCCTTGACTACAGTCGCTTTCAATACTCTGATGTTGATTACCCCGCCTCTCCCTTGCTTACTGCAGATATCCTCTGGGCTAGTCCCCATATGTTCACTCCTACAGACCAAAGAGATCCACAACCAAGGCATCTACAAGGCAGTGTGTGATTGTTCTTACAACGATGGGGGTACGATGGGGACCCTAGGTGAGTCGGTGCGCCTTTCTCTATCCCGATCTTAGTCAAGATGTTTCCATATGATCCTAGAAAAGTGTCTCTCATGGTTCCTAGCAAATCATAGCCTGCTGTTACCTTCAAATAAGAAGATATGTATGTCGTCTAAGCTTGAGAGCTGGCTGACAAGCAGTCGCCATCAAACGGATTTGACTTGGACGCTTGTTCAAAACCTTTATTTCCGACAAGAGGATGCTCTGCGGCCTTAGCCAAGAGCACCTTGAATCAAAGGTTTTAGGGGACGAACTCAAAAAAGGTCTCCTTGTGCAGAGTCTGCGAAGTGGCTGCCTCCTACAGCAGGTGCACCTCTGCAAGGTACACCTCTGCGCCTTTCCAAAAACCCCCTTGAGCTTGATGGTTGCTGGTCTTGCTCGCTCTTGTGCTTTGCCGTAAAGATCGAATCGTAGCCCTGCTAAATCTAATCATTCCTCTCGATTACTTCTAGGCATCCATCGGGCTCAGTATTCCATGAGACAAAATTCAGAATTGGAGCAGTAGCTCGAACCATGGCAAAAGCGGGCCTGGCGCTTTGACATTGACCTCTACAACATTCTATTGAAATCGTTTCTGACAGATGCTACGCAGGTCAAAGAAGAAGATGCTCTGACTTAGATTTACCGGGCTCTCTCTTGAAGTAGCCTTACGCGTATTCTTTTCTGGTTTCCGCAGGCTCAAGCCTCCGGAGTTGGCAAGAGTATTGCACATGGCGAAGCCTGCCTGTCTCCCACCCTGATCTCTTGGTTCTTCACTGGGTGAGGGTCCCACTTCTTACATCTCCCATTCTGTGCACCTGCACAGGCTGCAGGAAAAAGCGAAGAGTTCCAGAGCCCGTTTGATCAAAATTGACATGCCATTGATCTCCGTTAAGAACAACCGATTCGATGCTTCCAGTCATCTTGGTTGCCGACTCGTCTGTGTCCAATCCTTTTTTCCATTCGCAGTTGATCAGCGCATGCTCTGCACTGGAAAACTTAATCATCGGAGGACCTCAAGCAGAAAGCATGCCAAAGTATGTCGAGTATCGCTGTAGCCTTGATGAAGAGAGCTGGCGAAGCAGTCACAGCTTACTCTTTCGACGTGCAGGTCTTGACGATTTACCAAGCTTACCAGCTTGCCACCAGTAGTGGGCCGCTTCGCAAATCAATAATGGAAGGCTCTCCGCTGAGAATCCACTACCTAGGTAGGTCCCCGTCCCACGACTATCTCAACGTGTACACTTGAATTTGTCAATCTGCGCTTTGTGTGTTCATTCGAGGAATCTGTTTCTGAGTTGCCTTGTCGTTTCCACACTCAATTGTTTTGGAACGGGTTTGCGTGCTCATCACATTTGAAGAGGGCTTTCTGGCTTATCAATATCCTTCTTGTAAATCCTTCTTGCTGTTCATCATCTGCTTGCACTCTTCAGTCGGCCGAGTCCCGAAGTAGCACACAAAGCTCACAAAGCTGCATTTTTGTATTCTTTTGTTGCAGGCCCTGAGAGAGAACTAGACCAAGTCGCCGTCTTTGCTGAGCTGGCATGGTTGCTGCCAGTCCCACAGATTGAGGTCTGCTTCATTGGCCCCAGGGTTCCAGCCACCAGGTCAGCAAGTGCGTCACTCTTTGCCGTTTCCCTTCTTTGACTGAGCTGATGGCAGAAAGTGGCTGCGATCGCCTAGTCTTCTTATCCTCTCTTCCAAGAAGCCGCGAATTGGAGCTCTACCCGTGCTGGAGACTCCAAGCTCTGGGAGCTTTCTGCTGACGTGTCGCCCTGCCCGTACGTAAGGTGGCTGTCGAGGCTGAAAAGTTTTGTCTCCTTCTAAGCGAAAGGACCTTCTCATCCAGCAGCAAGCTCGTGAATGAAGTTCGTGCATCGACTTGATGGGATGGTTGTCTAAATTGCCCCCCTTCCGAACGGCTGTCCTGCGGCCAGCTTTGTGCTATTATTCTACCGGTTTGTCTTGAGCTCGTTGTGCATCCTGCTTTTGCGGCTACGGAGGCTTCCATTGTCTAGAGCATGCTCTGTATTACCGCAGGGATGGCGGGTCTGTAGAGCTTAGCATCCGGAACGCAGATGAAGGGTTAGACGTGACGAGCTCGCCACGTCACGCGGGCGTCCGCGTGAAATTCTTCAAGGGGCTGTACCACGAGGTCGTGTCCGAACGAGCACAGCAGGTAAAATATCGGCCCCATAGAGGTGTCAGCTTTTGTAGTCCGTCCAATCAACCACAAAACGCTTCGCTTATGTTTGTTGCATCGTGTGACACTGCGTCAGACACCTATCGACAACGTAATGGACTCTTTCGCTTGTACGTTCGAGCCTCGAGGGCTCACTTGAAAGCACGTGTGCCCCCGGAGAAGGAACCTGTAGTGTTTCCAAAATCCCTTGTGACGCCAAAACTAGGTCTCCACCTCATCTATGACGGCCTGGCATGTAGGTAGGACCGGCGGACCTGGTTATCGCTCCCAACGCTGGCCTTGCGGCCTACACGACGTGGCAGCCAACCATCGTAAGATTCGGTGCTTTCGGCCCACTTGAAGTGCCGAGCACCATAAATCGCACTTAATTGTAGAGAAGAAGTACGATCCGCTAGCACGAAAATCGCCCACGGAATTATCGAGTCGGTGTCTGCAGAACCAGCACCAGCCAGGGAGTGCTCTCCGAGCCTTGTCAGAACTCCTCGTGAGACCTGATTCCGCATTCTGCAGGCTTTGCTGAACAGCCCCGGGTCTCCACCAGCGTTCTTCACGGACTACTGCGAGGAAGCCACGTGTCTTGCTGCTCAGGTCCTGACGTCATGCGGAGCACGACTGACGCACGAGGTGTGTATCTGATCGTCCTCGCCACGGGGAATTGCTACGCGGTCACTAGTGTGCGCCGGCATGCATGTATAAGAACATTCTGACGGAGCCAGATAGATGGGATCAGAACGGATGTTTCGTGTACATCGCCTGGTTGTCTCCTTGGACGCTTCTGGGCTATCTTTACGAAGATGCAGGCACTTCGTATGAGCACTTACTACCTCCTGAGGAACGGGACTATAGGCAGAACTGATCACCCTGTATGACAATTGCTGCAACGCTGGGTGGTCTCATGTGATGGAAGCATCGGCAAGTAGGGGTTGCGACTTGCTGGGACTGGGCATCAAACATGCGGCTAAAGGGGCTGAAACAGTTGTTCTTCAATAGCAGCAGAAAATGACTTGGACAATTTTGTCGGATGCATCTCGTTTCAGCCCTCCCCAACGCTTAGTTTGCGTGTCCAGGCCCCCCTGGTGATGCCAACCGTCCAGCTGCTTGTCGGACCATTTCCCGCCTTTCTCTGGTAGGTACAACCGAACCCGTTCCGTCAGCCATGGCGCATCCGCGCGCGGGATAACGCCCTCCCGTCCTTCTCCAACGGCTTCCTCGTCGGCATCAACTAGAGTCCCCAGGATCCGTCATCCATGAACGGACGTCCGTAATCCCTCGGTGCGCTCTCCTTCCCACCAGTTGGCAGTGGGCGCAGTCCGAAATCTTCCTCGGACGCCGGACGCTGAATTCGAGAAGCAATCTACTTGGACGTGCCCACCCAGGCGTTCTGCCGACAAGAAAGGTCAAGCGCTTGTGCCGGTGAGGACTTTGGGAGACATGTCAGCTTGTCCGGTCGAGATGGAACGCACTGCGCTTTTGCTGCTTTGATACTTCTGGGAGAAACGGCGTCTCCAACCGATTCTTCACGATCCATCGTTGTTTGCAAATCACTCGGTTCGGACCACGAGGTTGAGGATACAAGAGCGGTTACGGCATCAGAGTCGCCCGTTCCTTCCCCTTCGTTGTACAAGACCTCGTGAGTAGGGGCATGAATCCAGATTACTTTATAGAAACGTCTCCGCCGTAGAGAGCAGAGTGTTGTCCCGGGTCGCGCTGCCGCTAGTTTACCTGTACGATCTTGGTCTGATCAAGTACCGAGAGCCCAAAGTACTTTAATACGGTTGAGTGCAAAACTCTTCTTTGCTGCGCAGGTCCAACCCATCCTGCGTCCTTTCATCTGCTAATCCTTCGCTTTGAAATTTGGCAGGTCACAGCCATGTCAAACCTCTTCACAGAGCTGAGTAAGTTTGTTCAAGGAACCCGTGAGTGAGAAACCGGAAATAGCAAAGGGTAATGCAGCGTCGAAGCGGGAGACACGAAGATACAGTGGACGGAGCGTGACGACTCCCGCAAGGAAGGAGATTGTGTTGGAGCTCGAAAGCGGGTTGAGGGAAACGAGGGTCGCACATTTGCAGAGTCCAAAGTAACGAATATTGGTGAGGGTTGCTAATCTAAGCTGCTCACTGATGCCATAGGAGGTTTTACGTCGTCCATATACGACGTAATTAGAGCCTGGACGTAGGTGTTTGGAACGAGCCAGCGGGGCGGCGGATCACTGCTAGATGCAAAGCTCCGGTGCATTGGCCCAAAAGTAACAGCTCGGAATGTGCGCAAATTTGCTGTCAGATATTCAATTGCACGATCCGCCATGGCTGTCCGCAGCCGCGCGTATGCCAGTGATTGCGAATTTAAAGCTAGCAACTGTCAAAATTTTCGCTCTTCAGCTAATAGTCGCCTGATATATTTGCCAAGCTGTCCGCTTTAGGCCAAACCGCATGGCCTTTCAAATCAAGCCTCCCTATCATACTGAAGAGAAGAGCATGGCGTACTTCGTACGCATTTTGAAAATGAGAGCAGCATCTTGCGTGCATGCTCCAATTGAACTCCGGCAATGACCCGTCCAGGTGCCTCGAGCATCGACGTCTTGGAGCATGTGAGGAGTATCTTGTCCTGCGCGACTTACGCATGATTTGAGCCGGTTTTAACTCAACTTACACCCCGCTTGTACTTCCGTAATGAACAACCACAATATCAGAAGGGCTATCGAATTGCCAATTGGATTCAATGTCTTGCAAGGACTCGGAGCTCTCCGTACATACATCAGTTCCATCGACACACTCTTGAACAGGATACCGGTAGAACAAGGCATTGCCTGTTATCAAGACTCTGCTCTCAACAATCGCATGCAAATCAGGGTCGTCACAGGGTTGTAAAAACACCTGACTCGTCCATGCGTTAGCACCCACGATTGTGTTGACTGCAAGACTTCCTTAGCATCTAATCGAAATGAAAAGTCCTCGACACTTGCCAAATGTGGCGGCTCACATAAGCTTTACTCTCTTGTCAGGTTTCTGCTGAAGAGCTCATGGTTTCGAGCTGCCGTGTCCTGTCTCCAGCATGTGTTGCAATCAAGAATGTACACCTATATCAGTGTCAGGCAGCTGAAGGTCTATCTCTACTGCTGGAAAACTCCGTTGCAAAGCAAAGACTGCACGGATGAATCCTGCTTCCCAGATTGGCCAGCCACTGTGGTGCTGTATTGACACGTACCGGAGCTTCGGACACGTCTGAAGAAAGAGGTCGATGTACATGGCATGAGGATTTTCCCTGGCCTTGTTGTAGCAATGAAAGAAAACATCTTCGAGCACACTTAAAATGCCAACCGGTGACCTCACGAGATCTTGCCACTTCCCTTCCTGCTCTTCCCACAGCTTCTCCAATCCGTTGTTCTCAAGGAAGTCGAATGAGACATGAAATTCTTGTACCGATGCAATTTTCTGGAAAAGCTCCACCAGCGACTCCTTTCTGTGCCCACAAGAAGCGTCGCCAGAATTGAGTATGTCTAATCCTTTGAGCGTTCCTCTTTGCTGAGTAACCAGACTCAGAATCTTGCCAATTGCCCAATTTCCTCGAAAGGCCTCGTAGCCTTCAAACTGATCGTAGGCAGGTCCACCAGAGGCATCAATCTCCAAGTACACAAGCTTAGAGAGATCTGTGCATTGGAAGTTGCAACTTGCTGCGTGGTAAGGACCAATTGTTCTAGATTTGCAGACCGGATGTCAATCATTTGGTTGACGTCACCAACAGCAGCGTAGCTCAAGTTGGGCGTCGACAAAATGACGGAGTCGAACTTCTCCATGGGAATCTGGTGGTGTGCTGAGTCCCAAGCATGAACCCTAGTGACCAAGAAGTCTTGCAAAACCTGACTTTGGATTGATATCTCTCGAAGGCCTGTGAGCGAAGGCAGGTGAAGCTTGGTCAGAAAGGGAGCCGCATTTACGAGAATTTGGAGGGTCTCGGTTGTTGAAACACTCAACCTTAGCAGAGTGATTTCTCTCAGATATCTGAACCCTAGAGCGTGCAGGTTGATCACAGCAGGATCCAGAGGAACGCTGCAGCTGCCGCTCAAAAAGAGCCTCTCCAGTGATGGACACGTTAAGGCGCACCGAAGGCGCGCGCTCAGGTCTGCAGCCTGAGTCCTGTCGTTCCAATCGTCAAATATGTACAGAACTTTGAGGGAGAGTGAGCAGCTGCGGATCCAATCTCTGATGGCGGAACTTTCGAAAAGCACCTCATCGGCTAGCACTCTCAATTCTTTCAGACTTTTCCGTTCTCTGCCTAGAATCACCTTCGAGATGGCTCTTTTGAATACGTTGCCCGTGGCATCTTCATCAATGATGTGCAGGACAGGGGTCTGCTGCACCAGATCTCTAAATTGTCTACAGCACTGCGAGACAGCTGCTTGTTGCTCTACCAACGGGATACGAGAGAATACTTCGAGAATCAAGGGCTCAGGCAGGGTTTCAAACAGGTTCCGAGACATGCGGCTCCCTCCGCTGCTCCCCATCAGATAGTGTGTCCTAGCTACCTTCGTCTTCTTCGCGAGGGCTAATCAAAGTTGACTTGGCCGTGTATCTGCAAGAAATACCCGGCTTGAGCATCTGCGAGAGAACCATGTCCTTTGCGCGAGGGTACCGAGTTCTCTGCTCATCAAAGTGTAGAGTGGACAAATTGTTCCTCCTAGAAACGATCTTTTCACAAAAGGACACAAACGTCCATCAACTCAGAAACTTCCGCTCAATGCTGCGGCGAGGAGAACCACCATGCACGGAACAACAATAATGACGAACATGCCGCTGTCCGGTCAATCTGAAGAATTGGACCTCAACCGGTGCGCCATCCCGCGCACTCCTCATCGCGGCAAAACCCGTGCAAAACCCCCGGGTCGTTGGTTCCGCCGTGCCGCGCCGGCGCGGCCGGCCGCC